GCTCGCAGGGACACTCCATCTCCTGATTGTGTGACCTTTGAGCAGCCCGTCCCTGCGGAGGCCCGTGTGAAGGGTCTCCAGGTTTTTGCCCCGAGAGCAGCCTTCCCGTGTGTCTGTGGGCACACGGTTGCCCTTGTTCTCTGTCATGTGAGTTTGCTGGGGCTGTCACGATGGAGTGCCACAGACTGGGTGGTGTAAAGCAACAGGCTCGACCCCTCAGAGCCCGGAGGCCACATGTCTGAGGCCAAGGCCAGGCAGGGCCGTGCTCTAGGGGACACGCCTCCCTCGTCTCTCGGCTTCCGGTGCCGTTGTCTGACCGTTCTGAGAGGACACAGTTCTAGAAACGTGGGCAGACGAGCGGCGGCCGGGGGTCAGAGGTGGGTGCGGAGGTGTGTGGACTGTGCAGAACTTCACACACACACCAGTGAGGGTGAATGGAACGCATCATGCATTCCGCTGGGAGACTGCACTACCGCTTGGCAGAACAGCGGGCAGCATTTGGTATTAAAAAGTGAATTTATTTACCCTCGTGTTTGTCTGTCTTTTGGAGGAATCGTGTGCCAGTAATACTAAGGAAGCAAATGAATGTGTAAGCAGATCTCGTTGCCCCTCCCCCGTGGGAACGCCTCCCCCACTGGCTCGTTAACAAGCAGCTTCAGTAACTGAGCATCGGCACTTGGCATGTGGCGCCCGCTCTCCTGGCTTTGAATCAGGGCCTCACACTCAGCACTGCTGCGTGGGGCCCCCTGCCCAGCACATCTTAGTGTGTGTGGTGTTCCTCTCTAGGTGAAAGGGCAGGCTTGGCATGTCCCCTCAGGCCCAGCTGCTCGAAAGGACAACTGCCCATGTCGATAAAGACCCCGGGGGTCCCCAGACTCCGGTTGGACACCATAGAGCCAGATACACCCACCCGCTTGGGGACAAGCTCTCCAACTGTTTTTGCCTCCAGTAGATTCGCAGACGAGTCTAACTTCATTCTGTTAGTTCCCCTGGTGCTGGGAGGGGACTGGGGCTGAAGATGTGCCCTCCCTCTTTCCCGTTTCCCAGGAGTTACTGAGCGTCGTGTGGGGTGGAAATGCCAGGGGCCGGGAGTGAGGAAGCCTGATGGGAGGGCTCTGGGCCTCTGCAGCCGAGACTCGGATCCCTAGGTGCCGACCTGCCCCTTACCTCCTGAATCGTCCCTGCGTCTGTGGAATTCACCTTGGGCACGTGGTGGCCCTCTCAGTGTCCAGGGTCCCTGGGCAGGTCCGTCCCCTCAGTAGGAAGGCTCTTGTAGAGGGCAGGGGTCCTTAAGATTCATGTGGTTCCAGCCCAGTGGTGACTCAGGGACATGCAGGCTTTCGGGTGGCCTCGACCCAGGGTGCGTGCCTGGAAGGCACAGCTTTGTCCAGCAGAAGAGGAGCACACTTCCTGTCTGCCTCCCACGCCCCGGACACACCGCACAGATTGTCGCGCTCACCATCTTAGCTGCACGAGGCCAGATGGTGCACTTTGGTTTCCCGTTGCAGAAGGAGTCTTAGTGTGGCCTTCTAACTTGGCCACAGCCACACAGAGCTAATAGGTGGCAGAAGCCATGCACAGATAAATGGCATGTTGTGAGAGCGGTCACTGCTGGCGAGTCCTCCAGCTGCTGCTCTTGGAGGCCCCTGAGCCGCCACACTGCCCCCTTCTCCCCAGCCAGCCCCCCTGCAGTTGTGCACTCGTCTGGGCCACCACTTGTCTACGGCGAGACTGTTGTGTTGAAGGGACGCATGTCCCTCCTGGAGAGTGAGAAACCTCAACTTTGGGCAGTGATGACTACGTGCTCAGAGACCCCACTTCTGTTCTTGGTGGGTTTATTTTGTTTTAGTTCTCCGGTTGGAGGTCTCATTTTCGATGACTGTGGTCAACAGAAAGTCACACTGTGTCTGTCAGCACGTGACTTCTGTCAATCTTTATTCCATGGAAACAAAACACTGGTAACTGACCACAGGCCTTTTTCCCACCTTCCAGCGCTTTTGACTTCTGCCTGGCCCTTGGCACCTGGGCCAGACCGAGCCTCACCTCACCCTCCATCTCTTACGTGGTGCCACGCTCCACCCAAGAGCCGGTAGGAGTTTCTGATGTGTCTTCATGGTGCCCACGCCCTTGAGGCACCTCCTGGGGGGACACCTCTTACCTGCCCCCCAGTTTAGTGTTTTCTCAGCCCCACCCCTTCCTCAAGCCAGGTCCCTTGCAGGCTTCGAGGGGCTCTGCAAAGCTGCAGCAGCCAGCACCCTTACTCTCACTCACAGCCCAGCAGGGTTCTTGGTCAGGTCCATGTGGTGGACGCAATTCCTGGTTCATAGCAGTGATTGGAGATCCCGCACACCGAGGCCTCGTCCTGATGGTGGGAAGGGCCAGCAGACGCTCCTAGAACGCACCTATCCCCTTTCGTCCCCCAGCCGGGCAATCCAATGCAACGTTCCCAGAGGGGCTGCAGTGGGAGTGCCCCTGCCGCACAGGGCACAGGTGTGTCCCCAGTCATCACAGCCCTACTCATAGCATTTTTCCAGCTCCTGCAAAAAACCACGTGGACTCTGCTGAGTGCGGTGGACTGGCATGGCCTCCCCACACCTGCGACCCGGCCTCCCTCTCTCAGCCGTCCCCCTCGTGTGGTGAGCTGCACGCACAGCAGTCGTAGTGACAGGGAAGGGGGACAGTGTGGGCTCCCTCTCACCAGGGAAGAGCGGTCCCTGCCACTGCTCACACCCAGCAGCAGCCCCCAGACACACAGTTGGCCCTCAGTGAAGGACCATCCTACAAGGGCTGCTGTATGTGGAGTGGGAGGTTGGGTACACTCACTGGGTGCTTTCTCACCCTGGTGGGGACAGTGACTGGTCCTTCCAGGGATGGACCCCTGGTCTGGAGAGTGCCACCTGGGGGTTTCTGCAGAGCCCACTTTGCCCTCAGGCGTGTGCCACCCAGAAGTGCAGGGGTGGCGGTGCCCCCGTGAACTTTCTCCATGATCCGGCTCCCCGAGGTCACGTTTCCCCACGTGCCACCTGCACACCAGCCTTGGGGCCTGTGGTCGAGCCTCGCTGGTGCGGCGCTGCCCAAAAGGCTTTACGCAGAAAGCAGGGCGCAAGGGAACGGGTTCTCCTGTGCTGCCCCGAGGCAGGCGAGTCTCTCTTGATCTTTGCCAGGTCCTATTTGACTTTTCAAAGGCACATAAAGTATGTGCCTCAACTAAAACTTTTTTTAGAGGGGAGAAAGGGAGAGGAACACTGAAGTGAGGAAGGGGCATTGATTGCCCCTCCCTGTGTGAACCCATAACCCAGGCATGTGCCCAGACCGGGAATCGAACCTGGATCCTTTCACTTTGTGGAACGACGCCCAAACCAGCAAGCCACGCTGGCCAGGGCTCAATTCGCTGACATTCTCCTTCTGCCTCCAGAGAAGTTGTCAGGCTCTGAATGGGTGAGACCCTCCGGAGAGCGGAGGCCTCAGAAGGGCGGGCGTGAGGAGGGGAGGCTGAGACACAGAGGGCGCTCCGCAGCTGGCAAGGGGGGCAGGGCCTGGCGGTGGAGCTCCCCAGGGCGACCCACGGCCTCCGGGCTGAGGAAGTGTGCCTGCCGGGCACTGACCGTGGCCGACCGGGCCTGGAGGCTGTGGGCTTGCTCAGCTGCTCTGGACATTTCCATGCACCACTCACAGGTCCTCACACGCTGTGAGCGAGGAACTAGTAGCCCCCTGGACACACAGACTAGAAAGGAGGCCAAGGCTTCAGCTCCTGGGCTTTCCCAGTGCCCAGAGCTGGTGGTTCGGCTCCTGAGGCTCTTGATCAACCTTAGACGGGGTGCTAGTCGTCCACAATGATGCCACCGTCCGATTTAGGATGGTGATGTCATCACAGATTTGACATTGTGTCCTGTCCATATTCATTTCTGTTGCTGAGTGGCCCACACAGTGTGTCCATCAGCTGATCGTCACAGTGATCTCTGATGCACTTGTGGTTTCCCACCTACACCTTCGTTTTTTCGGATCTCAGCTGAGGATAAGGTGAAAGTTCCACTTTCCCTCCTCTTGTGGCCAAATGTCAGGCAAAGTGGCAGAACTGGAAAGAACGTTAGCAATCACTCACTTCAGATTGATGAACCGAGCCTCAGAGAGGTTAAGTGACTTAACAGACAGCAAGTAAATACCAAATACCCGTAAGAACTCTGGCCTCCTGCCCGGTTTTCTCTCTGTGCTGTCACTGTACAGAGTGTTTCCTGGAAGGACCTAGAATGCAATAGAAGTTAGTCTTTGCTAAACATCATTTGAAGTTAAAACTCAATCGGTACAGGTAGCGTGTCTGCCACGCCAGTGCCGAGATCTGCCTCTGGGAGCAGAGGCTGTATTCAGGTGCAGTTAATGGACTGAATGTGTTGAAACCTACCCCTACTGAGATCGCATTAGTAGGTGGGGGCTTTTGGGAGGTGATCAGGTTATGAGGGTGGAGTCCTCAAGAATGGGTTACTGTTCCTTTGAAAGAGACCCCCAAGACCTCCTGCCCCCTTCACCATGTAGGACACAGTGAGAAGACAGTAACTGCAACTCAGAGGAGAGTTCTCAGCAGAGCCTAACCGTGCGGGCCCCGTGGTCTTGGACTTGGGGCTCCTGGAACTGTAGGAGTAAGTTTCTGTTGTTTATAAGCTTCCCAGTCTGTGGTCCTTTGTCATAGCTGCCCAGATGGACCAAGACAGGTGTCAAGGTATTAGGAGATAAACATAATTTAGATCTGCACACAGTGCGTTCCCAAGGCAGACGGCATTGAGGGATGTGTGCTGAGCCGCCTCCACCATGTCTGTCCGTTTTCAAACACGTGTGAGCATGGGGGCCGCCCCTGGGGAGTGAGTTTCCCTGGGTGTCATCATGGCCACTGTTTTTGGAATGTGTATCCACAGAAATGAGTCTGTGTTATTGCTATTTCACTTTAATCAGGAGATTTAAATAACATTTCCCAAAATTGTTAGACACACTGCAGATGGTGTAGGAAGTTATTTTTAGGTGACACCCCTATAAACATGTTTTATTGAAGTATCTGTGTACTTACTTCATACATTAAAATATATTCTAAAAGGCATATTTGATAAATAACTGGTAAGCAACACATACAAAGTTAAAACTCAACAACATGAAAACAACTGAAAAAATAGGCAAAGATATCAATAGTTGCCTCACCAAAGATGTACAGATTGCAAATAAGCATATGAAGAGATGCTCCACATCATACAGCATCAGGGCAAATTCAACACCGTCCCACACCCACGAGTGACAGAATGGCCAAGGTCGGCACACTGACAGCAGCAGATGCTGGTGGAGACGTTGGTGTGGCAGCAGCTCTCACCCCCCGCTGGTGGGAGCGCTGCCTGGTGCAGCTGCCTGGACAGCAGTTTGCAGTTTTGTATAAAACCGAACAGTCCAGCAACCCTGCTCCTTGGTGTTTACCCAAAAAAGCTGAAAACGTGTCCACACGAAAACCCGCACGTGGATGTTTACAGTGGTAACTGGCGACAACTGGAAGCAACCACGATGTCCTCCAGGAGGCGATGGAGAGATACACTGCGGTACATCTAGGCAATGGAATGTCATTCAGTGCTAAGAAAATGAGTTATCCTGTCATGAAAAAGACACGGAGGAACCTTAAATGCACGTTTAGTGAAAGAAACCACCTGAAAAGCCTACTGACTCTGACTGCAGCTGTGTGACGTTCTGGGAAAGGAAAAACTGGAGACAGTTGGAGGAGGAGTTGGGGTGGGAGGGAAGGGGTGAGCAGGTGGAGCACAGAAAGATTTGGAGGCGGGGAGACTGTCCTCTCAGACCATGATGGTGGACACGTGAAGTGCATTTGTCAAATCCCACAGAATGTCAACACCAAGCATGAACGTAGTGTAAAGTGTGGAATTTGGTTATTACTACTGTGTCGGTGCTGGTCCAGTACATGCACCACACTAACACACAATGTTATTCATAGGACAAACTGTATTTAGGGGAGGTTATTTGGGAACTCTACCAGCTGCTCAGTTTTGTCGTTAATCTGGGGGGAAAAAACCCTATCAGTTAAGAAAGACCTCAGAGTTGTAGCTTGATAAGTAGATGTTATCACAAGCATTCAGGGCGTGCTGGTCACCTTTTCAGCCCTGGAGGCCGTGCCCCAGCAGGAAAGAGCAGGTCTGCCTCGCTCCTGAGACAGTGCGTGTGGCAGCACTTGCCACCAGGTGGCGATCTAATACGCAGCTCTCTTTCTGAAACACATCCCTGGGGCTAGTAACCCCAAGAGGGAGCCACCCACTCCTTTTGATGAGTGTCATTCCCACCCTTGGCCTGGTCAGCGCAGCTCAGGGTCACTGACTCTATGGTTAGCCCAGAGCAGCCTACTCAGCCTCCCGGGGTCTTGGCACCAGTAGAAAACAGTGGTGACTAACTGCACTGGCACAGGGGTGAAGCTGCTCTGGAGAGAAAGGGGAGGCCTCCTCTGTATACCCCACCTCCCAGGGCCAGGCAGCTGGAGTCAGGGAGCTGAGCTGACTCAGCTGAGCTACAGTCAGTGGGGAATGAAGTGAGAAGCCCTACCACCAATCTGGTTGGAATTCGGGAGAAGGAGTGGGGCTGTGGCCATGTTTAGAAGTAATTCCCCAAACTCTTAATGAATCCCTGAAAGTGTAAACGCCTGGGCGCACCATGAGGAACCTGCAGACATCAGAGACTGAGAGGTCTCACAAGTTTCAGATGAAAACTACAACCACCAGAATAACACAAAAACACAAAATACTGTGTTTTCAGTGGATTGAAAGAAAATCATTGTCAGCCTAGAATTACTTAATTAGAAGAAAAAATATTTAGGAACAATATAAAGAAATTTTCAGGTCAACAAAAACCAAGAATGTGTGCTATTAGTCATGCTCACTAAATGAAACTAGAGCTTAGATGAGACAGAAAGCAGAAGGTCAGATACAAAAAGGAATTTAGAGGACAAAAATAATGGAGCACATAGGTATATTTAGACAAATTAGAGTACTAAATAAAATGTCTCCTGCATTTTTAAAGCAGAATTAAAACAACAGTATTAAATTAAGAGAAGGATAAAGACTAACATTCTCTTTTCATAAGTATCGTCTAAGTTTCTGGGGATGCTTAGCAGACTGTAGTACGTAATTTTCAAACTAGTGAAGGAAAAAAGTAGGATGAGAAAACCACCAAAAGAAACAAGGAAGAAAAATAAATTTAGATGATCTGGGACAAATGGAAAGCAAAAAACAAAATAGATATAAATGTTCATATTAACACCAAAATAAGTATGAGAATATACACAGCATGTTCATAAAAACAGACCAAAAAATTGTATAACCTGAAAGTCCATCAATAATGGGTTGAATCTGGCAAAAGTATCCAAACTTTTGGTGTCTCTAAGCCCCATGGGAAGAAGAGTTGTCTTGGGCAACACATTAAATACACAAACACTAATGAAAGCTGATGAGCACCCTGGCTGGTGTAGCTCAGTGGATTGAGCATAGGCCCGTGAACCAGAGGATTGCAGTTCGATTCCCAGTCAGGGCACATGCCTGTGTTGCAGGCCAGTTCCCTGCAGGCTATTTCTCAGCAGAGGAAGCACTAGAGGCAACCATACATTGATGTTTCTCTCTCTCTCCTTCCCCTCTAAAGATAAATAAAATCTTGCAAAAAAAAAGTTTTTAAGTAACTTTACGATTCTGTGTTGGGCTGCGTTCATAGCCATCCTGAGCCGCATGTGGCCCATGGGCCGTGGGTTGGGCACCCCTGGCAGTGCCTTGTGTTACAGTGAAATACTGTAGTGAAAATAAGTGAGTTACAGCTGTGTGCATCAACATCAATAAATCTCACAAGCATCATAATGACTGAAGATGCAAGACATGGAAGAACTTTGAAAAGATTTCAAACTGGACCAACATTTCATGCATTTAAATACATCTAACTAAAATGCGCAACCACAAAGGCAAGGGGATAATGTTCACAGAACCAGGAGAGGTGCTTCTAGGAGGAGAACGTGCCTGGTGTGGTTCCGGGGAACGTGTGTTTCACGCCCCTTTGAGTGTCCCCTATAGCCATCTACTTTAAACAAAAAGGAAGGTAACTGCAGCCTCCGAGGAACTCTTGAGAAGTCTAGGAGGTTACATCTGGGAAACCAGCCCTCATACAACCTACCAGAACAGGATCATGAATAAAGAGAAAATTTGAACAGACCTGTAATGAGTGAAGAGCTTGAAACAATATTTGAAAACCTCCTACTAAACAAATGCCCAGGACCACAAGGTTTCACCAGTGAATTCTAACAAACATTTAAAGAAGAATGAACCCAATCTTTCTCAAAACAGTTTTCCAAAAATTTGAAGAGAGGAACATTCACAAACTCATTTTAGGAGGCCAGAATCATCCCGATACCAAACCCAGATAAGGACACTAAAATAAAACTGCAAGCAAATTTTGAAAAAAATGATGCAAATCAATAAATGTGGTATGCCATGTTAGTAGAATGAAAAGATAGAAACCATATTTTCATTTTGATAGATGCAGGAAAAGCATTTGGCAATTAACATCCTTTCAAGATGAACTCTCAAGCTATTGGGCGTCGAGAAAACGTCTGCATAACGAAGGCCACAGTATGACAGGGCCACAGCTAACAGCACACTCGGTGAAATGTTCAAAAGCTCTGCCAAGGTCAGGAACAAGACAGGTGTTCGTGAACTAAAGGGGGGGAATGGTGGGGGAGGGGTGTGCAAGGTGGAGGGGAATGAGGGGGGAACTAGAACTGTAATGGCATAATCAATAAAATATATTTAAAAAAAAGAGGAGGGGCTCACTGCCACCACTGTTAGCACCACAAGGGCGGTCCTCGCCTTAGCAATTAGGCAAGAAAAAGAAACCAAAGGCATCTGTCAGGGGAAGGGGAAGCAGAACGACGGTCTCTCTGCCGATATTTGCGATGTGTACACACGGTGAAAAGAATCAACAGGGCTAGATGGTGAGAGGGACGCAGGTGTATTTTATGGGTGAGAATCTTGTAAGTGAGCACGTCTGCTTCTGTACTTGGGCTGCACAACACCTGGAGTTCAACTTTCTATTTTTATAACCACATAGGACTTCATTTAGTTTAGGTACTTACTTTTGACTCTCTACTCGTTTTTCCTCCATCCGCATGTATTCACGTGACTCGGATATACATTGCTTCCAGTTCTCTCCGGAACAAAACAGGGCGTACGTACAGTTATACACAGGCCACCGTCATCCAAGCTGATTTGTGAAGGGCCAAGGATTCTTACCACTTCCCTCCAACCAATTTTCTTAGCCTTGTATCATGACCCAGCCCTACTGTGCATATAGGAATGCTGTCAGACTGTGTCTCCTCTTCTTACGTACATTTCTGCTTTGTTGTAACTAGTTGTACAGGGTGAACGAGTAAGTCTTAGTTCGAGCCTTGGATCTGCTTACAGCCTTTGTGGCCTGAACCACATTACTTTTTTGAGCCTCAGCATTGTCACCTTTAAAATGGTACTTTACAGGATTGTTGTAAGGATATAAGTAAGTATTCAACAACAGCAGCTGTTCATAATTAACTCTCACTGGCCAGCGGTCCCCAACTTGTTTTGTCACCAGGCACCAGTTTCACGGAAAAGTTTTTCCACTGATCAGGACGGTGGAGGTTGGGGACCCCTCCCACTGGCCACGCACTGGCTGGCTCTTGACGGATAGAAAAGCTCTCTGGGCCTGTTTCTTTTAAACGTAAGTGAAGATATAGAAAGCACCTGATAGGTGACCGTCCTAGTTAATTTTAGATTTTTCCTCCTTTACCTGTTGCCTCCCCAAGAAGTCTTCTCTTACCATGATACACTATAACCATTTAGCTAGGAGTGAGCTGAGAGTCTGTCCCATCTTGGAATTCTTCTTCTCGAGGTTCTCCGTGGATCTGTCAATGCTCCACTCTAGTATTTTGGCTACTGCGGTGTCTTTCCTGCCCCGTGGTTCCAAGCGCCTTGTATTTCCTCACAGCACCTCGCACGCAGTCCGTGGTCATTATTTACCGCCTAACTTCGATGCAGAGGCTGCCAGTCCAGGTTCTTCGGGCTGACTGAGCCAGTGAGCATTCCTTCTCCGACTGCGAGGCCCCTTAACCTCCCAATATGCTGGGGGTCCTGTTCGCGGCACAACTTCGTGGGGATTTGGACGGACGAGAAACCTCCATGGGTTGGTCGTATTCCGTGGACAGGCGCGCGGGGGCCTGGGTGTATCCCCTCCGTCAGGTCCCGGGTCTGCGCGCCAGGCGCTCTCCGAGGCCGTCCTGACACTCCTCGTGGCGCCACCGCGGAATGGCCACCGGGGATGGGTTTCCGACTCACCCCGCTGCCCACCTGAGAAGCGCTTTCAGCACCCGCCAATTACGTGGGCAGCTTTCCTCGTTACCGCCCCGACGGCTGTCCCAGCGGGGTGACTCGTCTGGCCACAGGTCGGGAGGGTCCCCCAGGTGACGCCAGCCGTCGGGTCCCGGGCCACCAGGGGACGCCGTTCGTCCGTCCGGTGCTCCAGGCCCGAAGGCAGACAGCGCATGCGCAGGGCGCCCCTCCCCCCCCCACCCCGCGCCCAACGACCCCAACGCGGCCCACCAAGTCATGGAACCCACCGCAGTGGGTGCGATTCTGGTGCTGCCGTTAGTTCGCTCCGGCGCCTTACCCCCGTGAGGTCCACAGGCGCACGGCCGGGCGCCGTGGCCGCCTGCCTGGGCCGCTCTGCCCGCCTCCGCGCTCGGCGGGGCGCGCGCCGCGTCCCCGTAGCTTGTCCCCGCGCGTGCGCGCTCCGCCGAGCGTATGTGTGTGAGTGTGTGTGCGGCCGAGGGGAGGGCCGCCACCGCCGCCGACGATGCCGCGGGGCCGCCCCCCGAAGCCCAAGGAGAGCCAGGCGCGCGGCGACACCGGTAAGCGGCCCTTATCCGCCGCCGCTGTGCCACTCCGCGCGAATATAGTCCCCGGATGCGGCGCGGAGGGCGCTGGGAGCGGCCGGGCCGGGCGGGGCAGCGAGAACCCGGGAGGGCCGGCCGGGCCAGGAGGGCCGGAGACCGCGCAGCGCTCTTCTGCTTCGCCGCCGCTGCTGCCGCCGCCCGACTGCCAACCGCAGGCGCGGGCGGAATGATACGGCGCCGGCCCTCCGCCGGCTGGGCCTACTTTCCTGGGCCGGCGGCGGCGGCGGCGGCGGGCCGGGGGCGAGGTGCGCGCCGCCCTCTTCCCCCTCCCCCCTCCCTCTTCTCCCTCCCCTCTCCTTCCACCTCCTCCTCCCTCCACTTCTCCGCGTGGCCCAGCGTCGTCCGTCAGCCAGCCCGCCCGTCCGCCCGCCCGCTCGCGGGGATCGCACCCTTCCCGGCCCCGCCGCTCCGCTGGGGAGGCCTGTGGGCGCAGGTGCCTGCGCGGCCGAGCGGCTGGCGGGACGGCGGGGCCGGGAGCCCGGGGCGATGGGGGGGCCCTTGGCGTCTGCGGGATGCAAGGCCAGCCCTAGGGATCGAGTGGGTTCCCTACAGAGACTCGCCCTGGTGTCGTCGGGGCTCCGTCATACTCAGGGCCCTTGCCCTGCGATGGGGTGCCCAGCCTCTGCGAATGTGGGTGCCGGTGCGCTGCCTGCCGTGCTCACTCAGCATCTGCGCGCGATCTGCACGCCCTGCTGACCGCCCTTCCAGCGGCGCTCAGTGAAGGCGTGCAGGACAGATGGGGACGAAAGTGAAGTGCACTGCAGCCAGGCCTGACCCCTCATGCTGCTGCCCCACTCTGGGTGCGTCGGCCTCCATCCACGTGCCGCTGGGCCTGTGTATTAACCGCCCCAGCTGTTATGGGCGGGAGCTGGGGACTGAGGTGACCCTGTTCTGTTCGCTGTTCATTTACTGCACCTTGTCACGGCTCCTGCTGCACAGAAGTAATGTCTGGGTGACTTGAACTAGGCTCAGGACACGGAAAGGTCATTTTTTGCAGCCCTCTGTTTTATCACGTGTTACCAAGTGGCATTGTCAGCTGCTGGGTTTCTCACCAGGAAGCCTTTTAGCCACCTCACCAGCGTGCATCTGGGGCCCCTCCACCAGGCCTGGTGCCCGTGCTGCCCCAGGCTCCGCCTTCAGAGCCTTCTCACTGGTTTCTGCTGGAGTGTCCCATCACTCCAGGCCTGTCCGCCTCCAGGGTCCCTTTAAGACATCCATCATGTGGTCCACTCCCCAGTTGGAGCTCCCGAATGGGTTCCTCCTCTCCTTGACAGTGAAGCCCATGGGCCTCGTTGCTCTGGCCTTGGCCCAGCTCCTCCCTGGGTCCTGCTCTAGCCCAAGTCCCTTGTCCTCTTCCATGGTGTCTCCATGTGGGGCCTGTGGTCCCCATGCGGGAAGTCCACCTCCCACGCCTGCAGTGGGTCTCAGTGCTCCGACCTCCTGTAGCCGTCTCCTTCCACCTGCCACAGTGATCCCCAAAGTGCGCTTTGGGGATCCCTGGGCATCTACACACTGCCAGGCTCTTCGACGTGCTGTCACAGCGATCCCAGCACTGCTGGGCTCTGTTACTTGGTGCCTGTTTGCACTAATTGCACAATAATAGCAACAAGGCCTTGGTGCACATCACACAGTGGCGGCACCAAGCCTCAAAGCCGCCATGTGTGTAATAGTACATCGCTTGGAGACTGTGCACCGCTGCCCGGCCAGCCCAGAAGCAGGCGCCAGGGCCCACCCGCCCTTAAGGCACCCACAAAAAGACCTGCAAAAGTGAAAGTTCTGACACTTTTTTGAAGAGTATAGTTTTCAGAAAAATGTGTATGTTAAATGTAGTAGGTATATTTTTAAACAAATATTTTAAAATTGCTCAGTTTTAATTTCTAACAAAATATCAGTAAGTGTAACTCAGTGTAAACTTAAGGTTACTGGGTCCTCAGTGGTACTGGAGAACATAAAAGGGTCCTGGGACCAAACTGTTGAAGGATCATTATTTTCTCAGTTTACTCCCTTAGTGATATAACTGGAAATTATTTTTTGTCATCCATTATGCATTTTATTTCTAAGAAAAACCCAGAAGGTAGGTGGGGATTTTTAGAAGTAAGGGAAATGAGGCTCAGAGAGGGAAAGACATTTGGAAGGTCTGCCCAGCTGGTCAAGGTCAGAGTTGGGGCTGGAAGCTACATGCGCACCCGGAGTGTGCATGTCAGTCACTGCTCTGCCTGGGAAAGTAGGAAGCCCTGAGCGGTGGCTGACTCACTGATTCGGCACAGGTCTCAAGGTACTTTCTGTGGCTGGTGGGCCCTGCAGGGTGGGGCTGGGGGTGCAGACCTCAGTGTCTGAGAAAGGACCTGGCCTTGCTCGCTGCGGACTGTGCCCAGGTGGGCGGGAGCACTTGGTGGCAGCAGGGAAGTCTGGGCTTCCCAGAGGAAATGGTGTCAAACAGAAATGTCACGAAGTGGTGAGGAGTGGGTCTGCTTGGGGACGTTTCTTGACATAGTGGTTGGCTTGGGGCCCAAGAAAGAAGTGAGCCTTCTCTCTAAGTTGACCAGGGAACATTTATTGAGCACCAGCTCTGTGCCCCAGGCACGACCCTGGGGAAATAGTACCTGACTTACGTTACTTTTCTCCCCGTAAGTAGTGATGTCTCCTTGATGGAAGCCATGGTAGGGGTCTCTCCTGGCTTCCGTCAGTTTCTTCAGAAGACGGCACGAAGCTTTCCTCCCGAGCTGGCACCCGTGGTTGGGCGCCTGCTCCGTGTTCTGGCGGAGAGCTGAGACCGGCGGACGGTGAGCCAGACGGGAGAACAGGTCTCTTCTGGCCCTGATTGCTGGTTCAGGCCACTGTAGGTTTCTGTGGTTGAATTCAGAGACTCTGTGTGCCTCCCTTGGAGGAGGGAGGCCCCCGGGATGGGCTGCCAGGGCAGAGCTCGCACTGTGAACAGGGCAGCGGCAGCCTGGGGCCCTCTGGTTTTTGGGCGACTCATTTGCTTCAGCAGCAAAACTAGGTGTGATTGGTGGGGAACAGTTCAGGGGAGACTGATGCTGCTTAAAACGGTGGCTTTCCCAACCGCAGTAGGCATCCAAGGATGAAAAGATTTCTTCATAAAGGAGCACCCTCTCCTTTCTGTAACTGAGTTTCTTAGGTAGGCAGAAGCTTGGGGTGCTCAGAATTTTGAGGAAAGTTGGATGGTGCAACACTGGTCATGAGCCTGGAATCACTAGTAAGTTACCATGGGTTCCAAATCCTCCTCTTTGACCCAAAACTGATCTGGGAGAACCACACTCAACACGAATTCCTCACCAGAGTCAACCCTGCAGTGCTTTGTACGGTGACTCTGTGTCAGGGCCCCTACGTGGTCTCTGCACACAAAGGCAGGGTCCCTGTGCCAGAGGGTCCATGTGCTTTCCAGACCGCTCTTCGGTCCCAGGGTTTGGCCTGATGTATCACCACCCCTGGTTGGGGCTGTCACCCGATGGGACTTCAGGAAGTGCCTGGGACCCTCACTGAGCTCGGTTACATTAGAGCCCGTGAGACGGGACCGAGGTGACCCACCTTGCCGCCAAGGTCCCAGTTGAGAACCACTGGCTGACAGAAAAGCTGCTCCAGTTGAGGAGAGGGTGGCAGAGGGGTTCGGGGACAACCTGCACCTCTGAGGCGCCTGCACCTCAGCGCCGTTGAAAACTGCCGCTCCGGTGGGTGAAAATGGGGAACTCCTGTGATTGGCTAAAGAATGTGGAGAGATGATGCCCTGGATTCCCAGGTCAGACTCACTGGCCTGTGGGTCTGACCACGCTGGCAAAGGCGTGATGGGGCTGAAGACAGAGGTGCTGGGCGCGCACCACCGGCTCTGGGCGGCACGGAGGACTGCGACATAGCCTGTCCCTGGGGCAGGCGCTGCTCTGTGCTGTGCGCTGGTGGCGTGGCTTAGGAGATTCCGAGACAGGCCAGAGACACCTCTGAGCCCTTGTTTTGAGCAGATAGAACGTCTGCCTCAAAAAGTGCACAGTGTCAGTGACCAGTACCTGGAACGTGAGCAGTACCTTAAAGCTCCTGTTGCCTCTGACCAGGTGCCCTGCACCCTCCCCACCTGTCGTCTTCTGATGCACACTTCTGGTGCCTACAAAGATTCTCCCTGGTTTTGAGCTGAATCGAATGCACACTGTGTGCCCTCTCGTTTATGGCTCCCTTCATTCAGTATTTGTCTCTATGAGATCATCCTTGTGCTTATATAGCTGAGACGTGTTCATGTTCGTAGGTGTATAGTATTCCACTCTGCGAACACTCTGCCATTTAATTTGTTCTTTGTCCTGTAGATACTTGGCTTGTTTCCAGTTTGGAGACTATTAAGAGTAAATGCTGCTGTGAGCGTCTTTGCGTTCTTGGGTCAAAGTGGACAATACTAAATTGTCTTCCTCTGACAGTGCAAGACACTTTCTGTATATGTAGGAGAATGATTTCTTGCTCTGTTTTTCGCTCTACAGATCAGTATGAACTTTAGCTAAAACTAAAGTGCTGTAATATACATCTTTCTTTTGTATTCCCTTCTTTCTCTAGATTAGGGTCAACTGCCTACAGCCTCACCTGTCTGGTAAACAAAGTTTCACGGGAAGGAGCCACCCTCATCATCTGTGGTAGCTCTTGGGCTGCAGTGGCAGATTCGAGGCATTATGGCAGACACCTCCTCATCCCCAAAGTGTAGAACAGTTCCCAAGTGGCAGCTCCTGCCCGAGTAATCAACTGTGATTCCACTGCAGCTGCCCTCACCCACACGCGTCCCTGAAGTCTCCTTGCCTTCCCTGCTCCAGCTCCGGAGTGACAAAGGCATTATTTTCTCCAGTAGCAGCCGGAAGAGTCACTGCGGCCTAATCTCTAAGCCGATGAGGGCCTTTGGCCCGGCCCTGGGGCAGAAAGGCAGGGTGCTGCTCCAAGAGGTATCTTCTGAAAACGGACACAGGGCGGCCCTCTCTGTCTGCGTCACATCTCTCTGTCCAGCCCACTGCTGGGTGTTGTGGCTGTGCGTGTCGAGGTTGGCAGTTGCTACAGAGAGCTCCAGGGCCTGGGCGCACCGCCCGCGCCAACGCCACGGGACGTGTTTCCTGAAAGTGAGCAGAGGCCGTGTTTTCGAAGCGTGACTGCACCCCAGCCGTCCGCTGGTAGGCAGCACCAGGCCGCCGCGGGGCCCTCTTACAGTGTCAGTATAAAGTGTGCCTGACGCCCACCGTTCGCTGTCACACCAAGCTGGGAGATGCTCACGCATGGGCAGCTGCGTCAGGGTGTGCGTGCTCCTGGGGGCAGGCACTGTGTGGACACGTGTGACCTGGCCCCGAGAGGGACTGTTTGCTGAGGGTCTGACCAAGGCTTTGTCTTAACTCTGTCATAGGAGCGCTGCAAGGCGTTTATCGCACACCAGGACCGTGCCTGCGCTCTCATGAAACCAGCAGCCCGACCACGTGCTGGTAATAAGAGCCCGCAGACACGTGTCTGTGACGCTTCACGTTAAAGACTGGGGCCCACCAGCAGTGTAGATGTCCCTGGGGTACCCTGTCCAGGCAGTGTCCCTGTGGGACTGGCAGCCATCCTGACAGCTGGCTGAACTCTGCCAGAGGAGGCCGTGCCAGTGCTCTCTGGCGTCGGCGTCCTGCTGTTGAGCGGAGACTCGCTGTGGCTGGTGTCGCAGCAGCCTGTTCACTGTTGTTGTGTGGGGGGCAGCAGGTCCTCTCAGTGTCGTTCTGTACTGTTGCTGTTTGGTGAACCCGCACTTGCGTTTGACAGCGGCCAGGTGCTTGGCCTGGCTCTCAGTTGAATGTATTTTATACTGAAAGAACATGAACACTTAGGCTTCCAATTGGGACAAAATGCTGTTGCTAGAATCCAAGTTCATCTGCTGTGTTTGCATGAGGAACAGGGTGGAGGCAGGAGTCTCATCATAGAGGCCGTGACCTCGGGCGGCGTGGAAGCACAATTCTAGGGGAGCCGGGGGCGGTGTCGGAAGCTGCCGCCAGCCCTGCCGTGGCCGACTGTGTGATCTTGACCAGTAGCCTCATTTCTTCGGGGCCTGAGCTCCCTGAGCTGCACCGGACAGGATAGGGTGTGGGGCTCCCCTTCTCCCCCAAGTGACGCTTATTTGTTTGCATTTAAATCTTTTTGAATAGGTAGTACTTTAAAATGGCTCAGAAGTTGAAAATAGGGACACCCCCTTTCCCACCTCTGTTCCGGCCTCCTGCACAGGCCCCTGCGCCCTTGTTTTCCAGCAGTCTGGGGGGAGGGGGGCTCAGGTACGTGCAGACCCAGGGCACACCCGGGCCACCTCCCAAAAGAAACAACAGCACCTAGACATGGCACCTCTCCCCCTGACTGCAGTTTGAGGTGAATCTTCTGAGTGAGTGCGTTCCGTTTCCAGACGAGCACCATTTTAGTAGTGAACACATTCGCACAGATGGCATGTGAAACAAGGGAGTGCAAAAGCCGCACCGGTCCTGCTGCCTCCCTCTGGGCGGCGCCTTTGCATTGGTAGCAGCTTCCTGGCCGCTGAACTGTTCCTCCTCTTGTTACCGAACAAGAGGAGGTCGTCCGAGGGAGGGGCAATACAATATTTGGCCCATCCAGGGATGCCCAAAACTGCTATACAACAGGGGCCCCTCCCGAAAACCAAAATACTAAAATCTATTGGGCCCTTCTGTCCGCCGCCAATTGGAAACACATCTCTTAATGCCAGAGATTTGTGAAAAGGAAACAAAATGTTTATTTAATGCTATTCAGGCCTAATGCCACCACTAAAATATCAAACTCCTTTATATATACACCTACACCCGCACAGCGCTCCCTTCTCCCACTGTCCCAATTCCGGGTACCGTAAATCAGGAAAAGAGCACACGTCCCTTTTTCAGGCCGCTGGCACCGTCAGCTGTGTCACCGTGCAGGCAGGATCTCGAGTTAATCCAAAGTACTGTGGTACCCTCTCATGGTCCACTGGCAAGAGTCCTTTGTATCCAGTTCCAGTCAAAATCTCTGTTGCTTTTCAGGCCCCGCGGCCAAAGGGGGCACCCCAAAGCCGTGTGGGCCTCTTCTACCAAAGCTGCAGGGGTCCGCACTCCACCAAAAGCATGTGGCTGTCTTCTTCACCTGGCTGCAGGGATCTCCATTCTGGCCAAACTGCGTGGTTTTTCCCTTTCACCTGGGAAAGAGGGGGTCCACACTCCGCCAAAACCACGTGGCTCCCTCTTTCACCCCACCAACAGGGGGTCCTCACTCTGCTGAAACCGCGTGGCTCTCCCTCCATCTGGCCAAGCGGGGGGGACCCTTCATGTCTCGGAGCCAGTCTTTTCCAAGCTCCCACCCAGGCCATCTCGCTCAGGAGCGCAGCCCCTTGTTACATTCTGAGTCCCTGCTAGTTCCTTCTCTCCCTTCTCAGGAGCGCCGACCCTAGTTACATTCTCCTGAGTCCCAGTCTACTCACTCAGGACAGCAGCCCTTAGTTACATTCTGAGTCTCTGCTAGTTCCTTCTCTCCCTTCTCAGGAGCGCCGACCCTAGTTACATTCTCCTGAGTCCCAGTCTACTCACTCAGGAGAGCAGCTCTTCAGTTACATCCTCCTGAGTCCAAGCCCTTCTCACTCCGGAGAACAGCTCATAGATCCCATCTTGAGTCCCAGCTACTTCCTTCCCCCTGGCCTCAAACTTGGCCACTGCTATTTAACATATCTATGAAACCAGTTAAAGGTTATAGATATGTTAAATAACCATTCCTCCAGAGGTTAGCTCCAAAACTGTTGCTATGCAAAATAGCTCTCAATGGCCTGGCTCCATTCTTTCTTCCCCCTGTGGGGGGGGGGGGTGAGGACATCTTATATGTCTCTCCAATATTCCTATACACTTTGAATTCTGGACACTTTTCCAAATCTTTTTGGGGGCCCCCCTTTGGCTGCACCCTGTATCACTCTCAGTGAGCAGTTTTCCGAGGGACTCATAATGTATCGTTGATGTGGTCCCAACAGGCATTTATTTGGGGCCTCGGGAATCAAAACATTTCACTGTTAGTTTAGTGCAGACATTTCGAAAGCGTAGTCTTCGAGTAGAAGGGGGATACAGTTCAGAATAAATAGGATACAAATCAGGTGCACCTTTTCCTTGGTGGGCCCATCGCATCTTTGAATCCCTGTTTCTTGAAACTGGAGCTGGCTTTACTGGCGAAAGTGTGGGGAGACTGCGCGACTCCCACCAGGCGTCTGCCCCACCCTGTCCTGCCACTCTGCCTCCTGTGCGGACCGTCCCCAGGCCTCAGGCCCTGCGCCTGCAGGCGGGGTGGGGTTGTTGGCTCAGAAGAGGGAGGGACACCTCGGCGGGGCCTCGCAGGGGGACGAGGCTCTTCTGAGCTTGCTGGAGCTTCTGCTTACCCCACCCTGCTCCCAGATTTCTAAGTTCTAATATTGTGGGGTCAAATTTGCCAGCGTTGTTGGTGATGTAGCTCTAGTTTTCTTACAGTTAATATGTATCCTACATTCATGCTCAAATTATAAGATGTGGAGTATAATTACTTGTCTTAAAGAATTGGAGAGATTTGGGACATCTTTATCACGTTGCTGACAACTGTACTCGAACAACAATAAAATAATTTCAAAAGATGTTGGTGATCATCTCATGGTTATTCTTGATTGAAAACACGTTTACATTTGTTGCCGTTTGCTTCACTGAGGTTAGAGGAGCCCCTTGAGAAAGCTTTGCGACCCTTTGTCATCCGAAAGCCGCATTCAGAGAACAGTGTCTTCTGCTTTTGACTTAGTCTTGCTCCTCAGCAGTTTGCAGAGGTAGATGGAGTCAGTAAAGTGGCATCTGTATTTCGCCTGGAGTTTTGTTTGCTGAGTAGTTTAGGATCCTGTGTGGATTCCTGATAAACCCGCCGAGCAGCCTAAAGGTGAAACGCCTGTGGGGTTTGGAGTGATGCAGAAGTCGAGGAGTTACCACCGTGGGGATTGGTTGCACCGAGGGGACTGGTGGTCTCAGGACCTCGGGCCTCGGGCGTCGCGTCTCAGGTTTCCAAAGGTCCTAAGAAGGATTCAGGGTTCTGTCGTCCTGCGTCTCAGTCATCTTGGCATTTCTCATTTCTAACTTAAAACCACGTCCATTTTAAACATTCAGGGTATCATGAATTTCATCCAAAACCTCTCATAAATTTTTGACATAATTTGGTTTCTAAACAATAACCAAGTAACTTAATTTATGTGATGAGAATAACAACTGGTATTTATTGTGTATACTTATGCGATTTTGTAGATGGAGTTTTAACATTGAATGCGGAGAACGCTAATTATGCCTGTCAAGCTCCCAACTCCCATAAATGTGAAATCTGTCTGCTATCTTTCCCAAAAGAGTCCCAGTTTCAGCGCCACATGCGGGATCACGAGCGGAACGACAAGGTACGTACTGCAGGAGGGTCGGCACCGAGAGCACTGGACTGGAGGTGTTGTGGAAGGCCGCACGGGTCTGAGATCCTCTCCTGCAGTGGAGGTTCCCGAGTGGCAGGGCGTCTGGAGGCACGCACCCCCAGACTTGTGTTTTCAGCTGCGGTCGCGTTCCTGGCCGTCAGGAGGTGGTGAGCGGAAGGGAGAGGCCGCGCCGTGAGTCTGTGCCCCGAGGTCCTTCAGTGGTGGGGGAGGACGGAGAGCAGGCCTGTCTGCGTGGTTCCTGTCTCCTTGTGCGTGTGCAGTCGGTGCAGGTCAATGTGTTTTTTCCCTGGGGGGGGCTGCCCTTAGTGACTTTAGTTTACAGTGGCATTCAGACACGTGCGATCGCACGCCAGCAGGGCGGCGCTCCCACCACAGGCTGCGGGCCCTTCTGCAGGATGCCCTGTGGGGCATGATGGGAGTGTTTGTGTCCAGTGGGTGGTAGTGGGACGGTCTGTGGGGAGACAGAGGGGCAGTTCCAACTGCAATGAAGAGTGGTCGCCACTCTCCTCCAGGTCAGGGGTGTGGGCTAGTGAGCCGCTGGACAGCAGATGCGCCCATGCTCTCCTCTGGAGCCCTGGGTGCAGCCAGCCCCACTCTGCTGCTGGAGGAGTGGCGGTGCTGTCCCCTGACGATTAACGCTGATGCCGGTGCCCCATGGCTGAAAACCTGGAGAGGCTGACTTGGTCCGCGTTAGGGTCTTGATGTTTCAGAGAGAAATAAATGCCAGTGGTTCACTTTCTTCCCGTGAGAGGCAGAGCACCTTCTTTTCGGGGCCACTTCAGACCGAGAACAGCAGCTCTGTCGAAGTCTAGTGAGAGTTGCACGATTCCTGGTTTTGCCTGGTGTGGCCCTGTTCCCAGTAGAGCAGCTGGTCAGAAAGGGAACGTCGCGGCCAGCATGGCGTCTCTCCGCTTGCTGCCCGAGAGGCCTTGCTGGCAGGGGTGTGGCACTCCTCTGGGAGGCCTCGCTGCTGCCTGTGGGTGTGGGCGTCCTCAGGTCCTCTGGGATGTCCCCTGGGGAGTGCAGGGAGCGCGGTGTGCTGGTGGGGAGTCACCGGCATCGGTCTAGCAGGGGAGTTGGGAGTTTCTTGGAGAGGTTGTGGATTTGGCACTTGCTAATGCTCGAATGACGTTGACTGTGGTGGCCTCTCGACTTTTCTCTCCAAATAGCCACATCGATGCGACCAGTGCCCCCAAACCTTTAATGTTGAATTCAACCTGACCCTGCACAAATGTACCCACAATGGGGAGGACCCCACCTGTCCTGTGTGTCACAAGAAATTCTCCAGAGTGGCCAGTCTCAAAGCACACATTACGCTGCATGAGAAGGAGGAGGTAACTATCCCGGCCTGTCCTTGGTTCTCTGACTCCAGAGTGCGTCTGATCCTTGGGAGGGTCTGGGTGTAAGTGTGTGCACAGAGCCTTAGCCTGGGTTTCGGGGGGAATTCGTAAGTTTGCCTTGGCTGCTCTCCACTTCATGATGAAATGCTTCCTTTTCTGGCCAGCACCACTTTGGGGTAGAGACATGGTAGTGTGTTTGGGGGATCAAAGTGTGTCTCTCTGGGCTAGAAGAGGCTCCCCTCCTCTCTGTTTTTAGCAGAAACTGACTTTTGTGGAAATCTGTAGTGGCCCCAAGTGGGTTTTCTGCCCGTGAAGGTGTCTCCTGAACCCACGGCGTGGGGGCCGGGGGGTGGGGGAGGGAAGACACCCCCGGTGACCAGCCTTGCAGGCGCCCGGTGAGCAGTCCTGGCAGTGTGCCCGTGGTGGGCCGGCCTGGTGCTGCTGCTTGGGCAGGGGTCTCCTTTCAAGTGTGAATGGCGGCACTTTAAAGATACTGTCGCCTTGCCTTGGCTGGTGTGGCTCAGTGGATTTAGTGCTGGCCTGTGAACCAAGGGGTCACTGGTTGGATCCCCAGTCAGGGCACGTGCCCAGGTTGGGGGCCAGGTCCCCAGTGGGGCGTGTGCCAGAGGCAACCACGCATCGATGTTTCTCTCCCTGTCTTTTTTCCTCCCCTCCCCCTCTCTAAAAATAAGTAAATTGAAAAAAAATGACCCCCTCCACCCCAGTTTTACTGTAGAAAATTAGGAAAATGCAAAAAGTAAGGAAAAGAACTTAAAAATCACATGTAATTCTACTATTCAGGGCTAATTACAGGGAACTGTTTTTTACCCTAAGACAGAAAAACCAATACAGTATTTCAATTACACATATAAAACTTTTACCCTAAAAATTGAGTTCCTACTGTTTGTATAGGTTTGTGTATCTTTTTTATGTCTTTAATTTTTCACATAAAATCATTGGTCGAGTGTCCTTTAAAACCTGCTGAGTGAGTGATGCCTGTGTCATCTGGGAGCAGCCGAGTCTCCAGTGCCCACGACACTGGGCCTTGCGGGGCACCCTGGGTGCGCCCAGGCTCCTCCGCGCTCCCTGCGCAGCCCTGGTCACTCTGTGCCTTCTGTGCAGTGGGACGTCGTAGGCATCGCCACGCTGAACCTGCTCCTTACAGAGCAGCCGTGGTCCTGGACGCCGGTCACCTGCTCACACGAGCTGGCTGTTCGGCTGTGCAGAGAGGGAGCAGACGAGGCCGCCCGAGCCGGCGCTCCTGCGAGTGTCCGGGTGCGCTGGCAGTGCAGCCGCTCTCCCGGCAGGCAATTCGGTGCCCAGAGGACATTTTCGTGGCCTCGCCAGCGGGGAAGGGGGCGAGGTGCTGCCGGCACCTAGTGACCGGAGGCTGGAGGCGCTCCCCTCCCCCCATCAAGAACGGTCTGGTTTCTGGAAAAGGAATTGCTAGGTCACAGTGGATGTGACTTCAGAAATGTGATGGTGTCGAACTGTCTTCCAGAGTTTTCTCAGTTTCCACGCCAGCCAGCAGCGTAGGGAAATGCCCCTTTGCCATGCTGTCTGCCAGCGTCTGTGTTGTAAAACCTGTCTTTTCCAGTCTGGTGGTTTTAAGGTGGTATGTTTCTGCTGTTTTAATTTGTAGTTCCTTACTTATGAGTGAAGTTTAGCATCTCTCCATGTTTATTAGTCATTAGTCTTCTTTTTTGCCTTTTAATTCTCTAATTTTGAGGGAGTGGGTGGGGACTGTGGGACTGTCCTTACAGATTTGTGTCAGCTATTTACAGATCTAGGAAATTAGGTTTTTTTGCCCTTTCTTGGTTTCTGACATCTTCTCCTGGCATAAATTTTTGAATGGCCAAATACTCAAATTTTTAATCTGTTCATTTACAGACTCTCATTCTCGTGGTTTGCTTGGAAATACCTCCCATGGCACAGTGATCTTTCAAATCCCACATGTCTCTGGAGTGCAGGTGCAGTCCCAGGGCCCACGCTCATCCCAGAAACCGCAGGTCCACGCCGGTCCAGGTCCAGGCACCCTCCCCGGCTCCCGCGAGCCTCCCCCACTTCCTGTGTACGTCCCTCCTGCCCAGTGAGGACCCTGGCTCCCATGTGGCAGCCCAGTCCCGGGTCCCGTCCACAGCAGTGGCACGGTTGCATGGCCCCCCTACTGCAGTGCACCTACCGCAGCGCCGCTTGCGGGGGTGGCAGGGTGTGAGCTCAGGGTCATTTGGCGCAGCTTGCTTTCCACTGCAGGGCCACCCTGCCCGGCTCTCAAGTCACAGGGTGCAGGGAGCTGCCCTCCAGCTGCGTTCAGTCAGCGTGACCACAGAGACAGCCCGGGGTAGAGCAGGGACTGAGGGCTGGGATGCTGGGTGACAGGCACGTGACAGGAACCTCCTCTTAGGAGGCAAGCCCTATGAACAAGGAGCCCTCTGCCCCTCTGCTCCCTCCTCTGGGCTCTGCCTGGGGAGGGGCCACCTGGTTTCTCCGGTTTGTCTTGCTGGTTCCCTTTGGAATGACAGCACAAGTTTGTGTGCTCTGAGTCCCCAGTTCTGGTTTGGTATTAACGTAAACTTGAGAGTTTTGCCTGCTTAAAACTGAGTTGGTGTTTTCATTTTGGCTGCGTTGAATTTTTAGATGGTGTCAGGAGCATTGAACATGCTAATAGAACTGGGTCTTGATCCTCGGGACAGTGGGGTTCTGCTCACGTGGGCGCAGTGCACTGTTCACACTTGTTCTGAGGTGTTTGGGTCCTTACTGATGTCCCTGGGGGTCTCTCGGGGACACTTGCACATGACTTGTCTGCAGGATAGAGCGCATTCCCTACCGGGTCCCAGCCTGTCCCCACCGGATTTTCACCTGCAGGACCTGGGTGGGCAGTGAGCCTGGCTCCAGCAGCCACGGGGCTGGTTGAAAGCAGTCACCTTTTGGTCCTCATTTGCCACCACAGCAGGCAGTGATGACCACAGCACACCCCCTAACTTTGTTCTCATGCAAACGCCACGCGTGAGAGAGCGGCTCAGGGCACCCTCGCAGGAGGTGTCTCCTTTGCCCAGCTCACATGGCCCCCCATGTTACTCACACTCCTTCCAAATGCTCCACTACGTACCCCCCCAAACAAGGCACTTCCTCGGCCGTCACAAACAGCCACCACACTCAAGAAGGAGACTAGAGCGGAGGCTGCCGGGCTCCCTCAGGCCACAGCGCCCTCCCCTGGTGTCTCGCTGGGTCTCCACCAGGCCAAACCCTGTGTTCTGCCTCCCAAGGCCCCTACCCCCGCCATGCATGCATCTCACTCGCTGCGCAGTCAGCCGAGAAGCAGCCACGCGTGGGTCGGGTACATGCAACCTTTGGAGCCTGGGGCTTCCTGCTCCCTGTTTGACCCCCCAGTGCTGCTCTGTCACCATCGCCACTACCGAAGCCCAGCATCCCCAAAAGCGTGATGCCGCTGAAGTGAACGTGCTCAGCTGGCCGCTGGTGCGGCCCTCAGCCCTGGGCTCCCTGGGCGGGGCCGTGTGCCCTGGCTCCTTGCTCTTGGGGCGAGCCCATGGCCAAACACCCGCATTCTCCCTGGGAAGTGCAGGCGCGGCTCTGTCCTCACAGAAGAGTGAGGTCATTGGAGGGGAGGGGCAACGGGAAGCCTGGCCTGGGAACTGGGAGCAGAACCTGACGGGGGACAGAAGCAGGGGCTGCATGACATTGTGTGACGTGTGACCAATGTGTGGGTCCTGGCTGGGAGCTGGCCAGGGGGTGCCTGTCTGCCAGGGTGAGAATGTGGGGCTTGTCTGCACTGAGGTTGGAGTGTCGGCAGCGTGGGTTATGGGACAGCCAAGGTGTCAGGGCACGGGGGTGTTGGCAAGAGAGCTGGGGGGCAGCACGTGGTGCAGGCCAGATGAGCACAGTGCACCAGTGCGTGTGTGCGTGCGTAGGTGTGAGTGTGTGAGCAAGTGTGAGCGTGAGAACCCTCCAGCGGGTCATGTGATGGGGCAGGGGGCTGAGGCGGCGGCACCTGCCCCACGTGTGCCGGGTGCCCTGTGTGTAGCCGGGAGAGGGCAGAGGGGCCCGGCACTGCGCTGACCTCCGACCCGCCACGCGGGCCGGCCCAGGACGGGGGGCGGGGGGGGGGCTGCCTGTGCAGGCATCGCCTCACACACCCGTCACACTGCACCCTCGCTTCCTCCCTGACCGGGAAGACAGGTGGCCGTGACCTCTCAGTCCCAGTGGTGCGTGGGGCAGCGCACGTCCTTCTCCAGCCTCCCTCCCTCGCGTTCTCATGCCCGCACACTTTCCTGAGTTCCTCCCAGACGCGCGGGCGGCTGCAGGGGAGCGCGGGGCCCTTCCTCTCCTGGCGTCTCTCCACTGCCCGTCAGTCACCGACGGCGGTTCTGTTGCTGCGCGGCCTGGCTGTGCTGTGGTCCCCTGACGTGGGAACCGCGTCCGGTGTGGCTGCCGCGGGGCAGTGGGGCAGCCTGGCCTCGGTGGGATGTGGGGCTCCCTCGGCGAAGCTCCCTCGTCTTTGTCCTTCATCATCACAGTGGTTGGAATGTGTCATGGTTTCTGACTCCACTTTTCTTCTGAAAGGCTTTTGAGAGATGTCTCAGGGAATCCATTGACTTGATGTCTCTGTTGCTCCTTACCCACCTTCTACTTCCTGTCCTCGAGTGTAGCAGGTTCCTGGGTCAGCAGACAGTCACGGGAGGAGAAAAGGGCGGGGTGGCTGGAGAAGAGGCTTTTGCATGCCTGGGTTTGATCCGGCGACGGGAGCCATGAGAACGGTCTGCCTTCTCGCTCTGGGCGCTGGCGGTGGGAAGTGGTTTTCAGCCCTGACTTAGTGGCCCAGGATGAGCAGGAACTCAGGACGAGGAGTTTCACGTGAGCAGAATTCAGAGAAGCCTTCCCGTGCCAGTCTCAGGTGTGAACCTGGTGGTGGCCACTGGTGAGGACCGCTGCTCCCTTCGTTGGCTGTGGCCGGTCCCGGTGTGGAGTCTCTTTCTCCCCATGGCTCTGGTGCTCGGCAGTGCGGGCAGAGCAGCTCTGTGCCCTGAGAGGGCCCGGGACCCTCACCGGCCCTGTGGTCTCCTCGAACGCCACCCTGTCGTGTGGTTGGAGATGAAGGAGGCAGTAAGGGAACCTGTTCTGCCGCTGTCCCATGGGACACAGCATCGCACGGGCTACCCAGTCGGAGGGCTAGGAGTTTGAGGCCTTGGTGAGTGGGCCACGTGCTCAGCCGAGGAGCCTGTGACTGTACAGGAAGGGAGCCCTGCTGCCCATCTTCCCTGCGTATATGGAAGGAGTGCACTGTGGTTGTCTTCTTTTGTTGTGTGTGTTTTGTTTCTCACTTAATTGATTTGAATGTGGCATATTAGTAGTAACTGCAGGAATGATCGCTGGCCTTTCATAGCATTTAAACATGATGTATAAGAATCCAGCTAAGTCCTGGCCAGTGCGGCTCAGTGGATTGAGCACTGGCCTGCGAGCTAAAGGGTTGTCAGTTTGATTCCTGGTCAGGGCACATGCCGGGGTTGCAGGCCAGGTCCCCAATAGGGGGCGCGCAAGAAGCAACCACACATGGATGTTTCTCCCCCTCCCTTCCCCCTTTCTTTAAACAAAATCTTTAAAAAAAAAAAAAACAGCTTAGATGGAGTAGCCCCTATATCCCAGGACCTCCCACTTAACACTAAAAATGCCTAGAGACACAGCCATAGATGGAGAAAAACTCTGAAAGGTGGGAAGAAGGCGCGAGAGGGTGTCAGGGTGAGAGAAAGAGCGTGGCAGGGAGTGCCCTGGGCGTCTGTCCTTCCTCCTGGGCAGCTGGTTAGGGTGCTGGGGAAGCCCGCGGCCTTCTGCCAGGGGGTTCAGACAGAAGGGCTCCGGGAAGCTGAGGAAGGGCAGTCTAAGCACAGAAGACCATTCCGACCCTACTCCAGCCACATGCCGATTGGTAGGCCCCGTGAGACTGGGTGGAGGGTGGTTTTCCACCCGCTGCTGGCTGGTGTCTGTCTGACCCCCGGCTCCCTGAGATACAGTGGGGAGCCAGTCTCACACCCCTCTCCTGGCAGGTGGGGGCAGTGGCCCCCAGGGCCCTCCCCAAACCCCAGTGGTGTTGGCAGAGCCAAGCCGCAAGCTGTCTTTCTGTCCCACACCGGGCAGCACAGGTAGAGTTCTGGTTCCTGGCTAGAGCAGAGGCAGTGGGCCTGTGGAAGCTGAGCCTCCCCACCTGCCCTCCACCCACTCCGGGCAGCAGGGAGACTGAACCCGGTGCTGCCACTGTGCTTCCTACCTGCTGGTGTCACGGGCCCTGCAGGGGAACCTGCACTCCCACCTGGTCCTGCACTGTATCTAAACAGGTGACTTGTCACTGAAGGATGAGCTGAGATCGAGTCTCAGTACAACCCCCAAATGTGCAGGTCACAAATGACAGTCCCCCGTCGGACCAGGGAGCAGTGCAGCCCCAGCTCCATGAGGCCAGTAGGTGCCCGGCTGTAAGGGTCCAGCGAGGGCTTCAGAGCAGCCGTCTCCAGAGTGCCCAGGCTGCACGCCGCCCTGAGTCACTGTGCGAGCCGGCGCGCACAGCCCAGAGTCCCCACTCAGAGAGTGGGGACGACTTTCTGAGTCGGGTCCGTATGTCCTGAAACACCCTGCCCCCCTTGACAGGGAGAGGGGAGAGCACAGACCGGCCACAGCCGAGAAAGACTGAGGGCACCGGAGGGGGGGACGAGTGGTCTCCCTCAGGCACGCAGAGGTCGCTTTTTAAAGACGAGCAGCAAATTATTTTAGGTATTTTGTTTGTTTTTGACCATTTCTTGGAAAGAGCTTTCTTAATTTTCAATAGGATACTAATAATCTAGTAATTTTTAATTCCTTAAATTATTACATAACGACATTAATGTCACTTAAAGTCATTTTTGGATTGTTCGGTATGTTTCCCTTCATCCTCGTCTTTTTCTGCCAAGGGCGCACTGGGTCGTGGCGGTGAACGCCCTCACTTGAGTGGGGTCTGGTGCATTTCTGAGGCCACTGTGCTCGGCCACAAGGAGGACCGATGGGAAGAAGCGGCTGTAGGTTCTGTGGGAACAGCCATCCAGGCTCCTTGCCAGGCACACTCCTCACACCTCCTGCTTGGACCGTCCCTCTGAGAGCCGTCTCAGTGTGCAAGGGAGCTCTGAACACGGGGCTCCTTGGACCTCGTGCCAGGTCAGCGGTTCCTGCTGTGAGAGCCATTGCTGAGGCTTCCTCGGACAGCCGTTCACCTGTCCATGCACCTGCGACTGAGCTGCCACCCAGGTGCTGGCCGGGGGCTGGTGTCCTGATGTCCCTGATCTGTAGACGTGGGGTGGCCGGATGCACCAGAACCAGCTCCAGAACAGCTGCACTTGCACTACCTCACCGAGGTCCTCTGTGTCCCCAAAGTGCTCACTGCACTGACAGACACAGTGCCAGCCCCCCAGCGGCCCACCGGAGCCGTTCACTATGCTCAGAAATTGTTTTGTTCACCGTGTTTCTGTCTTCTCCTGTCAGCAAAGAAGCGATTTTTTTCTTCATGTGTGGACGTAATGATACACTGTTGAGGGGTGAACACTATCCATGTAACTTGTGTATTGGCCGTCTGCAGGACGAGCTCTTTTGAGAAGCTGCGGCTCTGAGTGTGGCCTGCTCACGGTGGTGTCCCCTCTGCAGAACCTCATTTGCCCCGAGTGCGGGGACGAGTTCGCCCTGCAGAGCCAGCTGGCCGCCCACCTGCAGGAGCACCGGCAGGAGCTGGCAGGGGGCCGCGTCCACACCTGCAAGGCCTGCGGGAAGGAGTGCGCCGCAGCGCCGCAGCTGAGGGAGCACCTGAAGAGCCACCACAGAATTAGGTGGGAGCCTCAGCGGGGCCGTGGGGCACGCGTCCGGGACTGGGAGGGGCAGGCAGGCCTGGCTTCGACCGGCCCAACGCACTGACCGGTCTGCCGTGGCCTCGGGACGCCTCTCCCGGCGCAGAGCTCCAGTCTGCAGTGGGAGAGACGAGCTCAGGTGTTCAGAGGAGGTGTCGGGCGTGTGCATAGAAGGTTCTGGCTAGAACTTACGTGTCCCTGACACAGGGCACAGCACACATAGAGACATCTCTAAGGAAGGCAGCCCTGTCAGGACAGGGGCCTTTTATGTCCCCAGTTTATAGAAGAGTATAACTAAGTTAAAAAGAGAGACCACTTACCTTTCTAAGGCTTTATGTCATTTGGTTTTGGAGCTCATGGTATTAACAACCATGCTTATATTTAAATACATTATATACATTTTTTTCATGGTAAAACGTAACTTGTCTTTCAAATTTCATATTTAATCTCTTCCTGATTATACATTTTTACTGATATATTCTTTTCTCAATGCCATTAAATACAACTTCTTTCCTGGCCCTTGGTGCTCGGGCCAGCTCCTGGTGACGTCAGTTCACACTCCCTGAGCTCCTGTCTCCCCCTGGTGGCACCAGCCAGCACAGCAGCCTGTGTGGCTGCTGTGATATGGGTCCGCCTGCCGCTCTCCCCCGCCCCCTGGGGTAGAGAGCCTCTGTGCTTTCCAGCCTCCACCCCAAAGCCCCACCCCACTCACGAAGTTGGTGCAGTGCCGCAGAGTCTGTGCTCATCCTCAGGCGGCGTTTCACGAACGCAGGCCTCTTGGTTTTCCTTCACTGCGCCTGTTGTTGGCGTATGTGGTGCCACCTAGTTCTTCGTTACTGCAGTGCTTCTTCAGCCCCAGGTGTAATGAATGCGTGTGCTGCACACCCCACTTTCCATTCTGAGGAAGTTTGACGGGCACGTGTGATGGCTCTCCAGGGTTCTGGAGAGAAGGCTGGCATGTTGCGGGCCATTGCACACTGGAACGTGCTGGCCCTGGGTCTCCTGGGGCTGGGGTTGGGCTGTCAGACAGCTCCGTCCTCATGGAGCCAGCTGTCACTGAGCAGAGAACAGCAGGGACTGAGTGAGCTGCTCTGCCAGTGTGGCCATTTGAGCCTGTGCGAGTACTGAGAGGGACGTTGGCCGCCCCTTTCCGTGCGATGGGGGACCAGCAGGGCAGGCAGGTGTGGCGGCTACACGTGAGGGAGGCAGGGCCAGGTGGCAGGCAGACCTTCAAGGCCGCTATGGGGGGCCGTGGTCAGGGTCAGGGAGAGGGAGGGGTCGGCCCGACTTCTCAGGTGTCAGCTTGCACGTTGGGGAGTGGCTGCCCCCATCGCAGAGGGAGATGGGGGTGGTGAAGAGCTGTACTTGGGACAGCTGGAGTGGGGCAGAGCGAGGCCCAGGGCAGTGCCCAGCAGAGGGGTCCCAGTGGGGGGGTCACAGTATCGCCTAGTGTGGAAGTCCGGGCGGGGGGCGGTAGCAGCGACTCAGGGTCGTGCAGGCTACGGTTGCGCAGACCCTGATCCCAGCTGTGCCTCCCTCGCCGCATGTGTGGACAGCAAGTTTTTGTGGTACTGGAGACAGAAGCCTGGTGAGGGGGTGGGGAGGGGGTGGGGAGGGGGCACACACACTTAGAAGGAGTCGACTTTCCGCTAAATCGAGTTCACAACCAGTCAGCTGGCCCTGAGGTAGGACCTCCCTGTGGAGGGGTCACACGGGCTTCCTGGGCGCCCTGTGTTGCACTAGGATGTCCGGCACCAGGTCCTACAACCGGAACGTCGACAGGAGCGGATTCACCTACTCGTGTCCGCACTGCGGGAAGACGTTTCAGAAGCCAAGTCAGCTGACGCGGCACGTCAGGATACACACAGGTGCGTGCTGCACTCTCTGGGTGGTAGGTGGTGTGGCTCCTGGGAAAGGAGGCGTACCTGGGAGCCCGCCAGACCAGCCTGGACGCCTGGGTCTTCCCTAGTCTGCTGTCTAACCTGGGTGTGAATTTTGAGATTCTGGGGTGGGCGTTGGACCTGTGAGTGCACCGTCATGGAGCACGTTCTGGCTGGAGGGACGGTTGCGGGTCCCGAGTCTGGGTAGCAGAGTCGGTACAGTGAGGGTTGTGTCTGCTCTTTTGTCCTGCCTCTAGGGGAAAGGCCCTTCAAGTGCAGTGAGTGCGGGAAGGCCTTTAACCAGAAGGGGGCGCTGCAGACACACATGATCAAGCACACAGGTGAAAAGCCCCATGCCTGTGCCTTCTGTCCTGCTGCCTTTTCTCAGAAGGGGAACCTGCAGTCCCACGTGCAGCGAGTGCACTCGGAGGTGAGCCTGCCTGGGGCCCGTGGGGTCCCAGTGTGCACAGGTCAGGGGGCCGCGGCCGGCGAGCCCACCTGACGCCACCTTTAAAGATGGGTTGCTAAACAGGGCTCAGTCCCGGGACACGTCTAAGGCCTTACACTTGGTTGTTCACAAGGCGTTAGGTAGCAATGGGCCGAAGATGGGTTTGAGGCAGCCGGCTCGGGTGCTAACGCAGGTGGGCCGATGGCAGCCAGGAGTCTGGTGCTCGGCCTGTGCGCCACCTGCACTGGCCACGGTGGGACTGGGGCAGGTGGTGACAGACTCACCCCCATGTGGCCGTCCTCCTGACTTGTCTGCTCCATCCTGCAAACGCCGCTCAGAGGCACAGGGCGTGGGCTCACCCTTCAGGACACTGAGGACGCCCATCAGACCCGTTCTTGTTCCCGAATCGTGACGAGGGAGGACCCCGTCCAGGACGGAACCAGCTCCCACAGAGGGAGCCTGGGCTGCTCGGTCACTGTTGTGCAGGCTGCTCTCGCAGTTAACTAAAGAGTTGACATCGCAGTTAACGTTAGTGCGGACACCAGCCACCGTGAAGGGAGAAGCAAGCCTAGAGCGTTGGGTCGTTTCTGTCATTTTTAGTGCAATGGTCAGTTATGTGCCCTAGTTAAGATGTTTTTATCTAATAATCAGGTGTGAAGAATTATTTTTTCTTTGATTTTTAAGGTCAAGAACGGCCCTACCTACAACTGCACAGAGTGCAGCTGCGTGTTCAGAAGTCTCGGGAGCCTGAACACGCACGTCAGCAAGATGCACGTGGGCGGCCCCGCGGAGACGGCACACGTCCTCACGGTGAGCTCGGAGCCGGCTGCTGGGGGGCGTCCCTTCCCGAAACCTGTCCTCGCGGTTACGACCTTTGAGATGGCCTGTTACTTTCAGTAGTGCTTGGTACCGTGAAGGTGCTCAAAGCTTTTCTACGTGGCTGTGAGGTGCCATGTCTTTTTAATTAGTGAGAAGAAATCAGTCTTCAATTTTAGGATAGTGTTAGAGGATCCTGACTGATGGACTATCTCCTGACCTAGTAAAAATGAGACAAATAAAACCACTGATTTATAAAATTTCAATTCCTGCAATTTATGGGTGACTATTAAGGAATATTCTTTACCATTGTATTACCATTTAAAAATCAAGTGTCCTTTTAAGATCGATTTCTTCATAAGGTGACAGGGGTCCTTTTTCCTGAGACTTTGGATTTGGGGAAACTAAACTGTGTGACTTCAGACACACACACTTCCGTCCCTTTTTTGTAGGACACTCTGTAGCTCAGCCCCATCTGCTGTCCCCACCTCTCCAGTGACAGCACGTGGCAAAGCCTGAGCCCAGAGCGTGGCGTGGGATCCCCTGCGCTGCGGGCCTGCCCCGTCTCCCCGCCCTCCTCTCCCAGAGCAGTGCCTGCGGGCAGAGCCGGCTCCTCGGCGTGCTCTCCTTGGGACAATGTCCTGGATGAGTCCTGAACTGGAGAATAATTAGGGCCTGACAATTAAGTCTTAAAATTCGATTTGAGACTGAGTATGTTCTAATAGAATTCTCGAGGTGTAAATAAGTCAACCAAGTATTAAGAATTTTCACCATTTCTTTGGGCAATATGCAAATTGAATGCGTAGATATAGTAACCGACCTGGAGTGATAACCCAGGTAACTTCTGAAATTTATGTTCTTGACAAATATCTGAGAATGCAGGGCAGGGTGGTGGGCACCTGGGCTCACCCTACTTTTTCTTCTCTTGGACAGTGTCCAGCGCCCTGCTTCGGGCGGTGCCTTCCCCCCAGCTGGTTCTCCAGCTCTCCTGTCTGCACCTGCTTTCCTCACTTTTGGTCCTTTTGGTGGCAGTTTTCTTTAGCTTCACCTTACGATTCTCTTACTGATGCTTTTCGATAGTACAGTTTTCATTTCTGGGCGCGCCCCCTTGTGCTTCTCCAGGCTGGGGCACTTTCCTCCGAAACGTCATTGGCGTTTTCCTTCGAAAAGTCCCTTCCCCTCTGAGTTGCCTGTCTGGGGTCACGTCGCCCTGCTCCCCTAATTTTGTTAGGTCGGGATGAGGCCACAGCAAACCCCAGTAGGAGCTTTTCATCCAGGGTGGAGCTGGCTCATCGCCAGGGCCGCCCGGGCCCGGGGAACCAGCTCTCTGACCTGGGGTCCCTGGAGGCAGTGCAGAAGAGACTCTGACTTCGTGGTCCGTGCGGGGCTCAGCAGGCCACAAGGCGCCGAGCTCTCCCCAGTTTTCATTGGGTTTTCTTCCTCTTGGAGCCAGTCCCCTGGCCCCCAGTCCTTGTTTTGCCTAAAGGTAAATGCCTCACTGCCGTCAGTGGAGGGAAACAAGGGGTTAATTGTCCAGAGCATTTCTCCCAGGGTCTTCACTTGCTGAATTAATAGGCTTCATTTTTAAGGGCAGGGTTAGGTCTGCAGAAAACAGTGGGAAGCACAGAGACGTCGTGCTCTCCCTTCGAGCGGCCGGGGGCCTTCGATACAGCCCTGGGTGGACGCCGGTGTGGGAGAGGGGCGAGGCCCCTCGCTGTGCTGGGTGCTGAGTAGGTCCGGACAGACGTGTCCTGTCCCGAGCCCGCCGCCACAGATGGCACGGGCCGGTCCTCGCGGCCCTGCTCCCCACCATCTCTTTGGCCTGGCGTTTTGGATGCCTGAGTTTCGGGGGACAGGCCAGCTCTGTCTGCCGCTGTTCCTCTCCGCCCCCTCCAGGGCCCTGCCGTCTGGAAGGTTTCGTATTTCTAGTCACACTTGTTCCTTCTTCTTTCGTTTCTTTTGTAGTTCCTTTCACCCTTTCGTGCTGATGGGCCCACAGCGTCTGAGGTTGGTGTGCTTCGCCCCATCTTGACCGCTCACACTTCAGAGACTTTAAGAAGCTGTAGTAGGACGTTATTGGATGTGTTCTTCTAAGGGCCAGTGTTGTGCCACACATAAAAATTAGTGAGGCATTATGTTTAAAATGTGTCCGGAAGAGGGTTAGATTTCATGCTCACAAAGAAAATGTGCCAGTTTTGTTTTTTTTTAAATGAAGTGAACACTAATGTCGTTTGTTCATGCTGTTAATGAAAGTGTTCCTGTGTTTCAGGCCACGCTGTTTCAGACTCTGCCTCTCCAGCAGACAGAAGCCCAAGCTGTGTCGGGCCCAAGCCAGCCGGACTCACAGGCGGTGACTGACGTCATCCAGCAGCTGCTGGAGCTCTCGGACCCCGGGCCGGCCGAGCCCAGCCAGGCCCCACAGCCTGGCCAGCAGCTGAGCATCACCGTGGGGATCAGCCAGGACATCCTGCAGGTGAGGGGCACTTCCTGCTGAGCCTGCGCTGTCCGACCCCGGGTCGTGACTGAGCGATGAGTGGGGCTGCCATATGCACCCCAATTGAATACGGGCTCGTGAAACAAGACGGGCTCGTTTAATCCCTTACAGACAGTGCAGGATTCTAAGTGATTGTTCAGCTAAACATTTTCTAAATGTTAAACCCCTGATTTTTTCTTCATGAGTGAATTGACTTGAGCGGGCTCTTCCGAACTTCCTCGTACCTGTCCCTGCTGACAGAAACGTTTGGTGGTGCTCGAGGCTGTGCCGTGACTCTTTGGAGTCAGCGCTGAGTTTGCACCTGCGTGTGCTGTGTGCACATGGTACGCACGCACGCTGAGGACGAGGGGGACGAGGGGGACGAGGGGGACGAGGGGGAGCGGACAGGTGGAGGAGGCAGGGCTGGGGAGCTGAGCCCTCCCCTTCCTGGGTCTGACCACGCAGCCCCACGTCTGGTCCTGTGTCCAGTGTTCATTTCCGAGCAGGCAGCCTTGTTCCTCCTCCTCCCTGGTTGTGTCCTTAGTGTACAAACCAGCCTCTTCTCTGCCTTGGTGGGGACAAGGTAGTCGGGTAGCGTGACATCCGATGTCTTAAGGGTGAACCCAGTGCAGCTTAAACCAGTGATTTCCACCGTTGCCCAAGGTCACGCATGTAGAAGTCAGGTTAATTTAAATTCTGTAATTCGGACAGGGAATGCTTGTCATGCTGCGCCTAGGTGGGGTGAGATGTCAGGTGTCGGAGGGGCTGCGTCAGTCACAAAGCAGGGTCTGCTGCTCATGGGACTGCTGGGCAGTGCGGACTGTGCCCCACGTAGCACTAGAGCTCGGTAGGGGAGGCTGCTGGAGCGGTGCGGGCGTCGGATCTCCTAACCTTCGAGTTTTTTCTGTCTCAGCAAGCCTTAGAAAACAGTGGGCTGTCTTCAATTCCAGCTGCAGCACACCCCAGCGACACCACCCACGCCAAGACTGCCGTGCCGGGCCAGGACCCGGACCTTCCCGACGCGCCCAGTGAGCCCGCTGACCCTGCGGACGCAGAGCCGGAGAAAGAGCAGGAGTGCCCAGAGAAGCTGGGCAGGAGGGAGAAGAAGCTAATAAAGAAGAAGTCGCCGTTTCTACCTGGTAATTCAGTGGCTTTGATCTTTGGACGTCTGGGTGGCACAGTGCTTGTTTTTTGGAGAAACACAGCTTTTTTTTTCCTTCTAAAGGTGATGGTTTTTGAACATCCTGATAAAGCATTTGTTTGGTGTTTGACATTAAAAACCATGAGATGAAGTTGATAAATCACCTCTTCCCCTTGGGTGCCTTCTTCCTGTGCGCGCAGCCTCCCCTGGTCACCCCGACGGCTTGACTGGGCTGTCACTGACCTCCACGGAGTGGCCTCCTCGCCCCACAGCTGCCCTGCCTCCTGGCTATGCTGCTGTCCCTGCTGTCGCCACCTTCCCCAGTGACGGTGCCACCACAGCAGGCCTGTGACGTGCAGCCCCTCTGCTCTTGGCCTTGCCCCTCCACCCACTGTCGTGTCTTGGCCTTGGAGTCTCTGGAACCAGCCCCATGGGCACGGCCACTCTCCCCACCTTGGTCCTGGGAGCAGGCAGACCTGACAGTAGTGAGGGCTTCCTGCTGGTGCCTCCCAGGCTGTTCCGCCTCAGGAGCACCTTCCTCCTCCCCCGCTAATCTGTTCCCTGCCACGCCCTGCTGGTTGGTCACTTCAGCTACGTTCAGTGTGCCCTCTGCAGAGGGCCACCCTTCTCAGCTCTGTGGCCCCCCAGCGGCTAAGCAGTGGGGGTCACTTCTGTTCTTTCCGATTCCCTGCTCGCTCGGCCTGGCTCTGAGTGTGGGGGCAGGGTCACCACACCGCCCTCCAGTGAGATAGGTCCGTGTCTTTGGGCAGAAGCGTTCCCGCAAACATATTTTCCTAGTGACCAGAACTGTCCTGCCCTCCCCAGGTGTCTGGGGAGCAAGGGCTTTCTTGCTGCCCAGAGTGGACTGACCTCTCATTTCCGTTCACCCCTCCTGAGAATGTATTTCCTCACTGTTAACATGAAGTTGTGAAAGCCCCTTTCCCACCTCACAGAGCACGGTGGCTCTGCCCCCCTTCCCTGAGTCTGCCCGTCCCCCCCACCGCCACAGGCGCTGGGCCCCACAGCATCGAAGGTCCCGGGGGCAGAATCGTGAATATCGGCCCACCTGCCTGCACCCGTCAGAGGATGGACACCCACAGCCAGCGCAGAGCCTCCCGTGGGCGTCTGCGTGGCTGCTGCCTGTACCTCTCGTGCTGGAGCCTCTGAAGGGGCCCGGCCCGGCTGCCACCCGCGGTCCTGCTCCCGGTGCAGGGCCAGACCCCCGTTTCTGGAGACGCGGGTGGCAGAGGCCCCGCATACTGAGGACGGCGGGCGGCTGTCCCCCTGGGTGTCCCTCCCTGACCTTCTGCAGCGACCACAGGCGTTTCAGAGTGGCTTCCAGAGTCTCTGGGGGTCGCACAAAACAGTTTTGAATAAGCTAAAGTACCTGTGTACAGTGCTGAGCAAGTTTTGGTGACTCTAATACATTTTATTATTTTTCTTTTCAAAATTGGGGCAACACTGATTAGTAGAATTCTGTAGGTTTGAGGGGTGCAGTTCTACCATGTTCTGTCGAACACCTCATCAGTATATGGTGTGTTCACCAGCCCGAGTCTCCTTCCGTCTCCGTGCCCCCCTTCGCCCTCCGCTGCCTGCCCAGCACCCCCATCCCTGGTCGTCCCCGAGCGTCGTCTGGGAGGGAGTTTGTCCTTTTTGGTTTGTTTACGGCTTTGTAGATTAAATTGCACTACATTTTCATTTCTTTTCCCTTTATTTTTATGACACATTTTTTAATTTGGCCAATTTTTTAAAACATTTTACTCTGTAAAATACACTTTTTAATAAAAAATGTGTAACATTGGTGCTTTTAAATCCATTGGTGCTTTTAATCAGGTAACTTTTGAAGTCATTCAATCATAGTCATTCATAAATCATTCAGTGGTGGTGTAATAATTTAAAGAAATGTGATTGCAATTTACAAAATAGTTCGTTATATTTCCCCATACTTTTCTTTTATTGAGATAAAAGAAAATTTAAAATTTCAAACATTTTACATTCAGTAATTTAAAAAATATACTATTTTCTATAACTTTGGTCTTTTTCTAAAAGAATTTATTTATTTTTAGAGAGAGGGGAAGGGAGGGAGAGAAGGAGAGACACATCAGTGTGTAGTTGCCTCTTGTGCGCCCTTTACTGGGGACCTGGCTTGCAAACCAGCCCTATGCCCTAACTGGGAATCGAACTGGGGACCCTTGGGTTCACAGGCTGGCGCTCAATCCACTGAGGCACACCAGCCAGGGTCAGCTATGGTCTTTATAAAGGTCTTGAGTTCAAGTTTGAAAGAACAAAAATGAAGGTACCAGGATAACTCTGCTGTAGGTTTAGTAGCATTTTCATACAGAATAATTTGAATTGGCAACCAACTTGTCTTGTCATATACCTGCCCTTGGGGAAGATCACTCCCAACGTACAGAAGAATTCCGATACGTGCACTGAGGGAGGCTCACACGAGTGTTCAGAAGACCCACGTGAGCAGTGCAGAAAACTGCTTCTTCGTGAAGCATTAGCTGGCGCTCCTGATGCTGAGGTGGGCGCAGGGGCTCTTGTCTCCAGGCATTGCTCTCTGGAAGTTCATTTTTTAAAAGAAGACTTTGTTATTTATTCTCAGAGATAGGGGGAAGGGAAGAAAAAGGGAAGGAATGAAACATAGATGTGCGAGAGAAACATTGGTTGTTGCCTCTCACATACGCCTCCGCCTGGACTGGGCCTGCAACCCAGACATGTGCCCTGAACGGGAACCGAACCGGTGACCTTTGGCTGCAGGACGATGCCCAACCCCGCTGAGCCCCACCAGTCAGGGCACCTTTAGGTCATTTTTAAGAACTCTGGCATCAGGCTACTAGAGCGCTTGCTAGACCTACCTGCACGAGGGCAGATGTTCTCCTTGAAGGTACCGGACACGTTCCGGTCGTTCACAGTAGATGGCTTCCAGTGGCCCTGTGCATGCAGCCGAAGTGATATTCGATGTGTCCTGCCAGGTACAGGTGTTCTGAGGGTGCTAGGACAGGTGTGGAGGTGCTGCACCCCTGAACTAACCAGCACACCCACCTGTCTGTCACGTCCCCACCATTCTGCCAGCTTTCACCTCTGCCCGCGGGTGACAGTGGCGTTCCCCAGCCCTGGCGCTGCAGGACCATTTGCAGGAAGCTGACCGACCCTTCCCGGGGAGTGGACTGTCGTCTGCTTGTGCTGGTCGGGCAGCACTTCCCAGCCGCACGGAGCAGAGGCGGGACTCCATGGCGACAGGCCCTGCTCGCAGTGTGGCCGCACCTGGTTGTCAGGCAGGCGCTCCCGGGCGCCTCCGGGGCTCCAAGGCTGCAGGCATGTGCTCCGGGGCGGGGGTGGGGGGCAGGACCCTTCTCCCTCCAGGCAGACGGTCCTCCCTCCAGGCAGACGGTCCTGCTGTGAGGGGCAGACATGGGCTGCTGGAGACACCGGCCCTTCCTCATCTGGAGCCAGCATCAGTTTTTGTAACGGAATTTAAGTAAATGTTTGGCCCAACTCGATTTTGTTGTTCAGATGGGCAGCGAGCTGGACACACTGTTTCTTTATGCTGTGCTTGTCCCACTGTCGTGCAGAGCCACCAGTATTGCACGTCACCCTCTCAAAGTGGCCAGGGCCTCTCTGGCCTCGGCCCTTCCTCCCTCGCCTGCGTGTTCACGGCCGTGTCCCGGTCCCCGGTGGCCGCAGCGTCGCAGCGCGCTTTCCTAAGGCAGGAGCCCGGTCCCTTCTCGCCGTGTTTTGAAAGTTTATTTTTGACTCTTCACATATTTATTTTTTCATATGTACTTTAGAATTGTCAGCTAAATTTCCACAACTGTAGTTGTAAAAAAGTCCTATTGGTATTTGTATGTAAATGATTTAATCAGGGAGAGTTGACGATGAACTCATAACTTGTAGTCTTTGTACCGAAGAATACACTGTGCACTTTTTTTACCCGTCATTTCGCATATTTTAGTAGTGTTTTTAAATTTTCTTCTGGATTTAGTTTGTAGATATGAAGGATATTGACTTCCATGTATTAAAACATGGGTCTCTTTCTGAGATTTAGTGTTTTTTAGGTCCATGTCAGATCATTTATAAAGAGTAATTTTACCTCTTATTGTTTATATATGTGTCTAGTTTCATTGGTAGTATCTCTAAACACGATAAACAGCAGAGATAGTGCCGTTTTTCCTGACTTAATAGGATTCCTTTGAGTATTTTTCTGCTAAGTGTATTGAGAAGTTTTATTCACCTCCTCCTGTTTTTAGGCAATTTTTTTAAAGTTAAGGCTAGATGTTGGATTTTAGTAAAAGGCTTTCCATCTGAACAATGACAACAACACAGACCTCGCTTCCGTCACACGTAGTCGCTGCACGTGAGAGTAAGGCTGCTGCCCAGGGTCGAGAGGGCCCCCTGGGGGTGTGGGTCTGTGGTCGGGTCCTCAGTGTGTCCAGGGCCGGGCCTGGCTTCTGTTGCCTTGGGACGCTGGGCGGGCCGAACAAACAGTGTCCCCAGGTTTGGGTGCAGGCCGGGCTTGTGATTAGACCCTGATGACAGTTGTTTCCTGTCATCTTATGTCATTAAGGATTTTCATTTTCATTGTTTGGGAAAACTTTGCTTTTTCAGGGTGAGTTCCTAATTTTAGCTAACATATTTTATAGTTCCCTCCCACCTTGTTATACTTTGCTTTTTGATTTGTTGTAAGATCTTTAGGTAATAATTCCACTTCTCTGCATTGCTTTTTACTTGTTAGTTTTAAGCGGTCTTAACTCTTCATCTCTGTTAGCGTAAGCAGTATGACCATAAACTTCATGCCTGTCTGTCTTCTGAAACCATTTCCCTCGTTTCCTACTCTTTTTTTTTTCTCCTCCTGGCTTGTGTTTTATTTCCATTGTGTCACTGTTTTTTAGCAAAAATGTCATTTTTATTTCTTTTTCTTAACCGATGTTAGTCTTGCAAAGAGCATCAATGTGCAGGACATACATTTTCTTTGCTCACAGTCACGTGCACAGAAGAGAATTTCTGGTATTTACTGGCTGCGAGGGGGAGGAAACGCCAGAATTTCCTCTTCCCACTAAAACTGCCCAGACAGCAGATCCTGGAATAATGTCATTTTGTTATAATGCTGATGAGGAAAAAAAATGGATTCCGGCCAGGCCCATCGTCCTGTGTGCATTTCTCAGGAGCCCACGCCCTCTCGTCCCCAGCTGCGCCCCCGAGGTGTGCGTGGCCACCCCTGCCGTCCCCACTGGAGCTAGCTAGCTCTGGTGTGCTGGCTTTGTGGTGGAGGGGGGGGGGGCAGGGCAGCTGTCCATGACCTCCTGCAGAGCCTCGGCCCCTTTGAACCCTAAGCAGGAACCCTCAGGGTGGAGAAGAATCATCTTCCTTGTTTCTGTCAGTTTTTTAAAAATGTATGCTAGCTCACATTTATTTCACTATTTAATAGTACAGTGTTTGGGGCCTTCATTTGGAAGTTGGGTGAGGTTTTCCGGACCAGAAAAACGCTGCAGGAACTGAACTCTTTCTATCAGTTCGCTTAGAGTACACTTGGCTTCCTTACCCATCATTTCGCTCCCAGTCACAGCTCCCAAGAACCCGGCGACCTTAGGGAGGACGTGCTGTGCCCAGACCAGAGTGCAGCAGCTCCGGTGCACACCCCCCGCGCAGCGCAGGCCTCAAGGGGACTCTGCAGGACTGTGCGTGTCTGCTTACTGTTGCAGGAGGACATCCAGTCCAAAATAAAGCACTTCTGCTGAACTTCGTTTTTAAACTCTTTCTACTTCAGAAATAATTTGCTATTATATTTCCGTAAGTTCTACTTGTGATTTTTCCCCAATAGGAGTACTTTACCCCGATTCGAAGTTGAGTGATGTTTAGAGGTACAAAAGCATCTTTCACGAGCTTGTCTGCACACATCCTACTTTGTCCCAGCTGTTTATAAACCGCCTTTCGTAGCATGCGGACTTCCCTTTCGGAATTACTGGCACTTGCATTTTTTTAATTGGTGGTCTGGAGGAGGCTGAAACAGTACAGCGTTCTTCCTTCCCCTCCTGTCCTTTGAATCAACTTCGGGGCCCTGGACGGCCCATTTCTAACTCCCAGTTCCTCTGGCCCGAGGTTGCAGCCAGCCGTTGGTGTGGTCCCATCAGCTGCCTGTGCAGTGAGCACGTACTTGTCTGTCACGTGGCACAATCTGTGTTTTTGGGACTGTTGGGATTTCCTGTAGGGTTAAATCACAGCTCTCGCTAATTGCAGTGATTATGGAAATGTCCACCTTCCACCGTCACTGACTGTATAGCTCCCGCTCTGGCAAAGAGCGCCCGAATTTTTGTGGTTGCGCAGAGCTGTGGTAGTGGAACCCTGGACGGGCACTGAGCACCTGGCTGTCTGGCCCTCACAGCGTCTGTGTCATTATGCTGCAGGCTCCATCCGCGAGGAGAACGGGGTCCGCTGGCACGTGTGTCCCTACTGCACTAAGGAGTTCCGGAAGCCCAGCGACCTAGTACGGCACATCCGCATCCACACGCACGAGAAGCCCTTCAAGTGCCCGCAGTGCTTCCGCGCCTTCGCGGTGAAGAGCACGCTGACTGCGCACATCAAGACACACACGGGCATCAAGGCCTTCCAGTGCCAGTACTGCCTGAAGAGCTTCTCCACCTCCGGGAGTCTCAAAGTGCACATCCGCCTGCACACAGGTGCGGGGGTGGGCAGGGCGCACGCACGCACGCACGCACGCAGATTGGGGGGGCGGCAGGGCACGCGGGGGCGGGGCCCCGCCAGCGCTTACTTCCGCACTGGTGGGCCGGCCAGGCCGCGCTGCGCCCCGGAAGTGTGCGGTGCCACGCTGCTGAGCTTCGCCAGGACCGTCTCTTCCCTCCTTGATCTGAGTTCGTGGATACCCTGGGTGGGCGAGGTCCCAGGTAGGTCCTGGCAGAGGACGCCCACATGCCGGTGCTGGTCCTGGAATCTGCATTTTCATTTACCAGTAAAATTGTGAAAGGAAATTCCCTTCAAAAGGAAAGTGATAGTAGAGGGTTATTAGGAGGATTTCGTTACCATCACCACCAGCGGCAGCAATATTACCATTAAGAAGAGCTCGCGTTCCGAATGCCAGACCCTGCCCGGTGCAACTGCCCCCGGGGCCTGGCCCTCCTGCGGCCGCTCCCGACCGAGGGCGGCTGGAGGGAGAGAGCAGCTCACACACTTTAATGTGTGTAAGACTGCTGGTATTTTGCCCATTTTACTTCGTCCTGTAAGTAGTAAATGTGTTTGTTGAAGTATTTTTAGTGCGCTTCTTAGTATCTATAACATTAACTGTATGCAGACAAGGGAAAACAACTAAATTGTAATAGCAAGGAAATGAAAGCATGAAAGGACACATGGACTATCAGTGTGTCGCTTCATATCAATGCATCGCTTCAGAAACACCAGAGGTCTGTGTTGGTGTTAATCGTTAAGAAGTATTTCCTTGAAATGACTTTACAGTGTGCTTTTATTTTTATTAGGAGTCAGGCCCTTTGCTTGTCCTCACTGTGACAAAAAATTCCGGACCTCGGGCCACAGGAAAACTCATGTAGCTTCCCACTTTAAGCACTCTGAACTGAGGAAAATGAGGCACCAGCGGAAGCCGGCCAAGGTCCGAGTCGGCAAGGCCAGTGCCCCCGTCCCCGACATTCCCTTGCAGGAGCCCATCCTCATAACGGACGCAGGTAAGGTGCTCTACGCAGGGTCTCGCCAAGGGGACAAGACGTGGTCATCCCCACCGTCCCATGGGTTGGGGCGTGGGGGAGTGGGCTACTTGGAAAGCGCCGTTGGGTTCTGCGGGCCAGCGTGCTGCACCGTGGCAGCTTGGACCCGGGTTCTCTCTGAACTGCTCTCAGCCAGGGTTCTGGGCGAGAAGGGAAATGGGCGTAAGTGGAGGCGTCGGCGTTCGCATGCTAACTGCAGAAGCACTTCTGCCTGAACAGAAAGCTCAAAGATGGACAGTGGACAGGTGTCCATTGCATGGAGCACACAGCGTCCTTTGCTATTTTTGTCTTAAAAGTCTTACCTCGTGTGTACTAGGTTGCCATTTGTGTGGCTTCCCTCTTGGAGTTTCCCAGGAACTGTAATTCTTAGGGGATTGGAGCATTCAGAGCAGGTGGTGGCTGGCGCTGCCCTGCTGGGGGGGACCCTGCAGTGTCCGTTCGCACTAGCTGTGCAGTTCATCTTCACCGCAGCCTGTGTTCAGTGCTCTGTGTCCTTCCTGTAAGGTGAGCGCAGATGGAGCACTTAGGTGATGGCTTGAGAATTATCCCTCGTGCTCGAAGGTTACCCCCCGACTACTAGCTTCTTTCGGGGTGCCACGACTCGTTTGAAAGGCCTGCGGGTTTCTGGACTTCAGCCCCGTACCCCTGAGCTGCGTGAGCACTGCATCCCGGCTCTGCAGATTCTTCAGGGCAGGGACAGGCCCGTTATGCCCGCCCGTTAATCCACCCTGCTTTTCCTTCCTCGGAGATGGAGACTTCGTAATTAGCCTGTCTCGTTAACAGAACTTAGTGTCTGTAACGTTATCGGAGTTGAAAAACAAAGCATCTGAAAGCCGCAGTCTGTTATTTTACTTCTAATAATCCAAAGTGGGGAGCTCCCACCCCTTGCCAAGTGCTCAGAATCATCCGGGGTCTGTTTCAAAATACGCCTGGGCGCCACCCCAGAGAGCGTATCTCGGGGGAGCCCACGGAGGTTGTGACAGCACAGTTAGAGGCTGTGGGAACTGCCGTCAAGCCCACCGAGTGCCCTGTGCACACTGGCGCGACAGATTCCTCTGGCCGTCCAAAGGGTGACGGGGGCGACGTCATAGGTAATGCCCTCGGAAAGCTGCGAAAGGGACAAGTAATCACTGACTGGGGGGGTAGATGGTGGGTCTCACTTGAGCCTGTGGCAGACTCTCGTGTGCGGGTATAGCAAATGGGCACTCAGTCTTTTCTAGGAGGTGGGGGGCCTCGGACTTTCCTTCCAGTGATCTTCGAAACGGTTGCCGGTGGTTAGTGGGGGATTGGATGAGGGGTTCGGCCCCTGGAATGCAGGTGGCTGGGCGGGCAGGGAAGGGAAAATAGCCTAGGGACAGAGGGGCGCCCCCGCCCCAGAGCCAGGGCTCCTCAGCCTTGGAGGAGGGTCCTCTGGATGAGACCTGGAGCCTTGGGGCAGCAGGCAGCTGGAGACACTGCGGTGGGGAGGAGGTGATGAACTGTAGACTCTGCAGAGTTGTTGCCGGTGGGGATGCAGCTCCCAGAGACCGGCAGACGGAGTTGGGGGACCTGGCTGCCGAGGTAGGTGGCTGGAGGGGGATCCTGCCCCAGGATCCCAGGGGGTCACACAGCGGGGAGGTGGTTCTGAGCTGTGAGGCCTGGGGCAGTGGCCAGACAGCCCCCCCAGGTGGTCCGCAGGCTGCAAGCAAGGTGCATCCCAGGCAGCGGGGCACCGGCCAGCCGTGCTGGGCAAGCTCTCACTGCCCTGGGCCCGGCAGCCTCGTGGTCGCTGGGGGCAGCTTGCGGCCCTCAGAGGTCTGCGCATGGTCAGCGCAGCACCCTAGGGAGAGAGGCACCCGATACCCTGGGTGTTCATCGCTGGTCTTAGCTCTGACCAGCTTTCGAAGGGCTCCCCTCCCCCAAGGCCTTGCTCTTCATCCTCGCAGACGTGGGAAACAGCAGAAGCAGTTCTGTGTTCTTTGGGCGAAGTGTCTCGTTTTTCCCTGTGAAACAGAGAGAAGACATCCATCGGAGGGCTTTCACTTTCTAGAAGTTACCTATGAATTTCACTTACTTTACTTACTGCTGTGACCTTGTGTAACTAATTGCTTGAAATTACTTTCTTTGCTTTTCTTTCTCATTGCTTTTTAATGGGTGTCTTGTCTAACAAAGCAGGTGAACTCACACTGTCCATTTGTGTTACTCACTGTAGTCGTGGGAGGAGAGTTTTCAAGTTTTTCTCCTGGAGTTTTTCTTGGAAACTGTCCATTGCATTTGCTTCAGTGGGGAGCCACCAATCAAACCGTGACTCCGTGTTTGGGAGTCATGGTTCCCGTGGCCTGGGGGTTGGGGGACTGCTGGCATAGGCTGCCAGAGGGTGTCCCCGCCGGTCTGCCTCAGGGAGCCTTTGCATCTCCACGCTGTGAGCTCAGCCGCGGGCGGGCGGGCGCGTCCCCCCTCCCCATGTCAGGGGCTGTGTGGGAGGACATTCACGCAGTCTCCTGTCCTCTCCCTGGACCGAGCATGGCTCCCAAGGCACAGCAGAGGCCTGGGCGGACCACCCTGGTTTGAATTCCGTGTGCTCCTAACGTGCTGGACACTGAGAATAGGGTCATTAGCATGCTTGGTCCTGTGCGTGTGGCCTGCTCGGCAGGGTCATTGTGGGCTCAGGCCGGCATCAGTGGCGGTGTGACAGGCTTGGGGAGTGCGGCCAGCAGGGTGGGGAAGAGAGACTGGAACTGAGTCACAGCGTGGCTCAGGTAGCAGTGAGACCGGCCGGCTTGGAGGGACAGGGTGATGCTGCAGACGGGTGGTGGGTGGACAGAGTGGCCTGTGTGGGCAGCCACCGGAGAGTCTTAGTAGTGGAGCTTGTGAGAGGAAGCCAGCAAAGGTGTTAAGCCTGTCGCTTTAAGGTCAGGGCTTACTGAGTAAAAGTGCCTCAGTCGAGGACACCCACCGTGGGAACTGGGGGTCCTGGTAGGTGTGTGGCAGGAGCCACGCAGAGGGGCGCGGTGAGTCTGGGCTCATGGGACCGGCACGCCATGGCCAGCATGTCTCTGAGGTACAGGCATGTCCTCGTCTTCGTTGGGCCGAGTGCAGGGGTGGGGCAGGTGGTGGGCTGGCTGGACGGGAGGGCGGGACCGTTCCAGTGAGCGGCCAGGTGGGCCCAGGCCGGCTCCGTGAGACTCCGGACCCGGGCAGGCCTGGCAGCCAATGGGCTGTGCCCTGGGGATTACACCCAGGTCGGGGTGGGGTTTAGAATTCTCCTGGACAAAGGACGGAGCTATGCAGCTGACTTCGGTCCTGTGCCTGAGCTGTGCAGTCTGGGCGAGCTGTCCATTCCTGTCCTGCGTCCTTTCTCTCTCTGCGGGAGAGGCTGGTTCTGAGAGCAGAAGGGAGGGGACGACGGTCAGAGGAAGAGACCCTGAAGAAGCAGGGCCTCCTGGCCTGGTGAAGACGGCTGGAGGGGCTGGGGGGCTGCTCTCCGTGGTTCTGAGTCGCCCGGCCCTGCGCCCTCGGAGAGCCCGCACGAGTGCACCAGGGAGAGCCAGGGGCATCGGTTTTAGGAGGGAATCGCACACACAAATGTGGGCTGGTGGGGAGGGCAGGACCGGTGCGGGTGGGGTCTGGGCAGGTGGAGGCCTGCCGAGGAGGGGGGCCCTGGGTGCCCTCCCTGACGCTCCCGCCACCTGCAGCTAATGGGGGCCGAGGGCACTCCTTGCGAACGAGGGCTCACCAGCATCGCCTGCCATAGTCAGCCAGGGAGCCCTTCGTCCACATCCGACCCAAACCTCTGTCGCCAGCCACACTAGAAGTAATGCTGCTGCTGGCAGATGTCCCTTTGGTAGAATCTCTGTGGAAGGCTGACTCCTTCAGAACCAAAGATCCCGTTACAGTCATTTCTCTCTCTCATGCCTTGTTTGTTCGTCCTGGACAAAAGAGCGTTTTAAATTTTGATGACCTTAATTTCGGATATGCTCACGTCAACTCTGTGCCAACAGATGCTCATATAGAAAGTGCACGGAGGTGTCCGTTAAACTTGTCTCTGGAGCCAGGGGGGCAAGGTGCGACCGCAGAAGTTCTCTTTCTGTTGAGTTGTTTGCTTCATACTGACCCTGCCGCGCGTCCCCGGGGCATTCTTTAAGGAGCCCGTTCCCAGGCAGCTCAGTGGGCACCAGGGCGTCACGGCGGGGCCTGCACTTCACCTCCGCTGACTCCGTCTTCTGGGCCAGGTGCCTGCGCTTTGGTGCTTCTCTGCTTCAGCAGCTCCAACAGTGAGTTATTCCTCATTCTCTTTGGGTTTGTAGGTCTCATCCAGCCCATTCCAAGAAACCAGTTTTTCCAAAGCTATTTCAATAATAATTTTGTAAGTGAAGCAGATCGACCGTACAAGTGTTTCTACTGCCATCGAGCGTATAAAAAGTCCTGCCACCTCAAGCAGCACATCAGGTGAGGCGGATCCGTCGGTGGTGGGGGGGTGGGGGGGGCAGGTGTGGGGGAGGCAGTGCGAGCTCTTGGGGTTTCAGACTCACATTTGACCCCCGGACACTTAGTGGTGATGTGTATGTTTATTCTTTATTGTCTTGACTAAGATATTTTACCCAGAAGTTCCCACCAAGTTTTATTTGTACTTACTCCTGTAATACTCAGTTATTTGCAATTTCTAGGACATGTCAAAGAAGTATTTGGTTGGTTTCATTAGAATTAAGCCCTTCACTAGTTTTTCAGGTGTGTTTGCTGGAGTTCAGGTTAATTCTTGGTGCCAGCAATGATGAGGAGAAAGTAGAAACTTGAGCCTGAGAAACAGATCAAGAAGAGGGTACAGAACCCAGAGCAGCCTGGGTCTGGCCGGTCCCCCTACAGTCCAGCGTGGTGGCCAGCGAGCGTGGTGTCTCCGGTCCCTGCTGGCTGGTGGGGAGAGCAGCGTCCGTGCTGCTCAGTGAGAAAGTGGCGGTGGGTGGGGCCCTGCGGGGAGTGCGCCCCGAGTCACGGAGCACCGCGCGCAGTGTGTCCGCGGCGGCCCCGTCATTCACGTGGGTCTTCTCCTCAGGTCGCACACTGGCGAGAAGCCCTTCAAGTGCTCTCAGTGCGGGCGAGGCTTCGTCTCTGCGGGGGTGCTCAAGGCCCACGGCAGGACGCACACCGGGCTGAAGTCCTTCAAGTGCCTCGTGTGCAACGGGGCCTTCACCACGGGGGGCAGCCTGCGGCGGCACATGGGCATCCACAACGACCTGCGGCCCTACATGTGTCCCTACTGCCAGAAGACCTTCAAGACCTCCCTGAACTGCAAGAAGCACATGAAGACCCACCGGTGTGTGTCCTTCTGGGGCCCCCGCAGGCGCCCTCTCGGCTCCCGCGTGGTGGTGAGGCCGGTTTTGAGGGGTGATTGTCTGTGAGTCCTGGGCGGCCACTGCTGGCTGGAGGGGTCCGGGTTCACAGAGCCACCGTCTGTGTCTGAGGGCCTATCGGGAACCCCAGGCATTTTTAATTTAAATTTTAATTTTGAGTGTAATTCCAAAGTCGGCTGTATTAGGCCAAATGCTCTGTAGGCTGTGTTTTAACACTGAAAGAAGCGGATGAGTCTGGTGTAGTGAGCTGGGACAGATCTGGAAAACGGTTCTGGGCAGCCCTGCGGCTGCAGTGGCGTGGGCGGGTCATCAGAGACGCACCCTCGAACTGTGCTCACGTTCCCCCGCCCAAACGAGTGTGCCCCTTGCGCAGCGAGGGGTCCCAAGAGCCCAGCAGCCCTGCATTTCTGTTGGGGCCTGGAGCGCATTCAGCGGGTCTTCCTGCCAGGGTGCAGGGGCTCGTCCGTGAAGGGACACTGGGTGTGGTGCCCATCCCAGGGGCCCGAGGGAGTCGGGGCTGGAGGCTTGTCACCCCAGAGCTGCGGACCTGCTTGCTACCTGAGAGCCCCTTTCAGACGGCACTCTGCCACCAGGGCATCTGCCACCGGGGCCCCTGCCCGGTGCCACCTGCAGGACCCACCCTCTGTGGGGTGGGCTTCTGGGAAGCGGCTCGGCCATTTTCAGCTGGGCCACCTCTGTTGCGGGGAGGGGCACAGCGGCTGCTGGGGACAGGTTCCGCGGCAACTCCGGGAGATGGCTGTGGGACTCAGGTGACACTCTGAAGACTGGCAGTGTGTCCCTGCTGAGCTGGCGTTTCTTGGAGGGTGTGGGGCCCTGCCCGTGGTCAGAGCGGGGCACCCCTTTGTGAGGAGTGCCGGGGGTGAGGGCGCCTGGCAGTTGGGCTGAAAACAGGTCAGGAAGTCCCTGTGTTAAAGCCTCAGAAAAGATGCAGTGGACACGCAGGGCTGGGGCCTCTGTCAGCCTGCAGGGTGCGCCTCATCCCCAAGGGCCTGGGGTGGGCACCTGGCTGTCACGGCGCAGCACCATTGTGGTCCGTGTGACAACCAGCTCCAAGTCCTCACCATTCCTTCCTACACTCCTGCCCCCTTCCTCAGTAAAAGCCTTGAGAAGTGTCTGCTATTGATACCAGAAAATGAGGAGACTTTGGGACCGAGTGGAGTTTGGACTTGGTGGGCTGATGAGATTCTGGGCTCACGTGCGGGGTTGGAGGGGGCAGCATGGGCGGGTCTGACTGCAGCGTCTCAGCGGGACAGGCCTTGCCCGTCCTGGTGACGTGCCGCTTGCTCCGTGGAGAATCGTTCAGCCATCTTTAAGGCCTTCGATGAGGTCCCTGAAGTCGGTGGACATTGGTGACCTCCGTGGAAATACACTGGGCAGGGTTTGTCAAGCACAGACGTGATGACCTGCAGAATGGTCTTGGGGCAGTCAGAGTGGCCGCACGCCTGGTCGCCTGGCTGAGGAATAGCAGGTTGTAGGGCTCGGTGGCCTGGCCGCATGCCAGGCATTCACGACACTGAACTCCGTCTGTAAAGGCTTCGCGCTGTGCAGCCCTTTTCTGCGACTAACTCAGTGCTGAATTTGAGTTGGGAGAGTTTCACTCCGAGACTCGGGCAGCCTTTTGGTTTCTTTAGACGTGAGAATCCTGGAGTGCTGTCCTCCCCCGCCCACGCCGCCGCTGCATCCCCGAGGTCTGCTTCTGTCCTGCAGAACCACCGATACCATTTCAGGTCTGCTGAGATGGCCACGGTGACTTCAGGATGAGACCGTTTAGAGGGGCAATGCCGTTTGGCGACTTAGTTGTGACTCAGCAGGACCCTCTCTGTAGCTGAACAGACGCCGCGCAGCCGTGCCCCTACCTTGGGCTCGCCCCCCCCTCCCCCACGGCGTCTAACTGTTCATCTGGTTGGTTCCCGAAGCTATGAGCTCGCGCAGCAGCTGCAGCAGCACCAGCAGGCCTCCTCGCTGGACGGCAGCGCCGTGGACCCGCAGGGCGCGCACGTGTCCACGCAGATGCAGGTCGAGGTGGGGAGCGCCGAGCTGCAGCCGTCGGCAGACGCCGTGGTCGCCGCAAACCCTGAGGCCATGCTCGACCTGGAGCCGCAGCACGTGGTGGGCGCGGAGGATGCGGGGCTGGGCCAGCCCTTGGCAGAGCCGCCTCTGGAGGCTGACGAAGGTACGGGCGGGGTGGAGTCTGCAGGCCTGTCCGCACGGTGTGACCGCACGGTGTGACCGCACGCTCCTCGGGCTCTGCGGGGGCCCATCCCTGCCTGAGGCACGGTGCGTGCAGGTGTGTGGGGAGACTGTCACGTGTGCACAGGGCTGCAGAGACGGGGCCCTTCATCCTCACCTTTCCTGCTGTCACCCCTTCATAGACAGGGACGTCTAGCCTGTGGGCTGCATGCGGCTCAGGAAGGCAATGAATGTGGCACAAATAGTAACTTTACTTCAAACTTCTTTTTGCTCGTTAGTTTTTGTTGGCGTTTGTGTATTGATACGTGGCCCAAGACAACTCCTCTTCTTCCATCGCGGCCCAGAGAGGCCTATAGGCCGGACACCGCTGTGACAGGGGAGGGCGTTCAGTTTTCAGAAAGGGCCCTACTGTACGGTCCCCGGTGTTCTGGGGTGGCACAGGCTGCTGCCGGTCTGTCCACGGTTTGCTCCTGAGCTACAGGGACCTCAGGCTCCTAAGCCACCACATTCTTCCTCCGTCGGCAGAGCCTTGCAGCAAGTGGTCATCACGACTGTAGGCAGCGAGCTCAGAGCCCCCCCGCTGCGCCGCCCGCGTGCAGGCTGGTGTGCTCTTTTGTGGGGGCCCCAGCGTGCATGCAGTGGACGAGCAGGACTTGTCCTTTTTATCCTTGTTTCCTGCCGCAGTGCACCTCCAACAGAGGTTTGAAGTGGGGGGACTGCAGCGCACGTAGGGCTCCGCAGGGAGCGCCGCGCTCTGGGGTGCACTGCGAGGTGGCTGCAGCACAGCGGCAGAGCCCGCACCTGCGTCTTTGGGGCTCGGGGAGGCTGGTGGCGGAAGTGCCGGGTTAGTGGGTCAGAAGTCACTTGGCTGCTGTGTTCGTTCTTGTCCGCAGACAGGTTTGGGGCCCCACAGCACGTGCTGCAGGGGCACATGGACCAGTTCTCGGAGGAGCAGGCCCCCGCGCAGCAGCCCTTCGAGCCGGCCAGCCTGTCGCAGGGTCAGTGGTGGGGATGGGGACGGCCCGGGCCTGGGTGTTTCTTCCGAGGCCTTCTGAAGTGGGCGATTTCAAACCAAATAGAGTTTTGTGTGGAGTGTGTGTGTTTGCGTATGTGCATGCATGTTGTCTGGGGATGTGCTCCCATTTCCTGGAAGGCGGCTTTAACAGCCGCTGTCTGTGCAGGTGGGTGGGTGTAGGTGGGGGGCCGGGGAGATGGGGGTGGGCAGCTGGCCTGCAGGCCTCGCGCCGCAGGGCGTGGGCCGAGTGGGGCCTCCCTCCAGGCCGCTCCCAGGGAGCGCTCGAGCCTGTGGATAGGAATGGCTGATTGTAATTTGGAAAGTGCCAAAGCCTTTTTTAAACGTTTTTACTTACAAAACTATGTGTTTGTTTTTTTGGGTGCACCTCCAGTCTCTCCGGTAGAGTTCACGCTCTCTGGTCTGTTGTTGTAGGCTTCACGGTGACGGATAGCTACAGCCAGCCGACCCCGTTCCCGCCGGTGCAGCAGCTGCAGGACTCCAGCGCGCTGGAGGCGCAGGCCCTGTCCGCCAGCTTCCACGAGCAGGGCCTGCTGCCGGGCCCCAGCTCCGAGCCAGTTGCCGGGGTGCGTGTTGCTGGCAGGGACGCTCGTCCACCCTTAGCACTTTCTGGGGCTCCTCGCTGTTGTTATTTAGGGTCGGCCTGCCCTTGAGGTCCCTGCCCGCTTGTGACAACCTCAGTGTTCAGCGCAGAGGTGTTCTCTCTCCTCACAGCTCTGATTTTTCTGAACGACTGCGTCGCTGAGGCGTGGCTTGACCTCTCGGTTAGACCTCAGGACCGTCAGTGGGGTGCTGTGTCCTGGCGTCTGAAGAATGTGACGTTCCTTTAGTCACAAAGCTGAGCGTTTCTATGTGTGCATCTGACAGGAGCGTGTCAGAGTGGAAATGCCGTGGAGCCGGTGTGTCAAAGTACACGCTTAAGTGCATCATCTTAAAATTCAGTCAACTGGAAGATAGTCAGGTTTTGGCTTTGATTTTCCATTTTCGGAAAGTTTCCTGTACTTATGGAAATGATTGGCCAAGCAGTTGCTCTTTTAACAAGCTCCTGGGGGCAGCCTGGACCAGTGCTGGCCTGGGACTGCTCCCGGAGTGGGCTGTCTGTCCCCGCATGATTCGGTGACCAGCCAGGGGACAGTGCTTTCAGAAAGCAGGCTGTTTTCACTCTCTGAGTGGAATAGAGGAAAGGGTAACCTCTTGTTGGGACACAGGAAAGAGTGTGGAGAGATCAGTTTCGTGCTTGGTTAAACTTTGTGTTAAGGTGAGTTAGTAGGAAATAAGTAAGTACTAAATAACACCAGCATAAATGATTATTAGTAATCTGTCCCGGCGATTGCACTGACCTGCTGGGAGCTTCTCCCTTTTAAACCCGCATCTGCGCGTGTTCTTCCCTCGGTGCTCAGTTTTGTATTCGCAGACTCTCAGGGAGCCCTGCTCTCTGCTCCCGTTGGTTTCAGACAACGCCGTTGATGCCAGAGCCGCCCCAGGAGGAGCTGGACCCGCCGGCGCCCCGCCGCCCATTCCTGGAGGACAGCGGGGACCAGGGCCGGCGCTCCTACAGGTAGGTGCCCTGGACAGCTGGCCTGGCACGGTGCCCGCCCTGCCCTGCGAGGGCTCTGCCGTCCAGCACTCTCAAGAACTCGGGGACAGGCTGCACCGTCACCCCCATCACAAGCACAGAATCTGAGCCGTTAGCTGGCTAACACCCTCCAGCTGGTGAGCGGGGAGCCGAGTGGGGCTCGTGTGCAGGGCTCATCTCTGCCTGAAACTCTGGTGTCTGGGCCGCCGCCTCCTGTCACCACTGGGAGCCATTGCTGTTTTTGCAGAAATAACTTTACGTCGTGCCCTTTTGTCTAAGGCTTTTCTGTGTTCCATAAAACAACCCGTGTGCCGGGTACAGTGTGATTGTAAAGACGTTTTTAAAAACCCATTCCCCCGCCCCTCCACTCGTCCACTCACCCACAATCCATCCATTCACCTGCCCAGCCACCATCTATTCATCCACTACCCAGCAGTGTGTGCTGAGCCCCCTGAGGGGACCACCTGCTGCTTCGGATGCTTGAAATGCTGTGAGGAGAGAAACAGGACCCCTGCCCGGCTCGGGCTAAGACAGGGACAAGCTCAGGAGATAAAACACCTGCTCTTCTACTCCGTTGAACGTGACTGTGTGTGTGGTAAGAGTGCAGCAGTAGTCTCGGTAGAGACTGTCTTGAGTTTCTGATGTTTTAACAGTTCTGTAATTTGGTTAATATAGGTACTCTTTAAGAAGGTGTAAGCTACCTTACTGCAAATTAAGGGTTTTGAGAATTGATAGGTTTTGCTAGTGTTAGGAAGCGTGCCATTGCTGAGATGCCAAGCAGGCTCTCTGTGCTGTTTTCATAGGGTTTACCTCTCAGGCCAGCTCTCTGGCACCCGGAGCTGCGTTCTTGTGCATGAGCTTCTGCGCCGTCAGAAGTGTGGCGCCCTGGTCTCAATTTGTGGTTCAGAAAGGCGCCAGAGCAGAAGCTCTGACCGGGGTTCCGTGCATGCCGAGGGGGCCCAGACATGGGCTCGGTTTCCGCGGCTCTCGGACACTCAGCCCTTTCATTCATTCATTCATTCATTCATGCAGGGACTCGTCTGCTGGTATTTAATTCAGGATTTTGCATGGTGCTCTAAGTGAGATCAGGCTAATGTTTGTCACACTCCTTCCTGACATCAGCAGGGCGGTCCTGGATGGCCGGACCTGCACCCTGGTCCACGCAGCATTACTGGGCAGCCGTCACGTACCAAGCCCCAGGGCTGTGTCAGCGAGCAAAGTGGGAGAAGCCCTCAGCCCCCTCGGTCGTGAATCTGGGTCTGTCTGGAAGGCGGAGCTCCAGGTTTATTGCAGGCAGAGATGGGAGAGGGAGTGAAGAGGTGAGCAAGAGCACGGTAGAACCACTGTTTCCGGAAGGGGAGCCCTCAGGGCACAGGCTCAGGGTCAGGACCACCGTTGGTGCAGCGTCATCAGCGTCAGTGTTGCTGCAGAGGAGGCCTCCCGCGGGCCTTTCCTCCCACCAGGTGGGGGCCGGAGGGGCGCGCTGGGGAGTTCCCGGTGTGGAGACGGCTGTCTGGAGCCTCAGTGCAAGGAGGCAGAGGTGGCACCCTTGGGCGCCGCACTGAGGGCGCCTGTGGGGGTGCGGCCAGCCCCAGTCTGCAGGGGGCCAGGAGCCCTGGGTGCTGAGTGATGGAGCCTGTGGCGCTCTGTGCTGGAACTTGGGCTGCAGTGTCGCTTCTGGTCTCGTGAGTGTGACAGGAGGGGTGGCTGTGAAGGTCCCTGCACATGACACTGTGCAGCAGACGCCCACTCTACAGGAGCTGCTTCTGCAGGTCCTGCCTCTGGGGGCTCAGCTGCCCCAATCACAGGGAGTGTGGGCCCCTGCAGGGGCGGCTTCCCCTCAGCACGGCCAGGGCCGCTCTGCTGGGGTTGGTTTTCTTCACTGGACATGACTGTTTTGAAACGTGTGCTGTCCTCATCGGGGAACCTTTCTCAGCAAGTACCACCGGGTTCAGTGGGCCCAGTGATGCTGGGTGGGTCATCTTCCTGCGCTGCCCCGTGGGCCGGGGTCCGTCTGGGGTCCGTCCGGCTCCCGTCTGCACAGCCGCCTCCCCATATCAGCAGCAGTGGTGCCTTCTGCTTGCTTTTCTGCAGTTCGTTGCTGACCCTCGGCGCCACACCTGCGCATTCGAGTGGAGTTGCTAGACCAGCTGACGGCCAGTCGGCCTGGGGATGAGCTGGGATGCGGGGTCCTGTTGCTGGTCCCGACACGGCGGCCCCGCTGGCCTCCCACCTGGCGTGGGCAGGGGAGGGGGACTGGTGGGATGCAGCGGCTTCCTGAGTTGTCTTCATTAGATTTGTAATCTGGGATCAGAAATTTTGAAATTGATAACGATTTTCCTGCTTCAAGTGACTTCGGTGGATCCCGTAACAGCTGAGGGAAAACGTAGTGTTGCCTGTTCCTAGATTTACACAGAGTAGCGGTAGTTGTGTCTGTAAAGCATCTTACAGACTAATGGAGCCTCTGAGTCAGGACTGGTTCTGACTGTTAAGCAAAGGACTCGTGACTCGTTGAAGAACAGGGCACACCACACATTCTCTCCTCCTCATCTCTGAAGAAAGACTAACAAACGTGCCTGCTGGGGAGTCACTGTGGAGTTTACTCGGGTTTATTAGTCGTGGGTGACCCTGAAAACACTGCCCAGAACCCCTGCTGCCCCGGTGCTGCCGCCCGTGTGTGTCGGAGACCCCTGCTTTCCGGAGGGCCGTCCCGGCGCCCTGCGGCCACAGGCTTGTGCACCCTTGTGTTGCAGGTGTGACTACTGCCACAAGGGCTTCAAGAAGTCCAGCCACCTGAAGCAGCACCTGCGCTCCCACACTGGGGAGAAGCCCTACAAGTGCAAGCTCTGCGGGCGCGGCTTTGTCTCCTCTGGTGTGCTCAAGTCCCACGAGAAGACGCACACAGGTCACTGCCTGCCTGGCGCAGGGGACGGGGGGGGGGGGTGCGGCTCTCGGCCGTTCGCGGCGCCGCACAGGCGTGACCCTCAGTGTGACCCGCACTGACCTGCTGTTTCCGTAGTCGAGTTTCCCTTCGGACAGTTCCTGGAAGTGGAGTCCCACAGCAGGTGGCCTTTGTCACTGGCCCTGTCACTTGGCAGGTCTGGGGGCCTCCACGCAGGTGACGGACGTCACTGTCTCCTGCAGCCCACAGTGTCCCGCTGCGTGGGTGGCGGCCGCATCTGTGTGCCTGCTCAGCGGTGGGATCCCAGAGGCGTTCCACCCGGGGCTGTCGGGCGACCCCGCGCTGAGCGTCCGCACACCAGTGTCTGTGTGGCATCAGGCTTTGTTTCCCGGGTGGGCGTGGGGTCCCCGTGACGGCGCTGCCTTCCCTGCGGTGGCCGGCCCCATGTGCTTGTGCACCAGCCACCCGTGAGGGTTTCGGCTTCACGCTTCTCCTCAGTGCTCACTGCCCGTCCTGTTACTGGGACCTTGCGTGGGAGTGTGGGCCGGTGTCGGGGCGGGGTGGCCCGGCGCTTCTCTAAGGGGCCGGTGGTTCTTGTCTAAAGGGCCTCCTAGCGACAAATGTGTGTGCTGATCCTGTGCCACTTTAAAACTGCGTTATTTATACTCTTGCTCAGTGTGAGAGTTTCTTCATGTGCTTATTTAACAGCCACACTGTTTGCAGTTAAATGTTTAAGTGTATTTTTATACTTAGCAACACGTTTGGCATGTTAACAACATACCTGTTTAATGTCGACATGTGTTCTGTGTGAGGCTTTACTTGAAAACATGTGTGCTGCTCAACAGCAGAGGGTGGAGCAGGAGGGTTTGCGGGAGGGTCTGCAGGGTGGCGGCTGCTGCGGTGGCGGCAAGTGGCCTGGGCCCTGGAGGGCCTCCCGGGGTCCTGTCGCTGGGGCAGAGAGGAGGCGCGAGTCGTGCGGGACTACGGGGTGGTGCCTTGCTCAGCAGCTGGTCAGGACACCCGGGCAGCCTCGGGGGAAGGCAGAGGTCACAAGGAAGCCCCAGGCACGGCCCCCTGGTTCAGACTGGACTTGAGGATAGAGCTGGGGAGCGTGGTGGTGCCATCCTGAGGCCCCGTCGGCCTGCACCGCGGGGATGTGCACTTGGGCCTGGTGGAAGCCGCTTCTGCAGTGCAGCGGCACCCTCGTGACCGGCACGGGGGCGGGAGGCTGACGTCCATCCGGAGAAAGGCTCTCGGAGCTCTGACCTTGTGGGCGGCCTCAGTGAGATGCGGCCCGTGGTGTTCCTCCCCGAACGGGGGCGACTTGGCTGGGGAGCGGTCTGGAGTCGTGTGGCGGCAGCACGCAGCCCAGGTAACCGGCACGTTTGCCCCCTGCCGCCCTCCAGGCGTGAAGGCCTTCAGCTGCAGCGTGTGCCGCGCCGCGTTCACCACCAACGGCAGCCTCACCCGGCACATGGCGACCCACACGAGCTCGAAGCCGCACAAGTGCCCGCTCTGCGGGCAGGGCTTCCGCACGGCCGTGCACTGCAGGCAGCACGCGAGGAGGCATCCGGCGGGCCCCTGCGCCCCCTCGGCACCCGGAGAGGCCAGCACAGGGGCAGGTACCGTGTCCGTCCGGTTCGGGCTTCCCGGTGGAATGCTAGCGTGGCGGGAGTGAGGGAAGGCACCGGCCGCCTGCGGGGTGGACTGGGAGAGGCCTGGGGAGAACCCGCCTCCCGATGACCGCAGACCTCTCACTCTGCCCCATCCTGGATCCCGGCGTGTGCACCCGTGCGGTGGGTGTGGGGGGTTTGCTACGGTGCCGGGCCCAGTGAGGCAGCCCACCCTGCGCCCCTCCCCTGGTGCTTGCCCCAGACAAGCTTGGTGCTGCCAGACACAGTCTCCGCACGTCCACACCGCAGCACCAGTCCCTCCCTGTGGGCACCATCCTCCCGTGGGTGGGTGTGGAGCTGCGCCCAGTCTCACCGCGGCAGTGGGAGTGAGGACGGGTGCTCTGGGGGCAGACAGACTGTGCTTGGCACTCGACCATGTCTCCCGGTTGACGGGAGGCAGTGCGGCCCATGGGCCAGGTCTCCCTCTGTGCACCAGCCTGTGGCACATTGGACAGGCCTGTCTGCCTGTCCTGTCTGTGGACAGCCTGCCGCCGCCAGGGCCTGCCCGGCCCCCTTGGCCTGCTGCCTTCTCCTGGGGCTCCTGCTGTGGCCTGTGTCCCGCAGGGCGCTGCTCTCTCGCTCCCACCCTGGCCCCTGTCCTCAGTCCCCTAACCCCACTCCTCCGTTCTTGTCTTCCCTGCTCTCCCTGTGTTCTAGGAGAGGTCCTCTCGTCCTCTAAGTGCACTCCTTCCGTTTTAGCCAGGACCCCCTTGGCGAGTGCTCCTGCTCAGCTTTTTTCAAATTGTTAGTTTTTAACCCTCCGGGGAGGAGTGACCTGCCTGCAGCCAAACGCATCTTCCTCCCACGTTTACCAGCAGCTCCTTCTTTTTAGTCAGGGTGACTGTGTCCTTCCAGCTCACGGAGAGGGGACTCACACGTACACACGTTCATAAATGCATATGTTTTCCTTCCTGAGTCCTTCCAGTTGGGGGCTGTTTGCCAGTTTGCTGACGCAGCCTCTCTGGGCGGCCGTGTCTCCATGGTCAATGGCCACCATTCCCGGCCCCCGTTAGCAGCTGGGCGGCCATGCGTGTGGCTCCCCTCAGCCCAGGTGCACCCTGCGGCCGGAGCGCTGCCTGCTTCGGTCCTTTGTCCCTCCGATGGCACCGCCCTCCCCTGGGAGCGTCCTCGTGGGCATTCTTCCCATGGCCCTGCCCAGGTTCTCGGCGCAGCAGCGGGGAGCCGTCTCCGTACCGTCTCGCCTGCGTCTCCACGGACACACGTGTGCAGTGTGTTCTGTTAAACCCGCCTTTTAACGCGGATCTGACTTGTTCCCTGTACTTCGTTCAGATGTGTGCGTGGAGGAAGAGGAGGAAAACTCTGAAAGAGGCGCGTGGAGGAAGGTGCGTCCCGAGGTCATCACCTTCACGGAGGAGGAGACGGCGCAGCTGGCCAAGACCCAGCCTCAGGAGAGCGCCACTGTCTCGGAGCAGGTGCTGGTGCAGTCGGCTGCCGAGAAGGACCGCGTCAGCGAGCTGAAGGACCGGCAGGCCGAGCTAGAGGCCGAGCCCAGGTTCGCCAACCGCTGCTCCTACTGCCCCAAGAGCTTCAAGAAGCCCAGCGACCTGGTCAGGTGGGCGTGCGTGGCGGGCATCGCCCCGTCCCCCGGCTGCTGCGCCGCCATCAGTGAGTTGTGCGAGCCTGGGCCACTGATGGCCGTGGCTTTCCTGAGTCAAGGCCTCAAGCTGGTTCAGGTTTTGAAGCTTCTTTTTAAGTGTTAGAAATTTGCTTTATAGGTTGCTCTTGTTTATTTCTATTATGACTGTGGTTTTGGTAAAAAAAAAAAAAACAGCAAAACTAAAGGACTCCCTGGGGCAGACCCGGGCCCACGCTTTGTGGGGGTGCAGACTGCGGCAGGGACCAGCCAGCCCCACGCCCTGTTGGGCTGCAGAAGGAGCCAGGCGGCAGCCAGAGCCAGATGGGGATGTCACGGGGCAGGTTGGCCTGACCACAGTGGCGGCAGGAGGTGGAGTCCAGCAGGAGGTGGCCAGGCGGCCACTGGGACACATGGATGACGGAGAAGTCGAAGTGTCACCTTCTGACAAAACGTCAGGGCTGCTGTGGATGACAAGTGGGGGCAGAGTGGGGGAGGCAGAGAGCACTTCACGTGGGGAGGGAGCACAGAGACTTCCCGACGGGCGGGCCCGGAGGCCAGGAAGGCGGCGTGGGCAGGGGCAGTGAGCTGCAGGTGGCTTCTGGGCCGAACCGTGGGAAGGGGAGCACGTCAGGGCATGTGCCGGTGAGGGGGGGACACCGGGATCCCAGAGTCTGGAGCAGCGGGCTGCTGGGCCCAGGCAGCACCCCCCAGGGGCCAGGAAGGGTCTGAGGGGTCACCCTGACATCCAGGGTCAGGGTGAAGGGAAAGCACCTTGAACGCAGGACATAGGGGTCAAGGCGTGAGGGAAGGGCCTGGGTGCTGTGCTGTCAGAGGCCTGACCCCTCCCCCACAGTCCCCCTCCCCATTACGTTCCCTGCCAAGGTCAAGGGGAGGGCGGCAGAGCAGACACCCCGGCACTCAGCCCGGGGCCTGGGTGCAGAGATCGCGCTGCCCCCAGAGAGGGTGCTGCCCTCGCTGCCTGAACGTCCACGTTCTGAAGTTTGTGCTGAGGCTGCGGCTCCGTCAGCCCCCGCCCTCCTCCTTGGTGGCCCCGCTGGCCCGCAGGGGTGTGGTCAGTTTGAGCAACGCCCAGTTTGCCCTGCGTGGACTCCGAGTCTCCCCTCCGAGCCCTGCCTGCGCCGCCCGCGTGGGTGCTGCGATGGTTCCCGCCCTGCGATGTGCAGGGCGCCTTGGAGGCAGGGAGCCCCGTTCCCGTCGGCCGCGCGGGCCGCACCTTGTCTTCTGGGTCTGCGTGGGGCGTGGTTTTGTTGGGCCAGACCCATTCAGTCCCTAGTGTGTTGTTCGTGTGCGTAGTCGCGCACTTGACATCAGGACGTCCGGGGGGGCGGGGGGCACTGACTCGCCAACGCCCTCTGCCAGGCACGTGCGGATCCACACCGGGGAGAAGCCGTACAAGTGCGACGAGTGCGGGAAGAGCTTCACCGTGAAGTCCACTCTGGATTGCCACGTGAAGACGCACACAGGTAGGGGCCGGGCTGCCACGCGGGGCTCAGGCCGCGGCGTCCTCTCTGGGCGGCTCCTTCAAGTTCCGCACCCCCACGTACTTCCAGAATTGGAAACCTTAAACACCGGGAACCGTGGGATGTGGCTATGAGGGGACCTGTCACTCGTCCCGTGGGGAAGGCAGTCTGCAAAACACTGAGGAGAAGGGACGTGGTCCCAAGGGTCCAGCAGCCGGTTGTCTTTTGTCCTCGCTGAGCCCTAAGTGCCTTGGGTGAAGAGGTGACCCTTCGTCTCATCGAGGCCAGAGGGAGGTGCTCTGCCCCAGTTTTGTAAAAGCTGGAATTTAGCAAGTCTGGGTGTGGTTGTGGGGAGTAAAATCTCTGTGACCAGGTGGGGAAACCCTGTAAAGGGCACGTCAGTGTGCGGTTTCCACGGCTGCTTTTCCCCCTTCTTCCGATGGGAGGCACGGGCGCCGCCTCCTGGTGCTGGTTCCACAGCCGGTGCGGCCGTCCGGAAGGAGGCCCCCCCTGCACCTGGCCCAGACCCTGCTCGGAGCCTCCGCGCCTCCCGTGGCAAGTGGGGTGTGGAGTTGCTCCCAGCAGGTGTCACTGTCGTTACTGTGACTCACGGGAGGGTGACTGTCAACGCCAGTTACCGTCTCAATGTCTGATTACAAGCAGAACCACCCGGAGGCGTGCATGGGAGTTCCCCACATTTCTGTAAAGCCCCGGGTTTCTTTCCTGCTGGGTCCACACCCAGACGAGCGGGCAGATGCGGGGACTGACTCGGTGCACATACCTCTTCTATGGGAGGTTCTCTCTCGTCCCACCAGGTTCCGGTGTTTGTCCTCGGGGGGGAGGGGTGAGCTGCTGAGGACCAGGGCACCGGTTCCCGTGTCCCTGGTGTGCTTGGGTCAGTGTGCTGGCTGCACAGGGCAGGTGCGGTCACTCTCACGGTGACCATGCGCACTGGGGCTCCCCGCTGGCTCCCGCCCACTAGGGAGAGAGAGCAGGGTCTCTGGGGTGAACGCCAGTGCCTCGCGGTCCGGCCTGCGTCCTGCCCTCCCCTCTCTGGGAAGCATCAGCGTTTGGGAGCAGTGGAGGGAAGCAAGGCCCGGGTGTTTCTGCTCCCAGGCTCCCCGGGGCGGCTCGGTCCACACTTGGGCCCTGGGTGTGCCCGCCTGGCTGTGACGACACCCCGCGTGCAGTGAGCGGGTGCCCGTCCTAGTGCTGGGTGTGTGGGGTCAGCACCGAGCCCAGAGCACCACTCCCGGTGGCTTCTACCCCTGCTGGCTCCGGGGCGCGCCCTTCGCAGCAACGAACACACAGGCCCGAGGCACCTGCATGCTCCTTGCACGGTCAGCCCTGGCGGTGGCGAGAACCAGCCGCCACCCCGCTGTGTGCTGTGCTGCCCGGGGGACAGGGCCTCCCCCACGCCCTCCCGCTGACGCCGGCCCCCCCCCCCAGGTCAGAAGCTCTTCAGCTGCCACGTGTGCAGCAACGCCTTCTCCACCAAGGGCAGCCTGAAGGTGCACATGCGCCTGCACACGGGGGCCAAGCCCTTCAAGTGTCCGCACTGCGAGCTGCGTTTCCGCACGTCCGGCCGCAGGAAGACGCACATGCAGGGCCACTACAGGCCCGACCCCCGGAGGGCCCGGAAGCCAGGGGCCCGCAGCGCGTCCGAGGGGCTGCCGCCTGCCGGCCTGCCGAGCCCAGCCCCTGCTGACCCCAGTGTGCTGATCATGAACAGCTCGGTGCTGACCGGCCAGTTCGAGCCCAGCCTGCTGCAGCCGGGGCTGGTGAGCCAGGCCGTCCTCCCCGGCTCCGTGTCAGGTATGGCCTCACAGCGGCCGCGCGAGCAGGTGGGGAAATGTGGCCTCCTTCCCGGGTCCATGTCCTGGGTGGATCGCACCCTGACCAGACGGAGCGGCCCGACGTTCAAAGTCTGGGCTCCTCCCTGCAGCTCCGGGAGCCCATGTCCACGGGGCTATGGTGCTGGTGTGCGTCCCGCAGGGTGGTGTTTGTTCGGAGACTGCCCAGGCGGGTGGTGGGCGTTCAAGGTGTAAACGTCAGTGTTCCTTAACCGGGCCACGTTGCTGTGTGCACGGAACTTGTGTACGTCGAAATCCCCACGCAAAACTGAGCCGCTGCTGCTCAAGAGACTTTCCTGACGTCTGTTCACCCTTGTCCCCGCCGGCAGCTGGCAGCGACTGGACGGTGTCCCTGACCGACGGGAGTCTGGCCGCCCTGGAGGGCATCCAGCTGCAGCTGGCGGCCAACGTGGTCGGGCCCAACGTGCAGATTTCTGGGATCGACACCTCCGGTATCAACAACATCACACTGCAGGTGCAGCCCCTGCCGCGGCCCCCGTGTGCGCGTGTGGTGCTTGAGCCGCGCGTGGGCCGGGGCTGCATCGTGCGCCTCTGCTGCCTTTCAGATCGACCCCAGCGTCCTGCAGCAGACCTTGCAGCACACCAGCCTGCTCGCCCAGCCGCTGGCGGGGGAGTCGGGCGCCGCCCCACACAGCAGTTCCCTGCAGGCCGCGGACGGCACGGGGCCGGCCAGCGTGGTCATCCAGCCCATCGCAGGCCTGTCCTTGCAGCCCACCGTGACCTCTGCCAACCTCACCATCAGCCCGATGCCAGAGGACTCTGTGCTGACTACCAGCAGTGGCGGTAAGGACCACTCCGGGGCCTGGGGCAGTGGAACTGAGTTTGGGACACTGGTGCGTTTCTGCTCTTGGTGGAGCTCACGAGCGAGGGACGCTGGCTCAGTGCGGGCGCAGCACTCGGGGGTGCCGCGCTCTCCCGCTGGCGTCTGTCTCACGGGGCTCTCTCACCTTCACAGGTGAAGGCCTTGGAGGGGCCTGGTTCTACTTCAAGGCTTCCTCTTTCTGAAATAAGTGCTACTAAGTGTTTTTAACGTGAAAATGAGAACGTTGTGTTTTAAGCCCAGCTTTGCTTTGTTCTGTGTCAATGACAGGGACTCATGAGCTCGCCCAAGTGATGTCGTCCCAGGGTTTGGTGTCCACTGCCAGCGTCCCCCATGAGATCACGCTGACCATCAACAACTCGAGCCTCAGCCAGGTCTTGGCCCAGGCCGCCGGGCCCGCCGCATCGGCCTCGGGGTCCCCGCAGGAGATCACCCTCACGATCTCTGGTCAGTCCCTCCCTGGGGCTTACGTGTCCTTTCCCTGCAGTCGAAGTCCTACTTGTGCTTTGTTCTGCACAGTCAGCCCGGCATGACCCTGCTCAGTAAGTGTGTGTCATTCAGGTGGGAAATTCAGTGAGCCTAACGTCACTGCTCAAATCCGAGAGCAGAAATGAAAATCGATAGTTCCTTCCAGTCTGAGTCGGCGATTCCTCACACACGTTTTTGCTTAGCAAGGAGCACAAAACCGGAGCCTCCTGTCCTTCTTGTGCCCCATCAGACTGTCGGAACACAGTCGGTATAAACTGTGTCGTGTGAGGTCGCAGAGAGCCCTGTCCCCTAATCCTGGTGGATGCCGCCTGGAACTCGGCTCAAACCCTGGGAAGTAGAGAACCAGGTAGAAGTTCCCTCTCGGGGGCACAGGGCACGTGGAACGGGGGACCGTGTGTGTCTGCCCCCGAGCTCGCACGGGCCGTGCCCCGGTGGTGTGGCTCGCTCTCCGGGTTCTCCCGCAGTGTCCTCGGTCCCTCAGGTACTCTGGCCTGTCGGCACCCTTAGCCGTGCTCAGCCGCTCACTCCGTGATGCTGCGCAGACTGATAGCCACTCGTGAGTCACCAGAGGAAGAAGGAACGCCGGGCGGGACTGGGCCCGGCCCCGCCTCCAGACCACCGTGCACACGTGGGGCGGGCCTCTGGCCTGAGGTTTCGGGCCAGTCGTTTGTGAAAGGCCGTATGAGACGGGACCCGGAGAGCGGGGACTCGAGGCCCTGGGGGGCTGTGTCTGTGTCTGCCCTGCTCGGCCCGCAGCGCACAGCCCCCGTCCTGCGTGTCCGCAGTCCCCAGGACGTTGGCGAGGGGACTGCAGCAGCCTGTGGTCTCTGGTGCTTTCTCTTCCCAGTTTTCATCAGGTGTCTGGCTTACGCCTGCCCTGACAGCAGAATTTCTTAAAAGCAGCTTGTCTTTGTCCACGATTTCCAGAGCGCTCAGCTCGGCCTTCGGGGAAATGCCCGCAGTCCCGCCCTTGCACTCGCCTGCTCTCACGCTCTGCGGCCACAGTGCCTGTCAGAGCAGCCGAGAGGCTGCTGAGCACAGGGTGTGGGTGGCACGTGTGGCCGGCGCGCGGGGGCCTCCCGACGGCCTCTGTGGCCTGAGCCCCTCAGCCCCTGGGGCCAGTGAAGGGAGGTGACGTCCCTCTGGTCCATGTTGACAGACTTTGCTGCACCTGGCATTCCACCGCATTTGGAAACATCTTCCATTCAGTTTAAGTTTCATTCAACAAAGCATGCAACTTAGGTGCCGAAGTGCTGAGTTAGAGCAGAACATCTAAGGAGCAATAGAAAATGCCGTTTAAAATGTGGGAACAGGCACTTCTGCGTGGGGACACAGCCTTCTCGGCCTCGTTCTCATTCTCTCCTGTAAACACGGTGTCGCACCGAGCGCCCCACCTGCGAGTCGGTCACACGTGACCCCAAGCTCACGCACTGGTCTCCCTTTGTAAAGGTCAGGACCTCATCCAGCACAGTCCCGGCGGGGGCGGCGAGCTGAACGGGACCATCAGGCTGTCCGCGCCCACCGTGGGGAGTCAGCCTGCAGGCGCCACCCTGACCATCAGCAACGACCAGCTCCTGGCCCAGACGGCGACGCTGGCCTCTCCAGGTGCGCCCCCCCCGCCCCCGCGGGGAGTGCTGGGTGTGAGGCGTGCAGAGCCGAGCGCTCCGTCAGAGGCGGCTCCGGGGAAGTGGGCGTCGGGCGCTGTGATGTGTCGTCCTCGGGGGACCGTGGCTCCAAAGACACTCGGGAAGCAGGTGTAAGGGTGTAACCTTTGCTTCAGTATTGAATCCTAATGTCCAAACTGAGAGCATTTAGCTTGGATTTGGACGTGCGGCATCTAGGGCTTCAAACAGATACTTCCGTGCGGCAAAGGGTTCTGTGTCCAGCAAGTGTCAGTGTGGCTCCTAAGTTGCTATTTAGTTGCACGCCTGGGAAGGCCCAGCTCTTCCTCCTCAGTCCCCTGCGCTTTCCAGGTGCTTCGAGGACAGCAGGCTGGCGCTGCCCCCCTTCGGGACCCTCTGGAACCAAGAGCGCTGGGGCCACGCCCCACTTGCTTGGGCTGCGGCAGGGCCGCCGGCGTCCCTGAGCACGTCCCGTCCGCACGCTTCTTGTCAGGGTTTCCTGGAGCCAGATGAACCCGCAGGCTCATGTTCGAGGGACTGTCCCCTGCTGTGCAGCCACAGGGTGTCAGGCGTGAGCCCCGCCACCCTTGCAGTTGCCCCTTGTGAACAGGCCCCTGAAGCCCCCAGGCAGCTCTGTTGGGGGCACTTGGGCAGCCGGTCCTGCTGCCACCTCAGTGGTTTAGATGGAACAGCCATTCCCCTGGCTCATCGTGCCACACGATTCTTCTTTAGACCCTCGCCCACCCGAGTGAGCCGTGCCTGCTTGTGAGGGCATAGGAGGAAGGGGGGGCGGCGTGGTGAGGACACATGGCCAGCTGTGGTCCTGGGGCTGCAGTGCTGGAGTGCCCTCCCACAGAGCCCGCAGCTGCGCCGTCCCGCCCCCCCCCCCCAGAGGACAGGCGGGCGCCCGCTGGCGGGGGTCTGGGGCCTTGGGGCCACTTCCCTGTGGAGCCCCCGCCTCCTGCAGGCTGCACCGCTTGCGAAGGTTCCGGGTATGTGCAGTGCAGAGTGGGACACTGGGGGTGGGGGTGGGCTTTGCGGGGCCTGCTGTCTGGAGGCCCCCAGTCACAGGCGAGGGTCCAGGGTCCGGGGCCTGGGGCCGCCAGCGCTGTGTTGTGTTCTGGTTAGGAAAGAGCGGTCTGGGCTGGTGCTGGTTTTCTCCCTGGTGTCGCCTATGCCTGGTGACAAGTCCTGGTTGCCAGGCAGTCAGAAGGATGGATCATGGGAAGAGTGTGCATCTGTGTGCACATGTGTGTGCGTGTTGTGTCTACAAGTAAAAACTCAGAGCAGTAGTGAGTACAGGTACCACTGGGATGTTGGCGACCAGTGCTGAGCCCACCTCACTGCCAGGAGGTGTGTGCTTTCCCAATTGTAGAAGAGAGGCCTTTCTCTGGCACTGCTGTCCTGACTCCTTCCTTTCTCCTCTTGCCGGCTCAGAGGAAAAGCCTTTAAAGAGTTCTGTTGTGCTGCCCAAAGAAAATGGTGCTGTCGTGTGGGGGAGCGCGCGTTGGAGGGGCTGCGGGGGCTCACCTGGACAGCCTCGGTTCAGGTGAGCAGGCAGGGCAGGGCAGGGCAGGTGCGGCCGTGAGGGGCCCGGCTCTGCACAGCGGACCGCAGAAGGTCCCCCACTCTGCAGGCCCGTTCCCGATGTCCGTGGGACAGCGTCCTGCAGGTTCTGGCTGGCGTTTTCGCTCACTGTGGCTCGGTGAGTCTGAAAACTTGGGGTCATGTGTTTGCTCTTCTTCACCGATTTCTCTCTCTCTGTTGTACTGAAGAAACAGCATATTTGTGTGTGAAGCCATTTAGAAACTGTGAAAAGCTGCCACAGAGCTGGGGTCAGAGGCTCTAGTAGTGTGACGCAAAAGCTCAGCGCGAGTGTGGATGGTGGCAGGCTCGCTGCCACAACGGCCATCCTGCCCCTCAGCAGCCTCCCGCTGACGTGCCCCTCTGGCCTTCCTCCTAGAGCTCAGCGCTGCAGCCGGCGGCCTCCCCTGCACGGCCCCGGCGTCCCCGCCGGCCATCTCCGCTCAGAACCTGGTCATGTCTTCTTCGGGAGTGGGGGGCGAGGCCAGCGTCACTCTGACCCTGGCCGACACGCAGGGCTTGCTCTCGGGAGGACTGGACACGGTCACACTCAACATCGCTTCCCAGGTGGGTGCTCGCCGTCCCCTCTGGTGCAGTCATGCTCCCTCACACCCCATGCAGGCGTCTGCAGCTGCACCGACCGCCCTTCCCGGAGTCAAAATGTCTGAGGGTTTCCTTCAAAGTCAGAGTGGTTTTTTCTGACACAAAAACAGTAACGTGTTGAATGCAAAAATGGGAAAACAAGAAAGTTCAGGAAATACAGAAAATCATTTTTTTAAAACCTGCCCAAGGGGACCACGGCTAACACTTTGGTGCACACCCCTGTGCCGTTTCAGGCTGCGGCCGCACTGCACAGCTGTCTCCGGGAGGAGCCCGTGCGGACTTGGGCGGTGGGGACTGGCTGAGGGTCGGCCTCGTGGGCGGTCGCAGCGATGCCCAAGGTTTCAGTGTGTGGGCAGCATTTGCTTTTTGACAGATGAGCTCATGGAGGGGCCCACGTGGCACCCCACGGTCTCAGTGAGGGAGTCACTCAGGTCTCCAGGTGAGCCCCTGGCAGAGGAAGTGTCCCGTCCACGCAAGACGCCGAGTGAAAATGCTGACCGCCCGGCGTGGTCAACTGGAATGGCCTCAGTGAGCGGTAGCTGGTTCCCCGTGACGTCAGCAAGGGTTCCGGCCGCTCTCAGCCCTCACTGCTCACGGCGTCAAAGCCTCGGACGCGGCCAGAGTTGGGCAGGGCCCACGTGCCCTAGGGGAGTGAGAGTCACTGTGACCTCCACCTCTGTGTGTCCCGGGCATGGCAATGAAACAGTAATGACACCAACCAGAGACCAGCACTGTTCACACGTGTGGGCCAAGGTCACCACTTCCAGCTCACTGTCAGTCGGGGCACCTGTGATAAGAATACTGGATGTCAGCGCTGGAAGCACTAACACTACGCTGGCAAATCACGTTGCGCCCAGGGGTTTCGACTTGCACTCCTGTTGAAGTCCGCCCGGGCTCACAGGCAGTGGTGAGAGATGGTGCACGGGGTCGGCTGCCCTCCGCCCAGTTGCGCAGTGCCGACACCTTGCACGAGACACAGTGTCCCCGGGCAGGGACACCCCCAGAGCCCAGGCTCCGGCCGCGTCTGCCTGCGGGGACCTCGGCCCCCCTCCCTGCCGACGCGTCTGTCCCGAATTGGATCCTTGCTCCTCGATGCACCCGTCCGAGCCGAGAAGAGTCTCAAACAGCGTAGCTGTTGTTGGGAATGCATCGCCCCTGGGCTAACACGGGTTCTTCCCTGTGTCGGCCGCTTGTCGTGTTTGCCTTCGATGACCGAAGTGAGGAAACAGGAACTTACTAAGTTCGGTTCACGCGTGTTTCACGGCTGGGCAGAGGCCAGCGGCAGACACACAGCAGCGTGCAGACGGCAGCGTGAGGCCTCGTTGGCACGTTTCTGTCTGCCTCACGCCAGGACGAGACGGCGGGCCACCTGTGGGCACCCCTGGGAGGGACACCATCGTCTCGCCCCCGAAAGGCGCGTGTGGGGGGCAGAGACCCCACGTCGGTCTCGGTGGCTCTGCTCGTCTGAGGGGTCCCTGGGTTCCAGTCTGCCCCACCCCCAGTCCGCGTCTGCCTCGGGGACAGTCTCCCCGGCAGGGGTGGGCCAGGCGCCTTCTGCTGGGGGACGTCTCTCGGGAGCCCCTTCCCTCCTCGGCTCTTTATCTTCCCTGGGGGCACCCGGCTCACTGGGTTCTGCTGGGGACACCTTCCCGGGGCCCTGGCCGTGTGCCCCTCCCACCCGCCATCCTGGCCCTTCTCTCCTTTTTTGGGTCACGGGCAGCAGGGGTGCCCCTGGGCCCTGAGCAGGCCCCCAGAGGTCTGCACTGTGGAGCCCAGTTACAGGTATGGATCCCACAGGCAGACGTCGCTGTGCACGCTTTTCAGCTTTACTGAGCGGTGGTCTGTAGACCGTGGGGGACACCTGTTCACGTAGCGTGTGCAGTATAGGGATGGTTAGCGTGTTTGCAGCTCTGTGTGACCGTCCCCATATCTGACTTTAGGACATGTTGTGACTTTGTGCGGCTGCAGTGCGCAGTCACTCCCACGTCCCCTGGGGCCGCACCCTCCCCAGGCCGTCTGCTCTGGCCTCTGGCAGCCACAGACCGGCCTGCCTGCTGCGCGGTTTGCCTGTCCCGGGCGTTTTCCGTCCAGGGAGTCACGCGCTGTGCACTCGTGGTGGCCAGCCTCGTGCACTCAGCTCACCACGGGCGGCCTTCTTTAGCGCTCATCCACAGTGTTTCATTGGGTCGCTCCCACGTTCTGTGCGTCCACCTGGTGGGCGCCGTGGGCCGTCCCTCCTCCGCCCCCGGGAGTAGTGCTGCGTGAACCCACGTGCACAGGTCTTTACTCGGGGGACCCCCCGAGCAGAGTTGCTGATTCTGTGGCTGACTTCTGAGGGCCCACCCCCTCGCTTTCCAAAGTGACTGCTCTGTAGCCCAGCTTCTGAACTGGCACAGGCTTCGTCACGTGACGGCGTCTGAACTGGTGACCATCCCGTCCGCAGGCCCAGCAGTTCCCAGCCTTGCTCGCCGACCCCTCGCTCTCAGGCCCCGGAGGAGCAGCCTCGCCGCAGGTCATCCTCGTGAGCCACACCTCCCAGCCCGCATCTGCCGCCTGTGAGGAGATCTTCCAGGTACGGGGCCACTTCCACTCACAGCCACTCGTGGTGGCTCTAAACGCCGGGACTCTGGGCGGACAGGGGTGGAGGGCCCGGGGCCACGCGGCTCGGGTGCTGCGGCCGGTCCCGGGGGCGAAGGGCGGTGCGCTGTGGGGCATCGGGGCCGCACGTGCTGGAGGCCGGTGCGAGAGGGCAGTGCGCAGCGCAGTGAGACACAGCAGCCGTGGTGTGTGGGTCAGGTCTTAACGTGATCATTGTCTTCTCACGCCTGTGTCCCAGTCACACCTCACGTGGCCCTTTACCTGCACTCAGTTCATTCTGTAGATCGTCTTCAAATGCCTTTGCTGATACTGGTTGGAGTTGTCATATCTTTCATGCACACGTGTGTGTGACCTTTTTGTCACGTGCACATGTGTGTGTGGCATTTTTGTCATGTGACTCATCTTGCTGCTTGAAGTGCATGTGTTGGGAGGTCAGCACATTTGGTGAGTGACGGCTCCAGACACAGAAGAGTCAAACCTTCTTTCTGTGAAACCGCCCAAGTCACAGGGCAGCTGGGAGCTCTGAGCGGCGGCAGTGACAGGCTTCTCGGGGGCGAGCACTCCCCTGTTCGGGGACTGGCTGTGGCCCCCCCAGCACTTGTTGGTCCTGCCGAACTTCACTGTGTGAAGTGGTTGTGTTGGTGGCGCGGTCCCCAAGACCACACGCACCTCAGTGATGGGCTCACAGGGCCCAGGACGCACACACACGTGGTCCTCGTGGGCAGTGGACGCACTCGGTGCCTGCTCACCGCTCACCACAGGTGCTGGGCTCAAGCGGCTGCCTCCCGACAGCGAGGGGCGTGTGCGAGGGGCTGCGAGCAGGGCGGAGCGCTCGTCCTGTCCGAGGCCTTCGTCCGTGCTCAGAGCGGCCTGGAGGGCTGCTCACTGCACTGGTTTCCACAGTGTCCGACTCACCGGGAAGGCGTCTTCCTCCCTGATACGCACACCTGACACAGTGTCACACGGTGACCCCGTGACATGTTGGCCTGACCTCTGTTCGCCTGATCCTCACTGTTTTTTTCCTTTCTATTCCATTTTTAAAAACTAATTTATTTATCTTTAAAAGGGAAGGGAAGGAGAGAGGAAGAGAAATACCAATGTATGGTTGCCTCTCATGTGTCCCCTTCTGGGAACTGGCCTGCAACCCAGGCATGTGCCCTGACTGGGAATCGAACCACGATCTTTTGGTTCACAGGCCCGCGCTCAACCCACTGAGCTACACCAGCCAGGGCCCTTTCTATTCCATTTTTGATGACAGCACTGATCTTATAGTTCCCTTTCACTAAGTCGTCACATACAAATGTTTATTTGCAAAATGGAACTCTTGTTTATAAAAACTGAGCCAGAAAGCCTTCCTGTCTTATGTATTTGTTTTGGGCCATTGACGCATCTTGTTAAAATGACCAGAAAGCCTATTGAGGGGTGTGGTCCAAATTTCGGACGAAATCCTTTCATCAGAAGCCAGCATAGTGTAAGCTGCGGTTTGTTGACAGAGGCCTCCAGCCAGAGCAGAGCATTTCTAGCAATGGCCCTCGTAGGTGCTGAAGCTGAGCACAGCCCAACGGCCTCTGCTGGATCCTGGGTGCGCGGGGGCCTCTCTCTAGGCAGACGGTCCCCGACCCCGACAGGCAGGCACCGGGACCAGTGGCTGCTGCCCAGAGGAGGGAGCAGGCTGGACGGGGCGGGGCGAGCAGCTGGCCAGCTGCCCTCCAGGGTCATCTTCCTGCGAGCCGGCTCTGTCAGGGCCCCCGGGCGTCCCCGCGTGGCAGCTGCTATCCTGGCGTGATGGCACCACGACCCGCCGCCGGTGCCCTGAGGACCCTCGGGCACTGGGCCCGGTGCCTGTGTACCTGTGCTGCCTCCCTGGGTTCACCAGCGCACCCGCAGCGAAGGCCTGCATTTCCCACCCGCCCCAGGTGACCGATGTCTCCGCCCACCTGGCCCCGCCCGAGAAGGAGGGCCGGCTGCACCCGTGCACAGAGTGTGGCCGCAGCTTCGCCTCGGCAGCCCTGCTGCTGCAGCACAGCAAGGACGCCCACGGCCGCGAGCGCATCCACGTGTGCCCAGCCTGCAGCAAGGCCTTCAAGCGGGCCACCCACCTCAAGGTAGGCTCCCCGCCTTCAAGGCCAGGCTCCCCTGCAGCCGCGCCTTCGGAGACGGCGGGCTCCCGGGATGGGGGGGTGTGTCCACGGGGCGGTCAGTCACGGGCGAGCCGACCGCACGTCCACTCACGCGTCTGGTGCTGGGGGAGGATGGCCCGTGTGTGGGCTGCAGGGGAACAGGAAGTGCCCTAGTTGCTGGCGGGGCTGTGCCCGCACACTTTCTTTGGGGACCTGACTGGCACCCACTGGGGAATCGGCACAGGACCGGTGCGGTGGTGCGTGGCAGCTCTGTTTGTGGCCCGCAGGGGGCAGGAGCGATGGGGCAGTGGGACGCACCCCTGGCAGAGATGAGGGTGGGGGTGAGCTCAGGGAGGGGCCTCCAGGCCACATCAGGGACCAGTTGGGGGGCTGTCACAGCTTCCTGTGACCAGAGCATCGTCCTCAGGAGCCAGCGGGCCAGTGGCCCCCACACCGTCCTGTGGGACCCCCTGGTCAGGGAGCCTGTGTGTGCTCTGCAGACCAGCAGCCGGCCCAGCTGGGAGCCGCGGGGTGACGTCCCGGGGAGGCCCGAGTCCCTTTGCGACACGCGTTCCACTCGTCCCCTGACAGCTCAGGGCCTGGCCTGCTGGTCTCTGTGACGCTGGCCCATCACACGGCATCTATGGCTGCAGTTGCCTTATCTCTCGAGGAACGTTGGTGCTCACGTTTCACAGTTATTTCGAGGAATATAAAAGCACTTGCCTAAGGGCGTAAGGGGTCACGCTTCCTTAGGAGGTCGACCGAACGCAGAAATGGTAGCAGCAGCAAGGTCTTCTGGTGCAGAACGAGCCCTCTCGGGGGGGAGTGCAGCCGAATGGTTAGAAACTTCTCAGAAAGTCCTGAGTGGTACATGTTAATACACAGGGTCCGGCAGAAGTGAGGCCTGAGTGTGGCTGGTGGGGTGATCATGTGGTGTCATAGTTTCCGGTTTTACTTTGAACGTTCCCCCTAAAATACCCTGTGGTGTGCTGGAGCGGATGTTGTTATGTCCCAGAATCAGGTGCTCATGAGTTTGTGACAAAAGTTTATGTAATGGGACGGGTGTTATTTGTGCCGGACTCTGTCGGTTACTATATGTAAAGTGTAACTTCAGTGTAAATGGTCTGAGGTGGTGTTATGTGACTTGAAAGACACAACCTGGCCTTTCAGCACTTACAGGTTACTCTCTGTTGCTGAGAAATTGGTGATGCATCGTATCAAAATAAGAAAGTGCTTGGCGCACACGCACACGCACACACACGCGCACACACACGGTGCCTGGCCTGTTTCAGGGGGCCCAGGGCCAGTTCCCGGGGGCCAGAGCAGGGGCAGCTGGAGGGAGGGAGTAAACAAGTTACAGGTGGACCACAGGGCGCAGCGGGTCCGCCTGCTTCCTGCCTGACCGGGGGGCCGGACCGAGCAGGTCAGTGAGCCAGGAGGCGGCGGGTCTCCCGTGCAGAGCTGCAGACGGTTTGCACAGATGCTGTCGTCGCGGCTGGCCCTTCTCCTGGGGAGGGGGGCTCGCAGACTCAGGCCCGTGCCCCTCCAGAGCCCAGGGTGGGGGTGGGTGAGCACAGACCAGCCCACGTGGCTTCAGCCAGGTGACCCATCGGTGTGGGCTACTCAGCGCAGGTCGCTCTTTGACGTGGTGTGACGGAGACAGGGCTCGGCATCTCCAGGCCCACAGCCCTGGTCTCTTGGCGGGAGAAATGCCAGACAGATCTCTGTGGAGGGTCGACCTGTGGACACCAGCCAGCCCTGCCGAGCTCTGTCCAGGTCCTCGGCAGCAGGGGGCCCCGAGACTGGCCGGAGTGGAGCCCCGGTTTCCCCTGCAGGCCCCAGGCCTGGCCCCTCTGTGACCTGTGAGGCCCCAGGAAGCCATCGGAGGGGCCCCCCGAGATCCCCGCCGCTGCCTGCACCCCCAGTGCTTTTCCTTCCCACCGAGTCTGTGCAGCCCCCCGAGGCCCTGGCTGCTCCTCACTCGGTGTCCCCCTCGCAGGAGCACATGCAGACCCACCAGGCCGGCCCGTCCCTGAGCTCGCAGAAGCCCCGGGTGTTCAAATGCGACACCTGTGAGAAGGCCTTCGCCAAGCCGAGCCAGCTGGAGCGGCACAGCCGCATCCACACAGGTGAGCGGCTGCCGCCGGCCGGCCCCGGGGCTGACGTGGCCACGACGCAGTGGGGCTCTCGTTCACCGTGACACCGTGGTTTGTAGCGCCAGGGCAACGCAGCCGTGTGCTTCTGCCACTTCCTCCCTGGGGCCAGTCCCACAGCTGCTCCTTCCTGGCCTCACCCCGGTCCTCACACCTTCCCCGCTGGCTTTCCCGTCCGTCTCATCCCGACCTCTGGCCCCTCTGTCGCTGCTCACATGGAAACCCATCTGCTCAGCTGTCCCGAGGACCCCCGCAGACCACTTCTGCCCCGCAGCCTGCTGCCCCTGCACCCTCGGCCTGCGCTAGGCCGGGCTCCTAGCCCCTGGGCTTTCTGCGACCTGCCGGCCTTCTCTCTCCGTGCCCAGCAGAAGCCTCACTGGGCCACTTCCCTCCACCTGTCAGGGTCTGGGTCCACCCGAAAGCAGTGAGACACCGTTCGAGCATGAGTGGCCAGACCTGCTTCTCGCGGGTGGTCTCGCGTCCTGTACATCCTGTGGGTCTTTGCTCCGGGGCTCTGTAAGGTTAGGGAGACTCTGCCTCCGGGCCCTTCGGGACGGCCACCAGCCTTGGGTTAGCTCGTCTTGTGTCACCTCGGGGTGGCCATCGGGCCCTGGGGCGGGAAGGACGTGACGACGGTGACCCTTGGGACCCCGGGTGGGCAGGCAGCCCCCCGCCCCCGCTGACCGGCCGGCCCGCCCCCAGGGGAGCGGCCCTTCCGCTGCACGCTGTGTGAGAAGGCCTTCAACCAGAAGAGCGCGCTGCAGGTGCACGAGAAGAAGCACACGGGTGAGCGGCCCTACCGGTGCCCCTGCTGCGCCATGGGCTTCACCCAGAAGAGCAACATGAAGCTGCACGTGAAGCGGGCACACAGCTACCCCGGTGAGGCCCGTGTGCCCCGCGGTCCCCGCCCCGCGGCCCTGTCCCCCAGCGGTAGTGTCTTGTGCGTCCCCGAGCGGCCGGCACGCTGTCGGCGCTGCAGCCCCCCCTCAGGGACTGTGAGGAGTCCCCTTTCCCGGCCTGCAGTGCGAGGCGCGGCCACAGTGCGCAGTGAGCCAGGTCAGGCTGCCCGTCCACAGACGGGGCCTCTGTGTCCACAGTGACGCATTCACGTTGGGGGTGGGGCACTGCAGCCGTGCACCCACCGCCGTCTCCCCCAGAAGCTGGGCGCTCTCTGGCCTCGGCGAAAAGAGGGTGACGGCCTGCAGCAGTAGGGCTGCTGGAGGCCCTGTGCCGGCGTGGGAGGGTGTGGCCCGTGAGTGGCGTTCGGCAGCCTGAGGGGTGACGGGCGCAGGAGTGTGCAGGCGACCAGAGGGGGAGGACCCCGTGTCCTGAGGACGTGAAGGGAGAGGAGACTCAGGGCGGCGGCTCCCGCTGCCTCCCGTCAGTAGGACAGGCTTGTCACTGCTGTGTGGCCGTCCACGGGTGTGCGTGCACGGCCGAGCCAGATAGCCGTTGTCCCTGTCCCAGCCCCGCGGGCCATCCCTGTTTAAACGTGGGTCCTGCTGTGCTCTGTGTCCCCTGCAGGAGCCTTTCAGGAACCCGCCGGTGCCCGGGAGCAGGGTGCAGAGGAGCTGGGCCAGACGCTGCAGCTGGAGGAGGTGGTGCCGGAGAGCGCGGGCGAGTGGCAGGCGCTGGCCGGTGTCTTCTGACGGCACCTCCCTCCGCGTCCCCGCAGCAGGCCCCCACGTGCCGCAGGACGGAGCCCTGGGAGCTTCTCTTTTGGAGCCTCAGGTGTCAAATGAGTCGTCACAGGAGCCTTCAGCTCCACAGTTACCCGAAGAATCATTGTCTTCAGAGACGGAGGGAAAGTGGGGGACAGTCTCACTCGCCCGCAAATCACTGAACTCAGGTACCGCAGTGGGCGGCCCCACGCTCACTCTGCGGCTGGTGCGTCTTGCCCCCTCAAGCCGACCGGGCCTGCCGGCGTTGTGCTGTGATTTCTTTGTGTTAGCAAAGGCCGTGGCCCTGACCGCGGGAGAGGTCCGACTGCCTCGTGCTTTCTGTTCTAAGAAGCGTTGCTCACGGAGCAAACGTCAGGTCGGCGCACAGGGCTCGGGACACGTCAGGGCCGGGGGGGCCCCCGTGTTTCGTTCTGTGCGTTGTGGAGTGAGTGGAAATGGACTCGTTTTAGCCTGTGGTGAGTTAATGGAAATGATACCTTGAGAGATGGCTGGACCCATTCTCTCTCCGCCACGACACCTAATCAGTAGTCACCAGAAGGCAGCCTCCGGCGTCGGCACGGAGAGCAGCAGGGACACCACGGTCCACACTGCGTGGCCGACCTCAGGTCCGCGGGCCCGACGTGGCAGAAAGCACAAGCCATAGGTCGCAGATGGGAAGTGACGGAGACGCCTGGCCCTGGGCGCCACGGCAGGGGAGTGTCCGCCGTGGACGGACACGGCCCGGACACGTGCGGCTCCTGGTGCACCAGCAGGTGTGTGTCTATTTCAGGGAACCCTCGAGTCTCATCCACGGTGCCACGTCCAACACGCCCCCACCAGACCCACCGCGCAGGCAGGGGTGCGGCCCTCCTCCAGCACTCCGAAGACGGAGTCCTCGGTGCACGCCCCTGCGCAGTTATTTATATGTTCTACATATACGTGCGTGCATGCACGCGGATATAGGCCTCTGTGTGGCCGAACGGTATATTTTGTAAATAGGACCACTCGCCCACCCCTCCCCGTCCCAGAGGGAGCGTGTCGGACGGGCACTGCCTGCGCCTCGGTGGCGGGCAGGGCCTCCCCACGCTGGCCAGGGCCCTCCGTTCTCCCCGGGACAGTTGCCTTTACTTTCTCTCTGCCTCCCTGCTTTCCAAAGAGAGCGGTTTTACTACGAGCGTCGTATGGACTTTGTATGTGAAGAGGGGGCCTCATCTCAGGTCCCTGAGGAAAGAGACTCTTCACTCATTTTTTTGAAAGGCGTCTTCGGATTTGTTTGTTCTCGTTCACTTTTGGATATGTAAATAAGTAACATCGATGGTGATATAAAAGTTTTGTTATGTGAAAATATTTAAGTCAGAAAACTGTTAAATAATATTACTTCTTTTTTCAAACTGCTTTGTGTACTGTATATTTTTTTAAGGGAAAAAAGCCTTATTTGACTTATTCTTGTGATACTGGACTCACTGTATCCCCGGGGGCTTTCCTCGAACGTCGGTGTGCAGCTGGCTCCGGTCAGTGTGTTCCGGATCATTGTAATGTTGCCAGAGTTTTGAAGTTCTGCTTTTAATGCACTTTCTTATATAATTTTGTATTAAAATATTTTAGAAATGTTGATTAATTTTGGTGAACAAATATCCCCAAAGTTGCACCTATTGGAATTTTAAAAAGATTTTGTTATTGCTAGTTTATTTATTTTGTTTTTAGCATTAAATGTCATCTCAGGACAGTCTCTAAAAGGGGTTTGTTTAATTCTGAATCGTGCAGAAACCACAGCCCGCTGAGCTGTGCCGGCCGACTGCCTGTTCAAGGGCCTCGCCAGGTAAATCCGAAGCCTCCTCCTGTTTTGGTAAAAGAAAAGAAAAAGCCTGTCACGAGTCCACTTTGTGAGCACCCTCAATTCATCAGCAGGTGAACACACGGTAGCGCGCTGTTCGTTGCCTCTACTTCCAGTTGCGAAGGCCGCTTCTGTGCAGAGCGTCCCTGGAGAGCACTGGGTCCGGAAAAGGACGCTCTGCGCAGCCCTGGGCGGCCGCGGGCAGGAGGCTTCGGGCCTGCTCCGTGAGCAGGACCGGGAGGAGGGGCAGCTGTGTGTGCAGAACTGTCCCAGGCTAGCGTTTCTGTCCTGGAACTGCGGTGAATAAAGCAGCAAGTTAGGAAGTGAGGGCAACTTTCTTCTTTTAAAGTTTTAACGTAAGAAAGGTGGGCATATGAACTCCAAGTTCAGATCATTCGTAACATAAGAGAAGTGGAAATTTTTCTTCTCCTCTGTCAAGTCCAGACAGGGAAAGCCCCCCTCACCCCTTGCCCTGGCAAATTCTGTGACCGCCAGGCCCTTACGCGCTGGCCTCCGCCCCGCCTGCCTGTGGCCGTGCTCGGACGCGCGTGGGGGGCCCAGGGGGGTCCCCCGTGTCCTCCAACCCCTGTGACCCCGGGGGCATGTGGGAAACCGTCCTGATGGGGAAGTTCCAGGGCTCCTTTTCATGGAGAGACCTCAGCACCGCCCAGCGTCCCCGTGTGACCAGGGACCGTCCTTCAGGACAGTGTCGTGTCTGGTGCTCGTATTGAAGGTGAATTCGTGCTGTACCTTCGCATCCAGTGCGTCTGGCTTCTGCACTCACACGTGAGGTGCACGTGTGAGAGGTGCATGTGTTGGTGCTGGCGCAAGGCTCTGCGTGGCACCGTGGGTCTCAATGCTCACGGGTTCCCATCTGCAGGAGAGGAGGCTTGTGAAGCTGGTGCGTATTTTGGCAGAAACACGGTCACTCGGACGTCTGTGACCTCTTTTTAGAGAACACGCGAGATCTCTGCGCCTGTGTCCTGGTTCAGGTTTTCGAGGGATGCCACGCCTGCTCTCCGCACATTTCTCCCCCAGAAGTTGATTTGAAAGTCAGTGCCCCCCCCACTGCCAAGAACAGTTAACCGACCCTTGCCAGTTAATTTCTCCTCTAAAACCTGTTGGGAGGTGTGGCGGCGACCACGTCGCACAGCTGGTGCTCGTGGCCTGGATGCTTCCTCTCGGCCACGTCCTCTCTGTCCCCGTGACGCAGGGGTTTGGGGGGTTCGGGAGCAGAATTTCAAAGGGGCCACGTGGCCGCCAGGGCCCAGCGTCCGCACTTCATTCCTGCCGGGGCCAGCGTTTTAAAATCGAGTCGCATCCTCCTCGGGTTTGAACAGTGGGGCAAGCAGACCTGTCGGTGGGGGCAGTGACCTGGTAAAGCCCCGCCTTTGCCTCGGGAGGGTCCTGAACCCGGCGTCACGTGTGGCCATCGGTGGCCTGCACGTGCCCCCTCGCTCGGCCTCGTATGTGCAGCAGTGAGCCCGCCCCCCCACGCCCAGCCCTCCCCCAGGTGCTGCGGTGCAGTGTGCAGGTGGGGGGGGCGGCTGACAGGCTGAGAAGTGGGCGTCCAGTGCTGGGGCAGTGGGCGGTGACCGTGCCCGTGACCGTGGGAGGTGTTGCTGGTCCGCTGTGTGTCTGGGTGACGCGTCTCTGCAGGGAGGCTTCCACGTCCGGTCAGGACCGGCCCTCCGTCTGGCCAGTTCTCAAACAACAGTGGTTCGTTCTCGACTCCCCACTGAAGAAAACTTCATTTTTTAACGTACAGAAGCATTCTTTTTTATCTCCGGCATTGTCCCATGGTCTGTTTATACATTGGATAGTATTTATTTAACCCAATTTTGTATGAGAAATGGGTATTACGCCAAAGGCCACCGTGCTGACTTTCAGAACAGTAAAAGTAGTTTTTGTACCATTCTGAAGCTGCTGCATGTTGACTTGTTGGGCTTCGGGGGAGTCCTAGCCGTTTCCAGGTGGACGTGGTCGGGGTAGCTGCGCAGCGGCACTGAACCGGCACTGCGTCCCGGCACACGGGGGCAAACTGCGAGGACGTCTCTTTCTGTCCTCCAGGTCACATCCCACTTTCTCGTTTGCGAGGTGTTGGAGGGCGACGTGACGTGAGCTGGAATGCAGTCACTCGCTACGCCGGTGTGCCCATCCACAAGCTGAGGGACACCGGACCACCCAGCAGCGCCCCTGGGGTGAGGTCACAGGGCAGCGTCTAACCCTTTTCAAAGGCAGTTCTCAACCTGGAGACGCCGGCCGTTCACGGCCGAGGTTCCGTCGGGGGTGAACAGAGGGCTCTGCACACTTCGGGCAAGAGGGCTGCACGACCTGACTGTGGGACCCCCTCGGACGGGCTGCCAGGAAGTCCGTCCCCCTGGTTCCCTGTTGGCGTGGGGGCTCGGGGAGTCGCTAAATATGGGCGGGTGCAGGGGATTTCTCAAGCGATCAGATCATGGTGACTTCCCTCTGTGGTGGGTGGCCTCAACGATTTGAAATGCTCCTCCCGGGGAAGGTTCCAGGACGCTGGGGCAAGCACCTGGTGCCCGTCTCAGACGTGGGGCGGCGGGACCCAGCTCAGCGGAGTCCTGGCACCAGCCACTTAAAAATGGGACTCTCTTGGCATGGTCTCCCAGACACCTGTGCCTGGGGGGCGGGGCAGAGGAGTAAAGAGGAAGGGGCCGCCATGGGCTCCCAGCCACCGTGAGCCTGGCCGCGCACGGTGGGGACTCTGGGGGGATGGGCGGGTCCCGGCCTCCACCCAGACCGGGGCTGGGCCTTGCTGAGTCCCATGGCCACTGCTGGGCCTGAGAGGAGCCTGTGGTTTTGTCAAAAGTGAAACAAAAAGTCTTTTCAGCTGCTCTTTCCAGTAGTGAGGTCTTGTGACCAAAGTCGCTACCAACAAAAATGACCAAGTCGGCTGCCAGTGTGTGTGCGGGGAAAAGGCGGCGGAAGGGGTCGTCTGAGCTCCCGCAGGCGGGTGGGCCCCACTGCTGAGCGCGCCTGGGGGTGGGGTCAAAGGCAGCTCGTGACCTCCCTCCCTGGTCACCCCGACTCCGCCGCTCTCGTCACCGGGTCAGCAAAGTGACAGTGAGGCACCTGCCAGCAGGTACCCTGGAGCTGTGCGGGGACCACGCGGCTGGTGCCCACGTGAACTCAGATGTGAGGGTCAAGGTCCGGAATGACAGGAAGACACCACGCGAGCACCATTAAAAGTTTATTCACGTCACTGTTCAAGAACAGCGTGCACGTCCCGTGGCAGCCGTGGCTGCCATTGGGGTGTTGTCTGTGTGGGCCCCCCCCCCCGCCGGCAGCAGCTCAGACACAGGCCGTGCAGGGCCGGCGAGGGGGTGGCGGTGTCCCAAAGGCGGTTCTGTCTGGTCACCCAGCTGTCGCTGAGGCTGTGTGTTAGTGGACGTTATACAAACCCACACTTGACGGTCAGGGTTAGACGGGATTAGGGGGCCTGTGGGGTCGTGCCCCCTGCTCACTAGGGGGACGGGGCCACGGGGCGTCTGAAGGCAGGCTGAGGGGGGCGCCACAACGCCAACGCAGTCAGTGTGTCACGGGCGGGGTGTCAGCGCACGTTAGAGGGACCTTCGGGGACGGCTTCTGCAGCCTCGGGCTGGTGGGCGCAGCCAGAGGGCAGGGGCAGGGGCGGGGACAGGGTCGGGGGCGGGGCGGGGGTGGGCAGCCCTAGCAAAGCCCAGCCGGCCTGCCCAGCCCGGGAGGCCGGCCGAGGGGCGCCCCCGGGAGGGTTAGTGTCTGCAGCGCGAACCGCCATGCTGCGCGTGCCCCCGGTCACGGTCGGCTTTCCGGTGACCGGGCGGCACCGCGTGGCACTCCGAAATCTCCTCCGGTCCACTCTCTCTGTGCAGGTCTCCCCGAGCTCTCGGCCGGGCTCTGGTGACGGCTCGTAGGGGCCACTCTGGTCCCCGCTGTGTCCCCGCCTGCTCCCTGCTCCAGGCCACGGCCCAGCCCTCCTGCTACCGTCCCCTCTCTGCCACGCACGAGGTCAGCCGCCCGTCGCGGGAGCAGCCCGCCGGGCCCTCTGCGCCACCGCCCTGCTCTCCTCCAAGCTGCCCACCTGCGTTTCACATACAGAAGCTCCCGTGGGGTGAGGCCACTCGCTGCCTAGTCCTGTTAGCAAAGAAGGGGCCTTAGGAGGTGAGACCGGGCAGGGAAGGGAACCGAAGGGCGTGGGGTCGCCAGTCCCACCACCCACGCGTGTTCGTGTCCACAGCGGTGTCGCACAGCAGGGCCAGAAGCCAGGAAAGGTCAGCCTGTGCAGCGAGTCCGAGGGTGGAGGGGCGGCGGGCACCCGGCACGCCGCCGTGGAACAAAGCTCCGAGACAGTGTCTTCAGACGTGAAGTGGGGAGCGCAGACGTGTTCTGTGCTTGTGCGCACCCACGGAGATGCCAGTAGGGCGCGGTGTGCCTGACCCTACTGTGCGCAGGAGTCCAAGGCATTGGGTGAGAGGTCGTTTCTAGAAGCTGGGGGTGGGTGGGGCCGTGTTAACATCTCGGGGCCGTGCGTTAAGAAGCCGAGGACGGGGTTCGGGGACAGGAGCCAGGCGTCAGCGTCTAGCCATGGGTGACCCGGAGCGACCGTCTCGCCCCCCCTGAGAAGAGAAACACAGCGTTAGGGGAGGGGCCTGGGCCGCCCGCCCTGTCCGCGCCGGGCTCTCCTCTCCTGGGGAACTGGCTACAGACCACCGGGCTCCCCGTCCCGGGGCTCTGTGACCAGAAAGGACGCCACACAGAAGCAACTGGTCACCCTGCTCCCCACGTCCGTCCTCACCAAGTGCCGCCTCTTCAAGGGCCACAGGAGGAGCCACGGGGACTCAGTTCCCAGGACGCAGCTGGCGCCTCCTGGCAACACTGTGTCTCCGGGCTCAGCGCTCGCTCTGAGTGAGCACTGCCTTTTATATTTTTAGCTAGAAATTCCAGGTGACCGAGGAACGCGGTCTGCAAACAGCGACTGGGGCCCTGTCGCCTCTGCAGGGACTGGAGATGATCCACGAGCCGCTGAACCGCACACGGTCACGCATGTCTTTTCCCTTGTGTGGCTGCCCTCATCGGCCTCACCCGGACAGAGCCACAGGCAGACCTCGAGGGTCTGGGTCTCAAAATGATAAAGGGACATGTTTTCTCGACAAACACAGTTTTACAATGAGAAAAGTCAGCCACTGAGACGCAGACCGTGGTGTGCGGCCCGCCTGTGCCGGTGGTGGTGGCGGTGGCGGTGGCACCGGCTGCCGGGGAAGGCGGCACAGGTCCTCACTCAGACGTTCTCTCGGCGGACGTGGGCGACGCACTTCTCCTGCATTCGAGTGTTAGTCTCTTTCCTTGCCTTCCCCTCTTCCTTTGGTCACGGACAAAGGACTGATCTCTCACAGGCGTCCTTCAGGAGGGAAGGAAGCAAGCCAGGCGTGAGAGACGCTGCTTCCCCAAGGGCGGTGAGCAGTGAACCAGGGCAGCCTCGTCCGACTCTGTGTTCCCCGAGCGTGGCCCTCGGGAAGCCGCCTCGGGGGGCTGTGGCCATCATTGGGTGAGCCTGGCGGACCCTCGGAGCTGCCCTTGGGGAGTGTGCCGAGCCTCGCCGCTTTCTGAATCTCCACAGGGGAACCCAGGGCTCCCTGGGAGATGCCGGGTCCCCCCCGGCTCCTGGGCCAGTTAAAACCGGGGGGCCCGTTGCTTTCGGTTTTGCCTACTGTGCCCCGGTTCCTGCCTGCCGACCGGGAGCCGCCCAGAGGTGGGGTTCCCATCCCTGTTTGATGTGGGGGCTGGTGCTGTCGCTCTCAGAGCTGGGGTGTCCAGCCTGCAGCCCGAGGGCCACCTGCAGCCCAGCACAGTCGTAAATGCACTCAAAACACGGCCCAGTCTCAACCACCGAGACCCACCCCCCGCCTCCCCCGCAACCTGCCTCGTGCCCTCAGTCTCAGGGGGGTTTTTTAATCTGTCGTGACTGCTCCATGTCACTCACCCCGCCATGTGACTGTAATAGGCCAGGTGATGAATTTTGAGGCAGTAAAATCTAATTAAAATTGTCCTAAGTGAAATGTGTTTTAATTTCATAAATTGGAGCTTCCCTTGAGCTCTATAGAAAGTTGAGAATTTCTCAGCCGCCACCTTCCATGAAGGATTTTGGGACTGATGGGCCCTTGTTAGGCAACAACAAACATGCAGGGACAGACGGAGTTTCTGGTCCCTACGGCCATCCGTGGTCACAAGCTCTGACTGTGCGGTCAGCTGAGCACCTTGCGGTCACTGGGCACCACCCTTGTGGATGCTGTCCAGGAAGATTCCTTGTCCCTTGATGGAGTCCCGGGCCAGCTGTGTCCCTCACCCGGCGGTCATCCTCAGTGTCTTGAGGGTCACCATGCTGTGTGGCTGAGTGACGGGCGCCCCGGGACGAGACAAGAGGGGACGTGTTCCCCGGCAGACCTGCGACCCTCGGCACATGGTGCCCAGAGAGGGTCAGGGCCCTGCCGACGGGCGCCGTGCTGAGCGCATGCCTGCGGCCTGCGTCACGCCGTCTCCGCCACATCCCGGCGCTGGCGCAGGCGCAGGTGTATCGGGCCAGAGTTTGCCTCTCGCTCCTTTCTGCAGGAGTAAGTCCCGCCTGCACTTTGCCAGACATGAGCCAGTTGGCGGCTCGGCCCCCTGCCGCTCCGGGCAGGTGTCTGAGGCTCTTCCGGGACAGGTGCGCCTTCCCGCAGAAGGGGCGCTGCTCCCCACAGCCCACCTGTGCGCCCAGCGCCACCAGGGCTGAGACATGGGGGCTCTGCACACTCGTGTGCAGTGTCTGCCTGGGCGTCCCAGCCCCGATGCTCTGCCCACGGGACTCCTGCTGAGTTCAAGGGCAGGCGGCCAGACCAAGGAGCGCTTGGGTTAGGGACCGAGTCGTCCACCATGAACTGTGCGGTCCTGGTGTCTTCACTGTCAGCCAATGAGGAGGCGCCGGTCATGGACCTGAGACCTCCTGTGAGGGCTGATGTGGGCGCTGTGAGCAGAGGTGAGCAGACCTGGGGTCACCTGGAGCTCAGAGGGCGTGTGGGCCCCACCCCCGCTGGGGGGTCAGTGTCACGGAGCCTCCTGCAGCAGAACCTTCTCGTGTGACACGGGGGCAGGTGCCCCTGCGGCCCCAGCAGCAGGTCTGGGGAGGAGCCGCCCTGTGCTCAGCACCGGCTGCGACCCCTTGGAGCCCAGGGTCACGCCCCAGCACACCCCCACCCCAGCACAACCACGGCCTGCAGCCATGGGGGAGGCAGGAGCCTGCACGTGGGAGCCCAGGGTCTCGTGTCCCAGCCTGTGGATGCCACGCCAGCCTCGGCCACGGGGCCGGCCTCCTGGGCTGCGTCCACCAGCCGGGCCCTGGCGAACGTCTGTCCGAGGTGTGCGGTCGGGCCGGCCTCGTCTGCAGGAGCTTCAGTGTTTCCCCCGAGGAGGCCGCCCCTGGAGTCTCTGGGCATCTCCACCCCAGACGGGGCACTGGGGGCGGTGCGCTGGGGATGGGGTGGGGGTGGGGGTGGGGGTGGGCCGCCCACAGTGCCGGTCACATTGTAACAGAGGTGCCTGTCCTCATTGCCTGCGCCCTGGGGGTGGGAATGCAGGTCACCGGCTCCTGTAAGTAGTTGTGACCCTGGTCCTTGGCCCGGCCCTGAGGCCACCAGCGGGCAGGCAGACGTGCCGTGTGGGTTCAGAGTGAGGGGGCGGTTTTGTGGGTTGCTATTCTAACGGGAGAGCCGGTGGGAGCACGGGTTGAACTGCTGTGGGTCCCGGACATCGGCCCCCCGCTCAGGGACGAGGAGCGCGGTCCTCTTGTGTTATGGCGGCGCGCAGACTGCCACGATGCTCCAGGGGGCCTTCCCGAGTCTCCTCCAGCTGTGAGCCCTGAGACACTCGCACCCCTGGAGCCCCAGCTCTGTCCCCAGTCCCTGACGGCGGCCGCTGGACCCACAGGTCTCTTCCTTGTTGTCCGTCCAGGGAGTGGCACTCCAGCCCCCAGGGCCACAAATGTCTGTGGAGCACAGGGCTGGCCCTCCAGCAGTGGGACCTCGGTCACGCCGTGGCACACTCTCCCTGCGATCCGGTGACACTGGCTCAGGGTCGACATCCAGGCCCTCGGGATCGTCACAGGGCCCTGTGTGGGGAGCCACCTCCTTCTGTCCCCTGCTGGTCGCTCCTGTCACCGAGGCCGTGGCCTGCAGTGGCACCCTGTGTGAGGCCAGCTCCTCTCCTCACTGGTCACCATGCCACCTGCTCAGCCCGGGCTTCTCCGGCCACCCGCCCAGAGTGGTTGCCACCTCGGACACAGAGGCCCACGTGGGCCTCGGCCCCACAGGGACTCCGGCATCTGCTGCTCTGCGTTGGGCTCGGCCTTTGCTGACCCGCCAGACATGCTGGGGTGTCAGGGCCCCCGGGGGCCGTTCCTGTCGGCAGCCTGAGGGCACCTCCTGACCACGTCGTTCTCATCACCTTGCACTGCACCCCTTCTGTGGAGCCGGAAACCGAGGCTCAGCCAATCACAGGCCAAGGGCTCTCAGCCGGTGAGCGTGTGCTGGGCCCGTGTGGCAGCCGGGACATGGGACACGCCCACTGTGCTTTCTGGGGTCTCTCCCCCAGTGCAACCATCCCCGCCTGCCTGCCCACCCCGTGGCCCCAGGACACCTGGTCCTGCTCACGCCCTGGGAGGCGAAGACACTGCTGGCCACGGAGCCACCGGACCGTCCATCTGCACCCTCAGACCCCTCGGCCCAGCGGTGGCCTCCTGTCCCCTCTCGTTCTCAGGGCCCCGAGGGGCCCGGCCCCGGTCAGTGCTCCCCAAGACGTGAGAGCAGCGGTGCGGAGGCTGGGCACCCCCGCCCGCCCCAGCGAGTCTCGGGCCCCGGGCGGCTACCTTACCAGTTTGAAGATTCTGGAAAGCGTGCCCTGGGCGTCGTGGCCTTTGAGGCCCTTGTGAGCCGATTTGTAGTCAGAAGCTCGGCCGCCGTAGCCGAAGCCCGGCTTCTGCCCCTCGGCGCCCTGTGGGAGAAGAGCCAAGCTGGGTCCCCCGGAAGCCCCGCCCCAGGGGCCGCGGGGACCGGGCGCAGTGCCCTCCACCCTCGATCTCCACGAGGCGCACAGGGACGGCCACAGTGAGGGGCGCTGCGCTGCAGACAGACACTGGTGGCAGGAACCCCGCTTCCTCATGCGGACGTGGGGTCCTGCCGCCTCACTGCTCCAAGAATGAGGAGCTTCTGAGAACGAAACTCAAGAACTGGTTTTCCTATCACTAGTGTGCTTGGTTTTTCCTCTTTCCAATGCCTTGCCATTTACAGCTCTGGACGACCTAGAACGCATCAGAAAACACACAGCGCAGCGCAGCAGGACGCGGGCTGCAGAGCTCTCTGCGGGCAAGCGAAGGACGTGGGGGGGGGGCGCTTTGGAAAAAGAGGCGCTGGGCTCTGGATGGAAGGGCGGAAGTGAACAGCAGGGAGGGACGCAGCGGCCTCTCCAGTTAGTGGTGCAAAGGAGCCGGTCTGGGAGCGGCAGGTGGGAAGAAGGGCGTGGATCCCCCCACCGACACCTGCGGGGTGGGGGGGCGCTCTGTGCGCAAAGCCCGGAATCTGTGCCTGGGATGCTACGCGTTTCCAAAAATAAGGTTTCTGGGCCGAAACTGAGTCTCATCCTTCAGCCTCATGCCTGCCTCCTGCTGCCCAGAAAGTCACGGTCAGTCCTCGCGCGTCCAGTCCAGAGGCACCTCTGGGCTTCTGCAGAGTCACCGGGCGGGAAAAGGCTGCAGGGCGTTTAGGAGAAATTGCAGCAAACAACCCCCCCCCCTTCCTGATTGGACGCGGCTGCGCCGCAGGGAGCAGGGAGCAGCTCAGAGCCGGGCCAGAGAGACCTTTTCTCCGCCTTTTCCTGTGCACGACCTCCGACCTCCGACCTCCGCTGCGCCCTCCCTCTCCACTTCTCCCCTCCTTTCTCTCTGTCTCCCCTCCTCCACCTACGGGACACCTCGTCATTGGGCCTCTTGTCCACACGGATGTGCTAGAGGTTAAGGGCGTTGCGTTCCGAATGGACTGTAGGTCAGGGGTCGTTCTTACCCCGAAAACCGTACTCTTCACTACGTAAGATCGACACCTCTGTTCACCAGTGACTGAGGCCTGTAAGCCGGTCACAGGGCACTTACTGGCAGGCGTGTGGAGTTGGCGCAGACGCCAGACCCACTAGCATCTGGACAGTGGACAACTGCCCGCGTCCAGTCCCCCTTAAAACCTGCCCTAGGGGTTGAGCTTTCGAGAAGGTGCCTGGAGGGCCGGCCGAGGAAGCCCCCGGTCCCACCACAGCACACGGGAAGCCCAGGGCTGCGCGGTGAGTGAGGTCCCTGCAGACTGAGTCCCTGATCTCCGCACCTTCTCCCTCCTCGCTCTCACTCTCCCTCAGTGAGAAGTCCCTGTCGTGGGTGGGGCTGGTCACGGAGATGGCCCGTCAGCCCCGGGCCCGCAGGACCGTGGGAGGAGATCGACATTTTTCTCAAACGCGGGCTCCCTGGGGAGAAGCCCGTGGGGTGCCCGTGGTGGGCGAGGGGGAAGCGGGACGTGAAGGATGCTGGGAGGCCCAGCCCAGCCCTGGGAAGAAGCCACTGGCTTGTTTTCATGGAGAGAACGGGGGTGGGGGCGGCAAGCTGGGCTGCGGGGAAGGAAGGTGCTGGAAGTTAGGGGACTGAAACAGAGCAGAACAGAGCCGGGGAAGGGGGGGGGCGCGGGGACATGGGTATGCCACCTACCCAGCTAAATCGGCTGAGGGACAGTCCTCGCCCCTGGTGAGGAAAGAGAGACACGGTGACGTTGCAATTGTGTGGGAGGGAAGGGCTCACTAATGAAGAAGAAATGCAGTCGACTCAGCCCTGCTGGGTGGCTGGTGGGCCCGTCCCCAGAGGTGGCAGAGGCCACCTGGAGAGGGACAGTGTGCTGAGACCCATAGCCCCACCCCCTGGTTCTGGGTGGAGACCCCCTGCACGGGCCGTCCGTCTAGCTGGGGCTCAGGCAGCAACCACTATGGCCCAGGCCAGGAGACCTGCCCTCTATTTGGTGCATTCAGGGAAGGTCTGTCCCTGTAAACTGATGACCAGTCGCGATGTCCAGAGGCCTTACCTTTCCTTGTGACGGCGGAGGTGTGCGGGGCGTCACCTGTGAAGACATGTGAGACAGTGAGCTAGGGGCAGTTCCGTCTCCTGAGCAGCCCACTCTCTTTGAGAGACACCGGAGTGACTTGTGTCTGCGGACGGCCTCTGGCACCTGCCAGGTGTGGCCCCCACTCCCTGCCCCCACCAGGGTCTGTCCCAGCTGAGCGAGACACGCAGGGTCTGAGAATTTAGAAACATTCTTGGTGCCGTTCTGTCGGAGCTGCCGGGACTCTCTGAAGTGTCTGAGGGTGGAAAACGGCCCCGAAGGCCCTGCAACCGGGGATCGGAGGGAGGCCCTGCACGTCACAGCATGGGGGTCGGAGGTGTCGTGTCCCCTGATACCCTGGTGTGTGGCTCCGAAAACTCACTCATCCACGTGGAAAGTATCATTTTCCAGTGTCAGCATCATAGAAAGTTCATCATTAGAAGGCTGTGGTTCTGCTTTTCTTTTTAAGACTTTTTTGGGGGAGTTCTAGGTTTCTATGCAAGGTGCACACGAGTCCCCGCGGACCCTCTGGGGTCCCTGTGGCCGCCCTGCATGGTGGGGCCTGCGCTCCAGCGGGGGGGGGGGGCGGTGTTGCACGGACGGTTTGGGGTCCACGGCGTCTGAGGGTTTCCCCCTGAGCCCCGCATTCCGAGGACTTTGACGGAGGCGGGAGGTGTGTCCACCATCAGCACCTCACACAGACCACTTTCCCCGCCCTCAAATTTTCCTGTGTCCATAGTTTGGCAAGGCTGCGTTTTAAAGTGACCGCTCAGAATAGCTTAGATTCAAAAGCAGTTCTTCGGTCCCGGGGAGCAGGTGCTGGGGCTGAGTCTCCAGGGACAGACTCGTGACCTTGTGGGTCGAGCCCGCAGCCCGTGGGGCAGACTCACACCCCGGTGGCCTGGCGCGGGGCCCCGCCGCCCCTCCCAGCGAAGAGCACTCACGATGTTTTTGAAGAAGTGGACTACGGGGTTCTCATCCTGGGGCCGGCCGTGCTGCGCTTTTGGGGGCAGGGAGCCGTAGTGGGTGGTTCTGGCTGCGTGGTGTGCGTCCTGAAAGACAGAGCATGGTGACCTCAGGACAGGTCGCACCCGCCGCCCCGGATGGATGCTGCCCCTGACCCCTCGGTGCACCCAGTCTGCTCCGAGTCAGGACTGCGCTCCACACCCGGATGGTGCCGCTGCCCCGCCAGACATGCCTGCGGGGGGCAGGATGGGGGGCAACGGGGACCGGGCAGGGCCTCCTGCCGTGGGGTCACTGCGCCGGGGGCCCTTCCCGCCTGTGGGTCTGCAGCGGGTCCCCAAAGCTGTTTTGTGGCGTGCCGTGTCCTGTGTTTTGAGCCACAGAAGCACTGTCTGCTAACCCGCCCCACAGTTAAACTGAGAGAAGTCTAAACACCTCATGGAGGTTTGTAAAGAAATGCACCTTCTGTCGTACCACGCAGGTCCCATTAAATCTTATTTACGTCATGAGATAATGACCTGCTACGTAGACAGTAACATTGTTTCGCACCCGAATTACACACGCCTGACTTGACTGCTGAAAGAAAAATGGCCTGTTCCTGTGATTTCCGTACCGAGTAACTTGGCCGCCAATCTTCTAAGGGAAAAGGAGTCTAAGTAAATCTTCGGAGGAACACAGGAAGGTGGTGGGTTGCATTCCGCTCTCAGAGCCGTGAGGTCGGGGGCCCAGGTGCCTGTGGAAAAGGCGGGCGGTTTCTCCGCCCAGAACCCGCCCCCGGGAGCAGCTCCTACCTAGGGAGCTCCTGCTGCCCGGCCGACATTAATCCAGAGCTCGGCACCAGCACGGATGGCCCATGGACAGACTCACGGAATCACTCGGGCTTCTGTTGCCTACGCAAGAGTGACTGGGCCAGACCTTGCTGGGCTTTCTTGGCCACGAGTCGGCAGTAGCCCAGGTGGCTCAGCGGAGCCACGCAGTTGTAACTGGGTCATCATATCAAAGCTGTGGTGTGACATCAAATGTCCTGGTGCTGCCCTGGCTGGTGTGGCTCAGTGGACTGAGCACCGGCCTGCAAACCAAAGGGTCACCGGTTCGATTCCCAGTCAGGGCACACGTGCCTGGGTGCAGGCCAGGTCCCCAGTAGGGGGCGTGCCAGAGGCAACCACACATCGATGTTTCTCTCCCTCTCTTCTTCCCTTCACCTCTCTAAAACTAAATAAATAAAATATTTTTAAAAATGTCCCGGTGCTTAAAGGACGTCTAGTTTATCTCGTTGCTGTATATTAATGAGGGAGTTAAGAAAACTTGAGCCCTGGCTGGTGTAGCTCAGTGGATTGAGTGCGGGCCTGTGAACCAGACAGTCAAGGTTCGATTCCCAGTCAGGGCACATGCCTGGGTTGCAGGCTGGTTCCCAGTGGGGGACACACGAGAGGCAACCATACATTGATGTTTCTCTCCCTCTCTCCTTCCCTTCGCCTCTAAAGTTAAAATAAATAAAATCTTTAAAAAAAGAAAAGAGAACTTGAAAGCACCGCTGTAGTTATAAGGAAGCTCCCTGCTACACCAGGAAACGCGGGTGAGAGGCGTGGAAGGAGATTTGCTACGTGGAGAGACCCACTGTGGTCAAGCGGCGGGAAGGCCGACAGTGAAGGAGCCGGGCCTCCCCAGCTCCGTTCGGCCCTTCCAGCCCAGACGCCAGCGAGGTTTCGCCGGGTAGAGAGAAGCCGGTTCTAAACCACAAGGAAACGCAAACCAGCCCAAACTGCCAGACAATGGTAACAAAGAAAAATGAAGCAGGGGAATTCCACCCCTCGGTTTTACGGTTTCCTGTGTCTGCCGCCATCAGGCAGGTGTGGGAGGGACAGACGCACAGACCCACGGGGCACAGCAGGGCCTGGAAACGCCCACACACACCAGCGGTCGACTGATCGCTGGCAGAGGCGTGACGTCAGTTCACGGCAGGAGGTTTTCGTCTTTGCAGCAAACGGTGTTGGAACGACCGGAGGTCCGTGTTCAAACAGAGTCCAGAGTCCCACCTTCAGCAAAACTAACTCAGAGTCGACCTCAGAGCTCAGTCTGCAACGTGAAGCTGTACGTTTTAGAAGGAAACAATAGGACACACTTTTCCTGGCCTGGGGGCAGGTGTCAGGTTCTTAGACCTGACGCCTGATCAAAATGTAACCTCCACTCTGCGAAGGACACGCGAGAGAATGAACACCCAGCTGCAGAAGAGGAGAAAGTGTTTACGAATCGCATCTGTGACAAAGAACGTAAAGCCAAAACACACAAAGAACTCTCAGAACTGAGTCAGTGGTAAAAACAAAAAAACCCTACTTATAAAATGGACAAAACAGCCGCGTAAACACTTCGTCAGAGACGATGAGCAGAAGCCGAAGGAGCACAGGGAGGGCGTCGCCCTCACCCGCTGGGGGGAGGCAGAGTCCGAGGCGAGAGGCTGTGCCGCCACGCAAATGGGGGAAGAGAACGGCTAAAATGAGGCCGCCGACCACACTGAGAGCAGAGGCTCGGGGTGGGGGGGGCAACTGGAACCCCTGGGCGTTGCCGGGGCAAGTGTGACCCGGGCAGCCGCTCTACGAGGAACCTGAAAGTTTCTTACAGTATCATCCTATGCTCACTATGCGATGCAGCAATCCTATTTCTCCCTGTTAATGACAAAGGGAAAATCCAGCATTTTGGGAAGCGGTTTTTATGACTATCTTTGTCCCCAATTTTTAAAGAAAAACCAACTTAAATCTTAACTGAAAACGTCATCATAAAACGCCTCTACCTGAATATTGGCAGCAGCTCCGTCCTAACTGTTACACCTGCTGGCCACGTCCCCGTTTGCCAGCGGGTCAGGGGACAGGCCTGGTGCTCGGAGCAGCCTGGTGACCAGGGGCACAGCTTGGACACGCACGGCCGCTCCCAGCGTCCCCAAGGCGCTGTGCTGAGTGAAGGAAGCCATTCTACAAAGATTTCTTCCTGTCCCGTCTCACTTATGGGGCGACCCCCAAAAGGGTCAGCCCTGGGGAGACAGCCCAGGTGGCCCGCGCCAGGGCCCGGGGGGGGCGGTGTGAGGGGCGCTGTGTCTTGACTCGGTGGCAGCAACAGGGAGGTTTGGGGGTGTCCCCGGGGTGGTGTCAAAAGTCACAGAACCGCATGCACCAACAGCCAATTTTCCTGTGTGCTAACATAAAATAAAATAAAATAAAATAAAATAAAATAAAATAAAATAAAATAAAATAAGGCCATCGAACACAGTCTGTCCACACAGGCCCATGATGTCATCACACGGATTTGCTCTTGGCGTGGTCTGGGCAGGTGGGGCTGGTCCCCCCGCTCAGCGCACCCCGACTCCCAGCCCGGCGCGGGCCCTTGTTGGCGCGGCTGCCCGCCTGGGGCATCTTCCCGCCCGGCCGCCTCGGTCTCCTGAACAGTGTGGCACCTGCAGGGTGGACGGGCTCACTGGCCTCAAACTGTCCTTTCAGCTTCACAGCCTCTTACCTCTCCAGCTTGATTTTACTCTTTTGGAGGAAAAGAAAGTTTTCTGTGACCCCCAAAGCTTCCGCCAGGTAGGCTCGCAGAGAGGGGCTCGGCAAAGGCACACGGACACCAGTGAGCAGAGGACAAAGGAGCCGCCTCTGACGCGGCCTCGTGGGGACAGCCCGCCACGGGGCCCTGGGGGCTCCGGTCCGCACGCAAACCTGTGTGGTGTGGGGGAGCCTGGCGGGCCGCCGGGCTCCGTGCCCTCACGTGTGAAGCGGCGCGGCGGAAGCAAGGCCCCTCGGAGGGAGCTGCGGGCCAGACGTGCCGCTCAGTCCACCCCTGAGCAGCTTTTGCGGGGAGACAGACAGTCCCCACGTGGCCTATTCTCGGGGCGATTCCTCAGACTGCGGCCTGGGTCCAGACTCCTCCCGCGGGTGTCACGGCCGAGCTCCTGCCCTGCCCAGGTTGTCACGGTGACAAACCCCTCACATGGTGGTGGGCCCAGGGGGTCGTCCTCAAAACTGTTCTTGTGGCAGGAAAACGTAAGCAATACAAAACTCGCCGTCTTCACCGTGGTGAAGTGCGCCACTTGGTGGCATCGAGGACGCCACTGTCACCCCCAGAACATCCCATCTTCCCAGACTGACACTCTGTCCTGATGCCCCCTGCCGCCCGCCCCAGAAACCCCGTGCTACAGCCCGCCGCTGTGCATTGGACCCCTCTAGGTGCCTCGCCTGAGCCGATCCAGGATTTGCTCCCTGGTGCCCGGCTGTTCACTCAGCACAAGGTCCAGCCCCACGGGGACGCCTTTCGGAACCCCCTCCCTTTTCAAGGCTGAGTGGCAGCGCGCACACACCACGTTCTGTGAGCTGTCCACCTGTGGACAAACGTGGGCTGTTTTCACCTTCGGCTGCCGTCCTGAGTCACCTGGCCTGACCCGACCCCTGCTGCCCTGGCCCCATCTGGCCTCGACAGTTCTGTGGCCCCCACCTCTGGCCGAGGGGACGCCCACATTCCCCTGCTCCCACCCTCTCCAGCCTGCACCTCTGGGCGCCGACCCTGTCCGGGTGACACTGCCGCCCCCGGGTGGGCAGCCCCCACTGAGACAGTGGTCTCAGGTCCCCCGGCTTCGGTCCCATGTCCCCTCGTAAAGAGGCCGGGTCCAGGAATGCGCATCCGGCTCTGGGGTTGGTGGTCAGTTTCTGGCCAGAGCAGCGCAGCCTGGTGGGGCATTTAAAAGGTAGTGGTTTGGCTTATTTGTTGTATGTCACAATCCAGGGGCAGCGGGGTGCTGAGCTTTTCTCCCACCTGCCTGTAACCGGGGAGCTCGGTCCCTGGGAGGGGAGAGACAGTTGGGGGGCTGTGCCCCAGGAGGAAGGGAAGCTCGGGAACAATGGAGGATGGCGTGTGGCTCTCTGGGGACAAGGGGACCCGAGGGCCTCCCTGTCCCATCTGGAGGACAGGGTGGAGGTGAGTCCAGAGTGAAGGGAGTGGGCGTCCAGCAAAAGGCAGCGGGCAAGCGTCCCCGCTGGAGCCCTCAGACCTCAGGCCAGTCCTGGACTCGGTTTCCTCCTTCAGTCCCTCCACAGCCCCTGCTGTGGCG